GCCTATTTCATGTTTGTTAATCATTCCACAGGGATTGTGGCATCCCGTAGTTACTCAGGTTTTTTTTTGTTGTTTTTCATTTTTCGAATGATTGTGTCCAATTAAGCCAATGTGTAATATTGAGTTCTATTTATTCTATTTATTTTTTTGTCTTTTTGTATGATCGTGTTAATTTATTAAGTTAATGTGTAATATTGAGTGTCCCGTTTCTTATATTTGCTGCTTAATTTCAGCTACAAGGTGTCGCTGACTAGATGACTCTATGAGTCTTTTCGCGACTCCGCGTCAACTGCAACAAGCCGATATCCATTTGACATTTTGTTACATTATATTATTTATTCATTTTTCATATCGCGCATTGTTTTTTGCATGACGAAAATAAATATCTGATTCTGAATCATCCTATGCTTGACATATTACATACATGGGCCAATGGTTCTACGTATGCTTGAATGCGTTTTATGGAAAATTGTTTTGGTTTTTGACAGTTTCTGCGTGTTTTAGAGATTATTTTTTTGACAATGTTCCTCGTACTAACGACAAACAGTGAAAACCGTCAAAAACCACTAGAAATTTTGCCAAAACGTACAAAATCAGTAAAAAAACCGTAAAATCCCGCTAGAAACCTTGCTAAAACGTGCAAAAATCCGTCACAAACCACTAGAAAACCTTGCTAGGCGTGAAAAACGTGCGAAAATAGTGAAAAACGGTCAAAATCGCTAGAAACCTTGTCAAAATGTGCAAAAACGCGCAATAACAGTGAAAACCCGTCAAAACCCGCTAGAAACCTTGCCAAAAAGTGCAGAAACGCGCGAAAACAGTGAAAACACGTCAAAAATATCTAGAAACCTTGCCAAAACGTGTATGAGCATGTAAAAACAGTAAAAACCTCTAGAAACCTTGCCAACACGTGCAAAAACAGTGAAAAACCGTTCAAAAATCAAAAGAAACCTTGCCAACACCTTCGAAAGCGCGCAAAAACAGTGGAAACCCCGCTGAAAACATCGCCAAAACGCGAGAAGTCAGTAAAAAACCATCAAAAACCGCTATAAAACTTGCCAAAACAAGCAAAAACAGTGAGAACCCGTCAAAAACCGTTAGAAACATTGACATTACGTGTGAACATAGTGAAAAACTCGAAAAATTAGTGAAAAAACCATCAAAAACCGCTATAAAACTTGCCAAAACGAGAAAAACAGTGAAAACCCGTCAAAAACCGCAAAAAAGTGAAAAACCGCCAAACAGTTGAAAACCGCTAAAAACCTTGCCAACACGAGCAAAAACAGTGAAAACCTGTCAAAAACATCTAGAAACCTTGCCAAAACGAACAAAAACGCGCAAAAACAGTGAAAAACCGATATAAAATTTGCCCGTCACCCGTCAAAAAACGCTAGAAACATTTAATTCTTCGAATCAAAATGTACATTTTGCTGTGTTGCTTTGCAGTCTCTTGTTGGAAAATGACTAAAATAAGTCGTTTGTTACAATATCCATCATGATGGATAAATCTAATTTCCATCCTATGCTCAACAGAAAACATACATAAGTCAATGGTACTACGTATCCTTGAATGCGTTTTATGGAGATTTTTGTTGGTTTTTGACAGTTTCTGCGTGTTTTAGCGATTTTTTTTTGACTGTTTTGCGCGTACTAACGAGTTTTTGCTAGTTTTTGACAAATTTTTAGCGTTTTTTAGTGGTTTTTAACGTGTTTTTCGCGCTTCAGATGTTTTTTTTTAATGATTTTTGACGATTTTGCGCATTCCAGCAAAATATTTTTCGATGGTTTCTGAACCTTTTTCTGCGAGTTTTTCTAATGTTTTTGCATGTTTCAGCAAAGTTTTTGTTGGTTTCGCATGTTTTTTGGCGCTCCCGTAGTATGTGCAACGAGATGGCGGACACCTGAACGTGTACAAGGTTAGGGTTAGGCCATAATTTTATTCCAATTTTCCTTATTTTAGTTCTATCACGAGTTCAGGAACTAGCCAAGTGACCTGTAGTATTTGTATCTGAGATTATGACCTAACCCTAGTTTGATACACACAATATATATATTTCGGTGTCCGCCATCTTTTTGCACGTGCTACGGGAGTATCAGTTTTTTGCGCGTTTTAGCGATTTTTTTTTTGATTTTTGAAGCATTTTGTACGTTCTAGAATCTAGAGAGCAAGCAAATTGATGGGTTTTCACTATTTTTGCAAGTTGTTTGATGATGTTTGCGCGTAAAGTTTGTCAGATTTTGCACATTCTAGCGAGTTTTTATAGGTTTTTTATGGTTTTACATGTTTTAGCGAGTTTTTGGTGTATTTTTGCAATTTTTCGCGTTTGGTGTTTGGTGGTTTTTCAATGTTTTTGTGTGTTTTTTGGGGGGATTTTAATGAATTTGTCGGTAGTTTTTTACGGTTTTTGCGCGTTTTAGAGTTTATAATGGGTTGGTATGATGGGGTTCGTGCGTTTTAGAGGGTTTTTGGGCGTTTCAGCGTTTTTGTTGTTGTATTGTTTTCGATGGTTTTCGCACGTTTTGGCGAGCTTTTTGATGGTTTTAACAAATTTACCACGTTTCAGCTAATATTTTGAGTTTTTTTTAACGAGTTTATTGATGGGTTTTGTCGTTTTTCTCGCGTTTTAGTGGGTTTATTGATGATTTGCGACAATTTTTGCACTGTGTAGAAAATATTTTGATGGTTTCGGACAGTTTTTGCGCGTATCAGTGAGTTTTTTGAGGGTTTCTGCATGTTTCAGAATTTTTTTTGATGATTTTTGCGCGTTTTAGCAAGATTTTTGGCACTGGAGCATTCTGGAGAGCATATTGATGAATTTTTTACGGTTTTTGCACGTGTTAGCGAGTTTATTTATCTTTTTTGTACATTTTGGCACGTTTTTTAGCGAGTTTCATGATGGTATATACGCGACTGGTGTTTGTCAGTTTTTGCACTTTCTATCGAGTTTTTTCAGGGGTTTTCAACAAATTCAAACGATTAAGCAATTTTTTGGTGTTATTTTGCGCATTTCAATCAGTTTCTTTGTGATATATCTGACGGTTTTTGCGCATTTTATAGAGTGTTTTGATTGAACGCCTTTAATTTAATTGTTCTAACGCGTTTCAGCAAGATTTGTGCGCGTTATAGCGAGTATTTTGATGATTTTGTGGTTCAGCACAGCGGTTCTGCTTTTACTGGCCGCGTACCACCGACAAAACCCCATTTCGGGGTGGGGTACAATGGCACAAGAAATGCGCTATGGGATTATTTTATTGGCACTACATCCCATTTTCAGAACTTCGCAGACCTTCGTGCAAAGTTTCAACGTATGAATTTTAAACAATTAATTACATACACTCTGATCGGAGCTAGCCGCTATCACGATTTATCTATCTAACCTAGTCTCCAAATTAATTAGCCCTAAAACTTAAGATTATATCGATCAGCTAACATATACATCAGGTAGAAATAGTAACGCCTATATGTTGTATCAAGGCGCTATCAGGGTATGTCGACCACTTCCGCTAACGCTCCCTTCGTTGTCGATTTCTCAATGGAGATGTATTGTGGACGTATCACGTTGCCGGGGTGGGGATTCGTTTTTAAGGTGAGCAGTAACGGGCGAGGGCGATTTCTGAAGACAAGAACTGGTAACACTATCAACCCGTTCAGCGAATACATTCAGTATAGAAGAGAAAGAGAACCACCAGAACTATTGGTTCAGCACGTCATAGCAAGTTTTTTTGTTATGATGTTTTTTTGCACGTTTTGGCGAGTTTTTGTGATGGTTTTTGACGATTTTTTTAAGTTATCAAGTTTTTTGAAGGTTGTTATTCAATTTTTTTATGTTTTTTGTCGGTTGTTGCAATTTTTAGCAAGTTTCTCTAGGTTAACGTTTTTTTCACTGTTTTAACTGTTTTTGCGCGTTTTAGTAAATTATTTTTACGGTTGTGCGCGTTTTAGCAAATTTTTTGATGATCCTTGACAATTATTTCAAGCTTAAGCGAGTTATTTGAACATCTTTGCGTGTTTTAAAAAAAATTTTGAGAATTTTGGACGCCGATTGCACGTTTAAAGTTAAGGATTTTTATTTTTTTTTTTTTCACGTTTGAACGAATTTTTTGATGATTCTTGCGCGTTTTAGCGAGTTTTTTTTATACGAGTTTGAGACACAAATCAGCACGCAAAAAATTTGCAATATTTGTTGCAGTTCATACTTGGCTCACACCACCTCACCAAAAGGTAATGTCTATCTTTTCGTCGTCATTTTTACGTAATAAAAACGTGTGAATCAAAATTAAATGAGAAATGAAGTCGTCAACTCTTACATACAAATGAACTATATGACGAAAAATTGATCTTACTGGCAGAAAAAACTCGATCTTGATGTGTAGATGTCAACCATGATGATTGTAGCTTGTATACATCAATTGATGATTGATTGAAGTATATCACGACAACAGCGGTTACGTTTGCTTTTGGAAAGTAGCCAAGCTTGGAATACGTCTGTTCTTGCTTTTTTCAAGATTCTCTCAGCGTAGAATGACGCTTTCACGTCATATTTCCATACTGGTAATTTTAGAATTACTTTTTATCATTACACGAAACCCGCCATATTTGGAGTGGAGTGGTGATTACTTCACAAATGATTTCCGATGTGAAGACATAAAATATACAATTCAGGAATATCACTAATAATTCTAGTAGAATCTGCTAATCTTTAATGACACTGCTACCATATAGGATGGTAAATCTAGCATTGCTACGCACCAATACACTTAATTGGTTTCATGTGCCCAAGGCTAACCTAGATAAGAAAAATAACAAATAAGAATACGATGTTTGTTGTTGGGTATCATGCGTCCGTTTTGAGAGCAATGTACGGATTTTTAGCATAAAAAAGCGATACCCAGTCATGTTAATTATATTACCCAGCCCAACCCATTAATTAGCCAAATAAGCAGCTCCGTTGGTAGTGAGGCCAGAAACCGGTTGAACGAATTGCCCGTTTTCACATGAATTAAGCATATGTGTACACATATATTGGCAAATATGTTATATTCAAACAACCTCAATATTTATACTGAAAGACTTGCGTTCAACTGTGGAAGACTCGGCACTCATTCGGTTTCCGTAATTCGAATAGCAATTTTCAATGTGGAAGTTTATCACACACGAACTTCTTCTCATTCGAATATCTCCGCCCTTATATGAATTGCATGTGACCAACAACGGGAACTTGATGAAGCGAGTGTCCACAAGTTTGAAAAGATTTTTCAATTTGTTAAGGTGTTTTTAATTTGGTAAATAAATACGAACTTGATTATTATTTGCAATTTACAACATGGGCATAAATATGTCTTTGCACAATATACAGAAAAGTAAAAACATAAAACATTTTAAGCAAAGTAAGGTGATAAATGAAGATCAAATACAGAGATACGCAATTTATTACATTACCATAAGTCATATTTGATTTTGCATTCACCACTCGCCCAAATGCAAAAATATTTGAAGAGTAATCAAAATAAAACAATGTAGAACAGTTAGGAAACCACGTGAAATAAATTTAATAGAAAATAGAATGACAAATTTTATTATATAAATAGGAAGCCAAGTTACGTCGCCTTTGTAAAATTAATTCTATTTGAAACTACGTATGCATTGCTTTGGAATGTTTAGCATCATTTTTTAAAAACGGGATGTGTGCGGTGGCTATTCTCTGGCAATAATGCGGAGAATATTTATTTGCGACATCCTTACTTTTTAGTAGATTCGTTGTCACTTTTAGATTACATAAATACAAAAATGCATAGATAAAAATATTTCTGATTCAAACATCAATAACAAGGGACGAAGGGCGTGCCTTCACTGATCCTTTACGTTTTTTGCACTTTTTAGTCTCTTCGATTGGAAAATCTCCGTTACTTTCCGTTTCTGCGGGAGGAGAAGGAGGCGGGGACGGGGGTGGAGGGAGAGGTTCTTCGTTATCTGAGTCTCGATCTAAATCCATCATGGAACGAGCTTTCAAAATCCTCTCATTCTTTTTCAACTTCAAATTGAATTTTTCTTTAAGTGTTTCTAATTTTTCGGACCTAACTACTGACTCTTCAGTCGCTTCTTCGTCGTTGTGATTTTCATCAACGTTAGTAGAATTATCTAACAGTGGTGGTGGAGGTGAAGGCGGGCAGTCGGAATTTGATAGTGAATTAACTGAAGCTTTGTCCATTCTGTCTAGAGAAGACGTTTTGGACGACGGTGAGGATGAAAGTTTTTCACTATCATCTATTGTGGTCTCATCATCAACCATCGGTGCAGATTCCAGAAGAGGCGGAAGGGATTCGTGACTTCCCGAGCTTCCAACACTGCCATTTCGCACGATAAACTTTGACAATTTTGGCTTCAGTGCCGCTGGTGGAGGCTTGGGTGATATCGGCGAACTTACTGTTGGCGTTGCTGTCATATCATCGTTATTTGGAACATTTTCAATTTCTTCATTTGTTCCAGTAACCTCTGTCTGGGAAAGTGTAGGAGACTTCAAGGGAACTTTACCACTGCCAGGTGGCGGTCGTAGCGCCAAAACTGGAATATTTCCTCGCTTTTTGATTGATTCTGCAAAATATTAGTATAGAGTTATAAAAATCTATCAAACCCTGTATTGTCAATATCAAAATTGTCATTGCCGATAGTGATTGATTCTAAGGATTACCAATATTTGAAAGAACGTACACGCACTTCATTGCGTATGTATAAATATTTTACATTACTAAATTGCAAATACTGCAAAGTATGCAACTAATACAATATATATACACCTTTTTGTCCATGAAAGTAATGTACATTGTGTACAATATTTCTATTTTAAATATGTAAAATCGTAATATGCAATAACAAAATTTTGTCAAGTACATAATTTGATGAGATGAACATATTTTGCAGCAAAGCACAACAAGCAGACAAACTTTTTTTTACAAAAAACATTAGGCCAGTTTAGGGCTGCAAAAGTTATTAGCACGCCGTGACATATACCACATATTACACTCTGTCAAGATGATGGGCTTGACTTGAACAAAGAAAAATATGTGTGACCGACTTAGAATGAGTCAAGTGACCCGAAAAAACGAAGTGCACATAGTATTAAAAGACAGCAATGAATATTTTATTCAACCAAAATAAATAAATAATATTATAATAAAATTACGCTATAATTCGTGATTGGGTTCTTTCATTTAGTCGATATATATACTCATTTTAAAGCGTGGAAAATATATATTCTAAATTTTTGCCGATTTCACGGTGATTGATACTCATAATGTATAACAGAAATAAACACGCATTCAGAGTGTTGACTAAAATTCTATATAAAACACAGCAAACGCTTACCGCTATTTGCAGTCTCAGCTTCTTGGGAATCTAAAGACACTTCTGACATCATTGCCTGTGTCACAAAATGAACGAATTGCAAACATCATATTGAACCGAACATATTCGTTAATAATATATATTCGACAGAAATTGAATAGAGAACAACGTGTGTTTGGGATAATAGTCAATCAAATCTGACAAATTTTATATTACCTCTGAAATTCTGGAGACCGACCGATTCAATAAAAACATTACTATTTTTTATATAAAGGATAGGCTTTCATTTTCAGTTGTCAAATATCTACAGCGCATGTTGACGTTTTTTGTGAAAAACTGAAGTCGAGAGGCGAATTAGGCAAAGATACGCTACCTCAAGAGATACCGTTATTGCATCATTACTCCAGCACAATAACCCAATAACGTAGGCTTCAAAAATGTCAAACCCGTGGCATAACAATGTATCATGCTGATACATTATGTTTCTCGAAACCTTCACTAAGACTACATGAAGCAGTCACGAGTCACTATTTCAGGAAGTGACAGTAACGTCATTGACGCAAGCAAGCAGCTTAAGAACGTGAACCGTGGTACAAACTGAAATGCACCATGACGTATTGATTGATGATAAATGATAAAAATCGATGAGGTTAAATGTACTTCATATGTTCAAATGACAAATAAAGATTTCCAGCAACTGTGGTAGTACACATGATAAATTATAGTCAACAAAGGCACGTCGTCGGGAACAAATTACAGTTTGAAATGAAGGATTTGAACAATGGCAAATGAAACTAAAGAAATGAAAAAAATAATTACCCTCTCTTTGAGATGTTGTTTAGTTGGTGGACGTCTATTTCCTCCTCCGCCTCTTGGTGGCCGTGCTCTTGTTTTTGTTATATGTTTTAACTTAGAACCACCGCCCTGAAATGCATTGATGCTACATTTTATATTGCAACGTTTGCGATTCCATCACTCGTTTCTCTTTGTTCAAGAAGAACAGATTTGTAAACCGTAGCCTACTGCTTAATTCAATTGACATCATCGCGAACTTCTATAATTATAAGCAAAGATATCGCAGAAATATATTGTAGAAATTGGCCGAATATTCCTATGTAACCCCAGAATGAGTCATAATAGTAAAACGAAAAAGATTCCCGAAGGTATACCACGTTCAGCACTGTCGCGATAAGCGTGAAATCAAATTCAAATTTAGCAGTCGTTCCAAATATGGGCATCAAGAAATCACATTGCCTCCCGGCTGGTCGCGTGATTGAATATTGGTAATGTAAACCGTTTCAGTATAATCGATAACAAAACAGCTGCCCACTCTTGTTAGAAATCGAAAATATCTTTAATATGAGGGAATTCACTTAGAGTTAGTATTTTTTTCACCTCTCTTTGTGTCAGCAGTAACAGTAAAAAGGCGAGGTATGATAATTGTTCATCCAAAGTTTCTATGCGATATTCTAAAAGACACCAATGTCTATAACAATTGGCACTGAGTCTTTTGAAACAAGGAAGCATCGGATGCTTATTACTGCAGCTCCATACAAGAGAAAACCGAATGAATCATTCTCAATAAATCATTTTATCGCAGAATCAATTGCAAGTCCAGCTACAAAGATAACAACTAAACGTCATAATATAACACAATTTGCGAATGAGTAATGAAAAAGAGAAACACTCAATTTAGGTCCTTTCTGATAACCAAAAACCAAATTGATTGATATGCTTCTGCTTCAAAAATGCCTTTCCACCATGCCGTTGTGACAAAATATGAAGTTAATATATATTTATATTATAATTTTCAGCGTTTACTATGTAGTGATATTAGCATCTAATATTTATTCATCACATACGCACTAGCATACTTGTACAAATCCTAGATGTTTTCTTATCAAATTGAAGTCCCACTATCTGAAGATATGTCAGGAATAAAGTCTCGCATAGATCGCATGACTAACCAGGCTCGTTCAACAGTCTATAGGTCCAGGCCGTAATTATACACTAATTTTTGTACTCAGATAAATACTTAATAATGAATGTATGCTTACAATATTTGCCATCGACAATGATTCTTTTAGCTTGGCAAGCCATTTTTCCTGATCCTCAGGTGTTTCAGTGTAGAAAAATTCGCGGTTTATCTGGAAAGGAAAAAGGGTAATTTGTACAGTCGGCAAGCAATTCAAACAAACTAAAACTCACTTGTTTGGAATTCTTTGTTGATTCCGTCTTATCTTCTTTCTTTATTGGTTCAATAATTACGGTATTCGGACTTTTCTTACATTGCTTTCTCGGAGCTTTTACACATTCTGCATAATGTTTTAGGTTCACAGTGCTGCATGTTTTTTCGGTGCCATCCGATTTCTGAAAAATAAACAAATTACAGTAACCTCAATAAAGTTAACACCATTCGAATAAAAGTATACGTATAACATGTTTTCTTGTTTAGAAGGTTTTCGGTCAATTATCACCTGGTGAATGATGGTGCTGCCAAAAACGAACGTATACTCTGACTGATTTTAGGGAAATTGCCTGCAATTATAGAATCGAATAAAATTACGACCGCCAGATCACGCTGAATCGGATTACAAATTTACACTTGGACTTCCAAACATGTATGATACATAATTTTTCAATCATGATTACGTATAAATTTGGTACGTCGAACAGACGACTTGAATATTTAAGTTAAAGATAACATGCCTAATAAGATGCTATATATATATTGTACGGTATAAACTGTACCATATACTGTAAGTGTAAGATATTTCCATTACGTTTCTACATAAGTAATAAATGAATGAAAATGTAAAAGCGCGATTTGTATAAAGATATTCACAAATACAAACGAACTTGTTGCTCATATAAATAAAGAACTCCGTTGGAAAGTACACAGTATCTTTTACGCCAACGCTTCCTCATGAAACCTTCGTTTATTAATTTATAAACCCATCCTGCAGCATCGGAATTTTCAAATGAGTTCGCTGCCGGTATAACCTGAAATAGAGAAAAAAATAATGTCATTTCAGTTAAATGCTAAATTACGGACAAGACTGGAGAAGCAAGCTAAGATTCGAAACTCAAACGTGTCCAGACTACGGCTCTTATTGGCATTTGAAGGGTCATAATATTTTATTTCTAACTTGCTCTGGAGAGGATAAACATGCCAATAAAATCTGACCCGTCCCACTCATTGACATTACATTGAACAATGTTATTTCATTATTATTGAAATGTTATGTACGTATGACAGGTCGATCGCTTTCATTTTCATCGAACATTCAAAATTTGGTAGCATTTTAAAACGAATAACACTCAGTCGTTTACAACATTTTCCCAACTTCTTTGTGAGCGCCTGTGTTCTCGATTTTATGCAAGTATTCATACGGGATACATACATAGTGCGTGATTGCCACCAGGTAAACTCATGTTGATAATAAATGAAGCACAACCGGTGTTAGCAAAACGATGTAATTTGACGACGTTTCAAATTTCTATACAGAAAAACTTCATCAGGGCATGATATGGAAAGGACACAAGTGGATATATATAGATCAAGATAATATTTTATATTATTCATATTTTTTCTTTTTCTTGCTCTATATATATCCACTTGTGTCCTTTCCATATCATGCCCTGATGAAGTTTTTCTGTATAGAAATTTGAAACGTCGTCAAATTACATCGTTTTGCTAACACCGGTTGTGCTTCATTTATTATCAACGGGATACATACATGTTGGTAATTTCATTTCAACGTTATTGCTTCCTCTTGCTTTATATTTTGCACGACATTATCGTAAAATATTTACATACAATGATCGATTTACGCTTAGTTGTCAAATGTAGTGCTGCAATTGTATTTGAATCGAAAATTTTGACTGACATCTGCAGTCCACACACGAACGATGACTCGCATGAAAAATACCATCAGCACAAAGACAACACAACACTGTTTTTCATATAATATACAAACACACATAGTGATCTCTGATCGAAATACCCAGTAAACTATCAAGTATGGATTTTAAATAGAACCAGTCTTTGTCGCACACTTGATCTCCATACTTGACGGTCACGCGCTGCACTCATTTAAGAAGGATCTAGTCTCAAAGGGAACTATAAGCAAAGATGCGGGAGACCACGGTTTACCTGGACCATATATAGATATAGAAAGATGCGTAACGAGCAAGGAAATACCCATTGCTGACAAACAAGTAATATAAAACGAATAAGGCATCTGCGTTTACAACCTATGGCCAAAACGTCATAATCGAATACCAAAGTTAACAAATGGGAAACAGATGATTCGTTAGATAGTACATTGAAAACTTACAGTTCTAGTTCCCTTTGTCTTTTTATCCTCCATTGTTTTGTCATATATTAGTTAAGTGCTTTAAATCCATTTGGAAAAGTAGAAATATGTTATTTTCTAATAACCCATTCTTATTCATATACAATATATACAACTAAAATATAATGGAATAAAGTCATATTATTCATATATTTAGTACATTCATATTTACATAGTCCTTTATCCTTCAATCACATTATCTGTCTTTATGCGCCATTTATCAATAAAACATAAGATAGCCAACTGCTCAGATGCCAGTACTATTAGTATATATACTATAATATATGTGTATATAGGCTATATACGTAATTCATAAAGTTCCCTTCATTGCTTATCGTAATCTTATATGTAATCATGTATGCATGTATAACCGACTATAAATAATGTCTCTAGTATAAGATCAAGAGCAAATTCAATGCTTATCCTGTACAGCTTGCACATTGTAGTTGTAGTCATCATCCAGTGATGACACATTTACATTTCATTAAGCATATGGTAAATCATCAGTTTAAGCGAACAAATATGTTACAAGACTATTCAAATTCAAGCTTGTTCATTTCATAATTTAAGGTGTAATTAATATGCAAAAAGTATGTACCAAACATGCACATCAATATATGAGACTCTATGCATACTGTTTACACCAATAAATAATGATTTGTCGCGCTGAGTTGCGCATGTTGTAAACGAAATATTTGAGCATAATCTATGTCCAAAGACAAAACTGTCTCTCTGAAAACCTCTGAAATAAGCCAAATAGTTGAGATAGTCAAATTGACAAAACATAAGTGTCAAGCATCATAATGGGAGGTGTAAGAATCTGCTGTAAAATTTTTTTTATAATTTTACTAACGCTTTTATGTTCTGACACAAACCCCACTGAGAATTAAGGTAAAAACTGTCCCAACTCCTGTCATTCGTAAACAAGGCAAACTGTACAATTTCATGGCATTCTAAATCGACCAAATATTTGTGATTCGGTGAAGATCACTAAAGAGCATATCATGCAACATGGTAATTAAACTATTCTATTTTTTGAAGCTTATTATGACGCCATTGACAAGGGAAAGTCTTGGTGTTGACTTCTTTTGAAGCTGAAATAATTTGATAATTGAAAGCTATAATAAGTACATTGTTATAAATTTATATTAGCATACATTGCTGATGATTAGTAATTTGTTCACCATTTGTAAAACAATCTTAATGTCAGCGAAAGGGCGTAGAAATTCAATTTATTAATTGATTTATTAATGAAGAATCGTCAGGCGTGATACTATCACTGTTTGCAATTTGCGCTTTACTATATCGGCACCGCAGTTCGGAGAGCTGGGATATAATCTCACTAGGCAGAGATGATTTCATAGCCCAGAGGCCAGGGCTTTACCTAGAACGTAAACTCACAACGTAAATTTGGACGAAGCATAGATATTGAAATGACTATTGCATCGACACGATGTTTAATGGCAGTATTAAGCATGTCGAAAGCCATTTAACGGGGCAGATCGATACCAATATCAAAACACTTCAGAATAGAAAATGAAGATTCGCCACAGATATTAAATAAAAACTGACAATATTTTGTTTGTCACCTTTTTCTCTCGCAATATTATATTTTTGAACAACTAAACGATACCTATACTCGAAAAGTTTGGTTCTCTTAATGAAAATTCTTGGGTTTTCATATGTATTGGTCATACTAAAATACCGTACCAGATTCCAGGCAAAACGAAAATCCACTTTACAGGAAACACAACTTTTGATATGAATGTTAGTGCTTAGCGGATTAGTAACATTCTGAATAGTATATAATACACTACATACAGGATGTCCATAAAACTAACTGCAAACAAACCTACATATAAAACGAGTACTGGAATACTTACAGGAAGCAACAGACATTATGCAAGTGACGTACGTAACTTGCCTTAGGTATACTAATCAAGACTTCGTGATATCGAGCCAACATATTATTTAAGCATTTTAACTGCGGGGAATTACAGATTTGCTTGAGTCATACCTATCATTAAATTTGAATGCAATTTTTCGAATTCCAAGAGTATGCTCATCCGATGGAAAGCATTCTATCGACTGGCGCTTAAAGTTACTACTAACCTATATCGTATATGACTGCAGAGGTACCGCAAGATAATTCACCAATACTAACGCGGAACAGAAACACCGACCGTAAAAATCGATATTACTCTTTGCTATAACGTCATATGTATGTCGCAGTAGCGCGATAAAATGCCATATTGGTGGAACTTCGCTAATGGTATAATTTAGTCATCATTGTTAACAAGGCTACAAGAGGACTGGAAACATGTGATTAAATATTAAAAAATGTTTGGTTATGGTATCAAATTAGACATGGAACACTTTGCCAGCAAATTATATTGAACTTAATGCTGCTGAAAGATAACGTGGAGAGCTATGTCTGACTCAACATTGGTAAACAATATAAATACTGTCATACAAATTACATCCTTGATACAAAATTACTCAATTTTTACTAGGTGACTTCAGTCAATAAGAATAGAAATCAAGCATACACAGGTAAAATAAATTGAGTTAGTACATATTTCACAGTTTATCTTTTTCTATGTTTGTTCACGTTGAATTTATTCAAACACACAGGTTGATATTTCCTACATCTGTCTGTACATCGCACTGTCAGTAACAATACGAAAAGAAAACGATATCGCTCATGAACAGTAAATTTTATCTGACATTAGTCGTGCATTTCGACAATATTCATGGATATCGTTCACTGTTGCTATCTATTATGTTTAACGATTTCCAAACATACCTTGCCATAGTGATTGTGTATGTACATTGAATAGTAGCTTTGCTCCATGCATGTAGTGAGGTTCTAAGCCAGGCTATCATTGCGTCAGGTTTATATCAACGTACTAAACGAACTATCTCATGTTATACTACGTTAAACAAGAAAATCAAATCGATTATTTGTATGGACCAGACTAATTTAAAATCCTAAAATCCTCAATTACGCATGAGTTCAACATCATGCAAAATCTGGCATGTGGCTCGAATTAACGGTGACTAACCAAGTACATTACAAGACTCTTGTGAACCTTAAACCACAAGTCTTTTTATTATGGTGCGAGAATGCTAAATCCTCAGACTCCCAGTCCAGTCTACAATTATTCACGAGGATACCAAGATGCTTTGTCCTGATACCCGATGATCGCAACGAATTGCCACCGTCGACAATTCAGTAGACATTGTGACGTACTTCCTCTCGGTGAATAAATAGTTTCGAAGCTCACCGAGTTTCCTCGACAATGGTTTTGTGAGCCATTGCTCTTTACTGCACTCGAGCGCTTAGACTGGTTTAACATCATGGTCATTAAATGTTTTAGCGAAACTTTGTGAAGAGGATATAAAAGTTTAACAGCGAGCCTATGACTCGCAACTTGAATTAAATGAATAGGTAACAAATCTCAACCATATTATATCGTTCTTTTTCATTGCTTTTGTGTTCATAGTAAAAGGAAAGACTTCCATGACCAGCATTTCAGATAACATTTTTTGTTCTTTCTAAAAAACATTAATTTCGCCAATTCTTTGTAAGATTTGTCTGATTCCACTGATGGAAATCTGCCACCAATAATTTCTACTGTTAAAAATGTAAAGATTCAAGTAGCTTGATACTTTATTTTTTCAACGCTCAATGCAGGACAGATTTATTTAATTTGAAACTTTTGACGTTACATCTTCTCCATATATCTTTCAATCCTTGGTTGTTAATTAATGGCTAGTTTTTAGTCCTGCACATACAGCAACATTTTCAGCACTGTGGCGATTTCTGGTTTTCGATTTTTTGTGTGTGAAAACAAGAATTTACATGGATAGGAAATACCCAAAAGCGTTACTAATGCTACGGAACACCGTTATAGTTTTAAGAGAAAATGGAAAATAATTTCACTCTGCGATAAGATAATTGTATTTCTTTCGGCTTTCAACCGCATCAAATTCAATAACGTCAATCTCTGTTTCAATTTCAGACTTCTGTTTATCTAAGTTTATAACTTCTATTTTGTAAACGGCACTATTTGGGAATATATTAAATCTATTTTCACATTGGAAAGACGAAGCCATTCGAACTTCGATAATTCGAGATTCTTGAAATAAATTGTATGAGAATAACGAGATTACTCATTGGATATTTGTAAAATATATCGAATGTTCTCTAGTTGATATCAAAGGACAATTTTGTTTCAAACCAAAGAAAATTTTGAACCACCTCATATATATATATATATATGTATTTAAAGTGCGTATTACAAAAAAAAGGGCGGGCACGGTACCGAGAACCGTTAGACACGTAACTTACGTACGAATTTGAAATTCAACATCTTCATCTCAAGCGGGAGACGTACGAGAAAGTAAACTGACGTCGTAGGATACAGGCAGTAGATATCTCAAAAACTTCCTAGAAGAGTATATATATATGGGTATCGCAGTGGCGGCGCGTGGTCATTTTGACAACCGGGGCAAGCTACTGCGGGACCAAGTCACCCCCATCTACGGGGACAGGATGAGCGCTGTAAGTTCTCCCATCATTTTATGAATATAAAAACCATTCCATCGGTAACAACCAATCGGCAAAAGCGACAATTTGTAACGATAAGAAAGTGTCTTTAAAACCGGTCCAAGTCAAAGGATTAATAAATATAGACATAGTTTATTTTGAAACCTCTTTCAAAAGGAAAGGCAATATTTACCCAGATAAATACAATGACATATTAACAGAAACTTCGGGAAAGCAGACAAAACCTAAAATAAGGTTTAAAACGTTACTATGAAGAAAGGAAAGTTAATGCAAAGATAAGGACATGCGTCGCTCACTCATAGATATATATGCTGCTAGACTTCTACTGCTTGAACATATATGCAACACGCCGCGGTTTCTTGGAAGCAAAATGCTCAATAACGCGCTGATTAAATCATGCATTCCAGAAATAACGTCTCTGTGAATGGATAAAACAGCCAGAAATTTTGCAGACGCCGCAAAAGTAGTTACTAGAGTGTTATCTATGAGGAACCCATAGAGCGCGCAAGTTGATGTGATGTTCAAAAAAAAATTTTTGGGGTTCATCAAAGAGAACGCGGCAAGGTGTTCAGTGCGCAGACGATCGCCTATTTGATTCACCAGAATGTCACAGCATTCCTTTGCAGACAAAATCAAACGCTGCGTTGTTTGCCCGCGGCGTAAAGAAGCACTCCATGTGTCGTCGTATTTTATTGTTTCCCGGATACGAGATACAGCATCGCAGAAGTCTGAAATACACGACTGCACAGACGCTCCATCCATTAGCCTTGACTGCAATGCGCCGTATAATACATCCACGTGATAGAATATTGTGGAGAAAAAAGTGAGAAAAAATGAAAACTCACCATCTTCTAGCAGACGCTTTAGACCTGCCGCCTCCCTCACAGAGCGTTCGTCCCAAACCGGAGAGCTCTGAATGCCATTGAAACACTCAATGAGCTCAGACCTAATTTCGGACACGCCCTGCACCACGCGTGATTGGAAGTTCCAACGTGTTGGTGCACAAGCTGGGAGACGGCGGCTACATATCTGGCGAAGGAGGTCAGAGCGCTTCGGCGAAACGGAAAAAAATGAAGAAAACCCCGAAACATTTGCAAAAAATATACGGACGAGAGGGGTATCAAGGCACATATTTTTAATAACGAGGTTAAATTGGTGTGCATAACAATGTAAAAAATGCGCATGAGGAAAATCTTCTTTTATATAAACCTGAACACCATGTTTCGACCCACTCATGACTGCCGCGCCGTCATAAGTTTGAGCTATCAATTTTGACTTCGCGTTGTAAGGCTGTAACACTTCTTTCAGTACAGCCGATATCCCGCAAGCCGTGCGATCAACGATTGGTACAAAGCTGTGAAATCTCTCGGTAGGTTTACCATCTTTCACAAACCGAAAAATCACAGCCAGTTGGGAAACGCACGTGATGTCAGTTGTCTCGTCAGACTGAATCGAAAGGAACTGGCAATTCTCAATTTCCAGAGCCAAATGTTGTAAATAAATTTTATACATTGAGTCGAGCAAATCATTTTGGATATCCTTAGATGTCCCTTACGAAACAGTTGCGGCATCAAGATGATCTCTCAATACTGTATCTAGGGATGCGGTGTATTCCACCATATCCAAAAATACCCCTCTATTGGAAGAGCCAGCCCGTTCATCGTGCCCACGGAGGGACAACTCGTGACAACCAATGAACTTCAAAACATCTATCAATCGACCGAGAACATGGCGGTTTTTCTCGACGTTTTGGTTGTGCCGACGAATAGAAACCGCGCGTCCTTCATCCAACTGTGCTGCAATATTAACATTTCCGAATGTTCGGTATTTTACTGCATTGACCAGATGCTCCATAGAAGATTGATGATCCCTGGCACGCTCGGAAAGATGTTTAAGATCTCTAAAACCAAATTTACACCAACGTGAGTCACGGGCGGTAGCAAAAAGTAGGCGATAAAAACAAAAAAGTGCATTTTTGTCCTCGCTGTAACACAACTATTCGTGTTTTTTATACCAAGTTTCTGCGCAGAATGTACGCCGACGCTTTCCTCCGTCATGGGATTGTTCCAGTGAACAATGTTTTGGTTGATAAGGCCCAAGACGTTGTACCTCTAATTTTTGTTCCAGCGGCAGCTGCGAAAACGGAGTGCGAAGTACTGCATCAACCTTATTCATTATGAGGTCTAAGGCTAAAAAATGCGAAGCCGGAAAGAAGTGAGGAGCTCAAAAGGAATGTGGAAAATCGAAAGCAAATGGACTAAAGGTCTCTAACTGATTCAAATAGCGAAACAAGCGACAAAAACGAAGGCGAGGAAACTATCAACTCTTCAAGCAACCAACGAACGAGAAGGAATGCATGAATATGTCAACACGTTGTTGTAAGAAACGTCGGCATTGTGTCGTCATAATTTCGGGGCTAGCCCCGATGATTTAGTAAAAGAAACAGAAAACAAACGAGACAAACGCGGCGAGTGGAAGATAAAAGAGAGAATACGATATACAATGAGCAACCGGGGCAAAATCGGCGTCGCCCCGTCGACGTTCGGCGAAGGCTTTGCGAGCGAAAAATGAACCATGTCGGGAGAATATGGCTAGTGTAGACAGTCTGTGCAACCGATATTGAGGTATTTTTCGAATATTTTTTATTATACCGAAAAAACAACCGGGGCATTGCCCCGGTTGGCCTTATTGACGCGCCGCCACTGGGTATAAGTGTCCCGTAACACCAACCAACATTGGGCAGAAATATCTGACCACATGTACTATTATTACCGATCTAGTGGTATCTTCCGCACAACAGTATAAGGACGGAACAAGGCCGGTATTACGGCGATTCGAGGAATCCGAGTAATAGGCCATGGACTCGAGTCGAATCTTCCGAGTTGGTGTACAATCAGCCTCATCGTGATATCTCACGATATGTTGTAGCTACTTTTCATTGTGTAGATTTACTTCAAATTCTAAATGAAGTATCGACGCGCAGTGTTCTTTTCTCAACTCGATTATTGGTTAGAACTATTCGTTATACGTTAAAAATATTCGGACGATATGGGGTCGCAGCGTTCTATCAACGCGAAGCGAAAGGGTTTCTCAGATGAAAATATTTAAGTTCGCCAAAATGTTGTGGATTCGAGTTTTGGCGGAGCTTAGCTAAAGATTTCCGAACTCTTTCTCAGATGTTTGATCAGGTTTTCTTTACGACCTTGGTAAATTTATAAAAATAAATACGTACGTACAATTCTGACTTATTGTATAATGGCTCCGGGAACAAAAGTTTTTCAACCTTTTGAATGTTTCTAGAATATTCCCATTGGTTTCCGTTGGTGTCGGAGCGATTCTCACATTCTATGTTATTTTATCGACATACTATTTCTGAAACCCTAATAATACTCATTAAAACTCATACACATACGACTAATCCCTTCTTTCGTGTACTTGAGTATAGTTTCTTATGCTTCAGCGATTCCCGACATGTAATTTAAAGTTGTTACCTCCAACGACTCGATACTGTGCTTTTTCTTTTGATGGGTTCCACCAAGTGGATTGTTCTTTAAGTCAGTAACGACATATATATGTACAAATAAAATGTATACATATATATATACATTGAAAGTAGTATCGTTTCATAGCATGCATTATTTCTAGATAATTGTGTTCCATCGATTTGCGTCATGAACTCTATTTTAATCGCGTGTAGTTTTCGGGAAACAAATTTATTTTGAAATTCATTACAGTCGTTTTTAAACTTAATAAATTCTAAAGACATTAATTACCGTGACGATTGCAATTATTTGTTATCAAGTTTCATCGCTATTATCTTTACTTTAGTGGGTGTTGTTGTTATTTAGCACCTGAAATTTGTTTGGAAAACTTCCTTGCGGTAAAATATAGGGATTCAATTGCATATACCAGAAACTAGTTGGGCGTGCGATATTACGCTTGCGTCACATAAGATGGGTCCCAAAGATTTTGTTTGTGAAACACGCTGATAAAGACTGGTAACGGTACACTGGTAGGTGAATATTTATAATTTGTTTGTATATATAACATTGAGTTGCATATCAAAGAAAACAGCAAGAATAAATCCCGGGTCGCTGATTACTTCAAAGCGGTTGTCACTGGCTCACCATGTCATCCGCAAATATAATTCAGGGATCACTGATACAACAGAAATATTCATGCCGAGATTCTTCTGTTCGGTGCGTTATTAAACACATACCCGAGGACCTGTCAAACATTGAAATAACTAAATTTCTTGCTAAATTAGGAGTTTCACAAACCGATTGACTGAAACGGTAAACAAGCTCAGCGTTTGTTTTTGTTCTACTGACCTAATTGAAACATAACACAAATATTGTTTCTTGTGCGGTTAAGACCGGATTTTGAGATTCATGATGATCATCCGTCTCCGATCAGTTTTTTATATTCTGACAGATATCTATATATTGATGAAAATTTCGGCAGCAAGAAACGTTGTACCTGTTTGCTATGGTGAACATGAACACGCGTCATGCAATGCTACCCCGAGCTCGGATTAATCACTAGGCAGACTTGGCACATGTCTGCGCGGATCACTAAAAAGCATATCCAGAAGTCGGAACGCATACGCGGCGGAAATGTACGTTAAATTTGTCACTTTCTCGCATCATAAAGTGGTCTCGCTTACTTTGTTACGTTGGAAGTTACTGTATCTGCAGCAAAATGTAAACTGAAGTACAAGCTTTTATGGTTTCCGAGCCGATTTCGATTTTTATTCAAAATTTGCGACTTTGTTGTCATCCGACGCGGAGTAACTTTTTTAAATCCGCAACTTATCTTCAGTAATTACAACGAGTACTCCCAATGAACCAGTCGGCCTACGATACCTGAAGAAGGCAAAGCCTAGACACATTGGGACCGGGCTGACCTAGGCTCTAAATAAATGAGTGCTCCGGCGTTCTAACTATCCCGAAATAATATAAATCTTGCCGAAACGTGTAAATTGCATGATAGTGCTGATGTTAGCTTGGTAGTACTAGTTATTTACTGGGGTATATCACTGACTTGGTCTGAAATATTTCATATTCTTTCCTATACCTGCAAGCCAATTGAGCGCGATGTCAAAACGGAATGGTGGTTGGGAAGGAAATCAAGAATTGAAGAAGAATATATGGAACACAGAATATAGATTTCATTTTATCAAGTCACCGACCGAGTGGATAAAACAGTAGCGACCTGACTCGTCTCCTATTTTTAAGTTTCCTAAATTGATAGTTTTGTTCTTCATTATCGAGAAACATCAATGCATCACATAATTGTTAAATTTCTACTCATTCTTGACATTGTGTTTTATTAAAGCTATGTGTTGGGGGTTGTTTATATCAACGGTCAGACAGGGGTGGTATACTATGAAGTCAAATATCTTGGCTATGTCAATGAGATTGCATTAGATTTGAAAATAATTGCTTTTTAGAGAGCGGAAAACTGTAATTATGACCAAACGTTGCAGGCGTCTATAAATTTGCCTTATTTCTAGGATTTGTCTTGCATGCTTGATGATTGCTCATAAAATATGCTGAGGTTCCACGTGTAGCATATATATAGGTGATAGACATTTTACTGTCGAATCAAAAAACTTCATTTCAACTATTACAAACAATTTGAAGTTTTGTGAAAATATTTCATACTGGAAGGTGAATAGAGATGAACAATTAGAAACAAATGCAAACAATTTATATATATATATACTACTATAGTTGCGTTATTTGATGATATTCATCTTGTGCGCCGTTTATAGATGCTTCTGTAAATTCCTTGTCGTGAAAAGCTAAATTCTCTTTCTGATTTTGCAAGCTCAAATCGGGAACTTCAACAATTTTCTCAGTCCCAGATGTTCTGTAAAATCTCATAGCAAGATAGAAGAGAAGAGTCGATAGAGCCTTGAAGGCCATGGCTGAAATAGTATAAAAACAACCAACAATCTAGTTGTAGAAAAGACTATTTCAATTCAAGAAGTCAAATCCATTCATATTCAGAAGCAACTTACAAAGGCTCATGAGATTGATTGCTAGCTGATTGCTGTCGTAAATATAGCATGATCCCAATTCTTTCGGACAGCTTTTTTCTTGCCACAATAGACAAGTACTGTCGAGTATGACTCCAAAGACTAGAGGCCCTGGTATGCTTCCGAATGTCCTAAGAAGAAAAACTTGCAGCCCAACAGCAAAAGAACGTTGAGAATCGGGAACGCACCTGTGCCAAAGTAGTAGTATATAGTGAATACAAATAAATCTTCAGTTTAGTCTCTTTAAAAACAATTTTAATTTAGTGCAAACACTCGCAGGTACTAAATAAAGTACAAATCGAATTACAGAATCGACGTTTAAAAAAAATTGACTTAAAAACTTGACTTAAAAAAACTTAACTTACAATACAAATGCCATCTATTCCTGGTAAGCACGATATAACATAATTCTAAATCTAAAACACAATGTTCCGCGTAATGCCCGCCTTGTCGAAAACTAGCGATGTGTTCAATACTTATTCTCACTTTTTACCTTAGTATTACAAGTTGACATGGAGTACTTATTATAAAATTCAGCAAAGTGATGACGAAGAAGACGGCCATGTAAGGAATAATTGCGTCACATGGATTCTCGCACAAACTGAGCGTAGCAGTTGATATCTCACCATTCGTGGATTCCAAAACACAAGAACAATTTCCAAACGCCTTTGTAGAAAACAAAATATTAATATTAGTTAAAACGCTATTTTATCGTAATAATTTATTAAGTACACTAGTTTATTTCAAAGCATTCATTCAACAGCATATACCCACTAGTCTAACATCACATGATTATAACGTTTCTAAAAACTATTAAACCTACAACATATTCTGGATAGTATATGCTGCACCCTGCATGGCAAGCAGAAAAGTAGCTGAAATTTCCCTGGCATACAGGTATGAAATATTCCTCTTCGCATTCCCCACAATTATTGTTACATGCGGCATCAAGATTGGTGTTGTCAGGTCTTTGAAACGGATATCTGGAATGTGCGTGAAGCATAGTAAGAAGTCAATATTAATAAATCATTCTAAAACAGACATTATAAAACGATGGGTTAAATAAAAATACGCTAATAAAAGTTTGAACGAAATAGTTGATAGAATTATTAATATAAATGATATTTTTGACGAGGATAGTAGCGAAGACAAGACAATGTAAATATAGATATTCTAGAAATGAATGATAATAATGTTGCTGTGAGTAAACTAATAAGAGTAAACTAATTAACACACTTTTGGGGTCACTGAACTCGAGCGACTATCTTTCTAAGAGCGTTTTTCTAATATATGATTGTAGGTAATATAAGCAGGTCAGCTAGCGGATTGAACTAAATAATCTATAGGTAACGTGTTGATAGAAAAGTCTATCACTTGTGTTATATTATAAACTTTGTATTCTATGTTGCACTTCAATTCTTTTAAAAAGCCTGCGGGACGTTCAAAACTATACTATATGTTAAAAAGGATACGGAATGCGTTTGGCAAACAAGTATATAGATAACACTCGCCAACAAAACAAATAAAGAAAGAGCAGTAAGAATGACGTACACCAAGATGCGCACCTGCAATACCATTTAAACACAATGTGATATCTTGAAGTAGAAATTCACATAATAACAAGAAATGTAATTCTGTGCTAGTAGGAAGAAAGATTGCATTGGGACTGGGAGTATGTTATTAATGGCATAATGGAATGGCGCTGAAATTATGCAAAATCAAAAAGAGCGGCAAAGAAAGATTTTTTGTATGCTAATGTTCACAGTGCACAATCAATTTATTATATTTTTTGAAGCAGAAATTGATAAAATAGTAACGCTCACTTATTTGTAATAAGCAAGGCTAGACAAACAAAGTCAGTTAGTTAAATTAAATAGAATCATTTAATTTAGAATAATCTGGCTGTAAATCGATACACATTACTGTTTCCGCCACCTTACCTTTGTTGACCATGATAAATCGTAAGAATACACTACAGCCTAGCCTAGATCAGCACGGACAAGCGAAGTCAAGGCTTCGAATATATAATAATCGCGTAATAACTTTGACATACTATTGCGCTAAATTCAATTCAGGTGTATATCTGACAAATTTTTATTGAACCTCCTGATAATAATATTTGCTATTTTGTCATATAGCCACGTTTTGACAGCGACGTGTTCTGCGCATTTTATCACGGAAATCGTCTCGTCTCAATAATTCTGCCTCTTCGATCTAATAAGAAACTAAAGTTCTAACCACCAGTCGCTACGTTAAAACTGAGGTGTCGAGGTGTTCGCTCGACTTTTAAGTAACCTGCTTGGTTTAAATCAAAATAGAGTTACAAATAGGATTGATATCGACACCTCGATATCGACCTATTTTATGCTAATATTTTTTTTCAGGAATATACTTTTTCATAATTCTATTTCACGTAGCTAATTTTTCTTGAATTGTTTCTCTCGTCTAATGATATCTATGGAGCTGTCTGCGGATTTTAGGATGCCAGTAGTCGATTGCAACTAGCTACTGGTACTTTTTATAAAAAGTAGTCATTACTCGTATGATACTGTCACTCCTGCAACCTTTGGATCATTGCAATGATACAATCCGATCGGCGACAGTATAATTACACCTATAATACACGCCATGTTGAGTTTTAAAAGTTGTTTCGTTCGCATGTTAAATTTGCTGACAAGACCTCCGGCAATTAAGTGACCTAGAACACCACCAGGAAGAGAGATGGCACCTGGAATAGAAGAATTTTTTTTTCTCAGAAAAATGTTATATAACTTTATGTAACTGGTTTGCATAGCTCCAAACAATTTGTTACGTTTGGCACTCATTTTGTAAGAATGATCAATTTGATAACAAGTTTCTTATTAACTGTTTTAAAAAAAGTGTGCTATCGAAACCCTTGGAGTGATCTAAATAATGCACATCAGACAATTTGCATCCTATTAACCCTGCTAAAACGCTTAATAAAGGTGGCCCGCATAGCAAACATATATTCATAACATCATGCAACAACATTAGCGTAACAAAGTATGCAGATTAAAAAATTCACAATACTCTCCAACTGAATTGTACAGCAGTAATGCATTATTACTAAACTGTGCTTTATATTGTTTTGTTTTACCTGCATATAAAGCAGCTGCTGAAGGAGTTGTATTATACTGATTTTCAATGACTTTTGGCAAGAATGCTGTAAAACCACTGATTATGAAAGCTTCTGATGCGCCAGCAGAAACAGTCAGAATGTATGTTGGGTTTTTAAGCAGGGTCATAATTGCTACAGGCATGTCTTTGATTGATTTCCCAAAACCCTCCTTTTCAGTTATTTCTGCTCCTGCATTCACATGAACCTCAGAATCACGCTCAGCTCGAGTTTTTGCACTACCTAAATATTAAATAAAATAGAATATTACAACATGATTAATGAAGATACCGCCGTTCATTTGATGCATTTTACGGTATATTAATTGATTATTGGGTACATTACAGTATTTTAATTAAGTATCATTTTTAGGGATATGTTTACGTATATATATTTACGGTCAATCTATTTCTTGCAAATATGCACAGCCATCAAAATAGATAAATTTCTAATGCTCACCTGGAAACTGTCTCGGAAATCCAAACATCGGTATCATCACCAGTATGTAGCACATTCCAGCAGATACCAAATGTCCGACCCACCATGCACCGACCCAGCGAGGATCGTATAACGTTAAATCGCCCCTAAAATAACCAACACCAGTTAAGATGATGTGTATTGAGTGACTAGTTTCGGTCAGTGTTGAACGTTTGTACATATAAACGATGGATAAGTCATAGCCGCAGTCCGTTTCTTATATTTCAAGAAAATTAATGTATATATATATATATATTAAATAAAAATATGTAAATCGAAAAGGCGCGACAAATGATTGTGCGATTGGAAAATTTTCAAAATACTCGAGTTGATTATAATTGTCTGGCAAATAACCAGTCAATAGTTTTTTTGGGAAATACTAATTTCTTATATGTATAGGTATCAATAATCAGGGTACTTGTCAGCGTCTGGTTCATTGAAATCCACATATACTGTAAGGAGATATCCACCAAGTATGTATCCAAATACAGGACCTAAGAGTGACATGGCGTTTGCAAAGCCTGTATAAAGAAATCTTAATTCAAGATAAGTCATTGGTTTAGCTTGACTTTTGTAAACGAGCATTATGTTACGTAAAGTATTCGACATTGAAGGCGTTCCAAAACCTAGAGATTTTAGAAAGCCGTGACAGTACGGATAAATACGTGTTATTCAAGCAAAATACACCGTTTTGAACGTTTGGAATATCGATGTGTTCAAATCGTTTCCAGGTTACGAGTTTAATACTATTTGTACCTCACACCAATCTGCATTGTACAAAATCACAAAATTTAATAAAATCCTGTGGAAAAAGTCATCCACTGGCGTGATTGATTTTTTAATTCTATAAATAGATGATACAACTCAGATAGAAAGAAACTTTCACATGGTAAATGAAATCATACTCAAGTATAGAGGAGATTTTGCTTTTGGCAAACTGTCTTCTAAAACTGCATAGGACACAGTATATAATGGAACACATCCCATTCCTTGAAGCAACATTGAAAATATAAAAAGATACAAATATCCATGTAAGTTTTCGCTTTGTTCTGAACAACTTATTGTTTTGTTTGGGTAACACAGAGCTGAGAAAAAGATTCATTTACAAAACATTAATGATTAATTGAATTTATATAAATTAAAGCTCATTCAAAATCAATAGCTGAGGTGAAGTATTTTATTTTACTGTTTTCTACACTGAAGGTATAAATGTCAGAATATGACCAGTAGATAGGGCCAATTGTATTTGCTGTAGATACTAAGATTAACTATTTTCTATGTTAAAGACCGTAAGAATAAAACTTCAATATGCTTTTCCCAGCGCCACTACTGCGAAGGGAATGGTAGACATATATCAATTATGCCCTTGGACAAAAATCGTATTCTATATAAGTTGTATTATTGTTGAATAAAATAATCAACCAACTTATGGAAATAACACTTGAATTAACTTACCTGTGGTACTGTCACCATATTCGTAAAGACTTGTGGTAAAATGAGGAACGGCAAACAACAAAGCTCCCGTACCAAGAAAAATCGATCCTATTGCCAACATCTTCGGCCGATGGCCTCTGTTTGCATAATATGTCACAAACAAGACAAATATCCAGTACCCAATGTCGTAAGAAACAGCGATTAATCCTGTTTCTGAACTTGTGAATCCGAATCTTTGCTCCAGGGTAGTTATGATTACATTGAAAATTCCATTTAGCAACATACCTAATTATAAACAAAAGTTTAGACTTTGAACTGAGAGGAGTAAAATTTTGTTGATGTAACTGATACAAACTTTCTCTGGGTTAAACTTGAAATAAGCCTTTTTTAATAAGGCCTTTGTATCTGGTAAATCAAACAGTTCGACCTGCGACGTGAGAACGCTTTATGGTAGGTTTGTTGTTGTTGTTATGTTTTATGGCGCTTATAACTTCAGTGGTCTTTTTGCGCCTTTGATCATTTTGAATTTAAAAATCCTATACTAACTTGGAAAAGATATTGTAAAAAAAAGTTACAATACACTAAATACAAAATAAAACTCACCTTGAGCTATCAGAAATAAGGAAAACACAGCGAGAAATCCAAGCGGGTTATTCCCACACTGTAAAAATTTTGGTTCACATCCGCAATAGCCGTAGTTTCCTTCAAACTCTTGACCTGGATATCCAACTTCATCCTTGCTTGATTGTTTTTGATAAGACATTTTGAATACACTAGAATAAATAATAAAATAATATCATTAGCTGCAACCGGACCCAATACGTGGAGAAGTCATTGGGAAGACGGTCTACATTGTGCCCATATTGCCTATACAACACGCATGTTCCATGACGCTTACTCCTGCATATAACTGTGTGGAACAGCAATATAAACTTGAGATGAAAGTTGCTATACCTAAATAACATATTACTGATTTGTAAAGGCCAATAAAATTACTTGAAATGAGACAGAAATGCCGACGAGATTCTAAAATAAGGCCGTTTTGTCAAAAATATGACGTTTCAATTTTTAACAATAAAACAGAAGTAAGCTAAAATGAGAGGTATTCGTATTTATCGATCTCATCAGAAAAGAACCACCACCAACGATACATTGCTAAACTATAGTTTCTGCAATAACTCACATTGTGCCCCTTGCAAATTTTATTATATTACTAGACAAACGTTTTCAGCAGAATTGTTTGCAATAGAGCTGTTATGCGACATGAGCATACAACGATCTAAAAAGAGACCAAGATAAATGTGCACTGTGTCTGTTTGCATGTATTATAAACGAGAAATGTTTGATGATTGTTTAATGATCAAAAATAACTGTAGCATAGAAAGCGGAATATGTCTATAGACCAAACACTACTAAAAAGGGAACTTTCTGGTTCAATAAGTGATTTAACGATGAATTGATTGCATTGTCATTTCAAACGGGTTGACACGAACTGCTTTTCTATAACAACACACACACGTATATATATATAAGCTTTCCGACCGATTTTCATTAAAAACTTTGCATTGAAATTATTTATTATGCTTTCTTTGTTGTATCGCATTAAGTCGAAAAACCGTTGCGACAAAAGCAGGTAACATTTGCTTGTGCACTGCTTGGCCTAATGCATCAATGCTTCCGGCAGTGTAAAATGGAAGAGGCATTGCTTACAGGTGTTATACTTTCCAAATATATCTGACCTGGCATGTCTCTTAAAATTAGAGTTTGGCTCCCAACAAAAATTTATTAATCTCTTAATTATGTGTTATAAATTTTGGTGACACTCTAAATCAGGGCAGTCCAACATTTTGGACAAAGGGCCACATTTAGTTTACTATTAAGTGCGTGGGCCACTCAACATGGTAGTTATATTTTAGTTTTGCTACACTGACTACAGGTTAATGAAAAAACAAACAATACCCTCACGCCAAACTTTCACAATTATTAGAACAATAAAACTCTTGTTTCCAACCGCTGATAGGCCGCCATCAGTGGTTATTCTGACAGTTTTGTCAAAGACGAACCAAGACACTTGATTATTTTCAACACAGCTCCCAACAAATCAATGCCTGGAGTCGTGCCCTTAATTGGGATAATGACTGAGAGCTATTTGATAATTTCAAAATCATCATTAACTCCCCGCATGATTAGCAGTAGACTTGATGTCAGTGCTTTCGTCAAGCGCCAAAAAATACGATGAAAACTTTCCCGCTTTTGCTCTTCAACACGGCGTGAACCGTCTGTCTGACATGCCTATTTTTGCAAACGCCTTTTTTATTTCCCGACATAAAATATTGGCAACCCGAAGAATACATTGCTCAACAAATTCTCAAGCTGAAAATGGCTTCGATTGTTTTGCGAATATTTCTGCCACGAAGTAGCTCGCTTTTATGTATGTATTGTCTACATTGTGCCCATATTGCCTATACAACACGCATGTTCCATGACGCTTACTCCTGCATATAACTGTGTGGGACAGCAATATAAACTTGAGATGAAAGTTGCTATACCTAAATAACATATTACTGATATGTAAAGGCCAATAAAATTACTTGAAATGAGACAGAAATGCCGACGAGATTCTAAAATAAGGCCGTTTTGTCAAAAATATGACGTTTCAATTTTTAACAATAAAACAGAAGTAAGCTAAAATGAGAGGTATTCGTATTTATCGATCTCATCAGAAAAGAACCACCACCAACGATACATTGCTAAACTATAGTTTCTGCAATAACTCACATTGTGCCCCTTGCAAATTTATTATATTACTAGACAAACGTTTTCAGGCAGAATTGTTTGCAATAGAGCTGTTATGCGACATGAGCATACAACGATCTAAAAAGAGACCAAGATAAATGTGCACTGTGTCTGTTTGCATGTATTATAAACGAGAAATGTTTGATGATTGTTTAATGATCAAAAATAACTGTAGCATAGAAAGCGGAATATGTCTATAGACCAACACTACTAAAAGGGAACTTTCTGGTTCAATAAGTGATTTAACGATGAATTGATTGCATTGTCATTTCAAACGGGTTGACACGAACTGCTTTTCTATAACAACACACACACGTATATATATATAAGCTTTCCGACCGATTTTCATTAAAAACTTTGCATTGAAATTATTTATTATGCTTTCTTTGTTGTATCGCATTAAGTCGAAAAACCGTTGCGACAAAAGCAGGTAACATTTGCTTGTGCACTGCTTGGCCTAATGCATCAATGCTTCCGGCAGTGTAAAATGGAAGAGGCATTGCTTACAGGTGTTATACTTTCCAAATATATCTGACCTGGCATGTCTCTTAAAATTAGAGTTTGGCTCCCAACAAAAATTTATTAATCTCTTAATTATGTGTTATAAATTTTGGTGACACTCTAAATCAGGGCAGTCCAACATTTTTGGACAAAGGGCCACATTTAGTTTACTATTAAGTGCGTGGGCCACTCAACATGGTAGTTATATTTTAGTTTTGCTACACTGACTACAGGTTAATGAAAAAACAAACAATACCCTCACGCCAAACTTTCACAATTATTAGAACAATAAAACTCTTGTTTCCAACCGCTGATAGGCCGCCATCAGTGGTTATTCTGACAGTTTTGTCAAAGACGAACCAAGACACTTGATTATTTTCAACACAGCTCCCAACAAATCAATGCCTGGAGTCGTGCCCTTAATTGGGATAATGGCTGAGAGCTATTTGATAATTTCAAAATCATCATTAACTCCCCGCATGATTAGCAGTAGACTTGATGTCAGTGCTTTCGTCAAGCGCCAAAAAATACGATGAAAACTTTCCCGCTTTTGCTCTTCAACACGGCGTGAACCGTCTGTCTTGACATGCCTATTTTTGCAAACGCCTCTTTTATTTCCGGACATAAAATATTGGCAACCCGAAGAATACATTGCTCAACGAATTCTCAAGCTGAGAATGGCTTCGATTGTTTCGCGATTATTTCTGACACGAAGTAGCTCGCTTTTATGTATGTATTGTGGTTTTTATGTATGTAGGCCTACGTAGCGACTATGGCACCTTTATGTATCGATATCTCCTCCCAGTTCACTGTTAAAAAAATTAGTAAATATACTAATTTTTCTAGTAAATTTTTACTAATTTTTCGTTGAATTTTACTTTCTACAAGAGTATTTTATTGAAATCACGTGACTTGCTTAGCTGAGCCAATCAGGGTGCTTGTTTGTTAATAGTTTACTAATGAATAGTAATTTCACTGATCAGTTAGTAATTAATATAACAGAAAAATAGTAAAAAGATTAGTATACTTGGAAAAAGTAAAAAAATCTAAGATCCTCTAATTTACGAGTAACTATTCTTTCCAATAAACGAATTTATCTACCTATGCATGCGATATAGTCACGAATAGGCCGCGAGCCGAGGCCCTGAAAAACGCCTAGAAAGTGAGTTTCGTAGCGCACATCAGGTAACTACCTGAAAATGATTTTAAAATGTTCCTTAAAAATTTAGTAACAAATATTGCCTTGTTCCCACTTCCAAAAGTTGCACGTTTTACGGAAAAGACGCTTTTACTACAAGAAATATGTGCTACGATCTGTCCTATATTCTCTACATTTTCGGCATGGAACAATGACTTCTGCATGACGTAACAATTGAATTAAACCAGCTGTTAGCGAGCGGATGAATATTAGTTATTACTGCTCGACCTTGCGCTGAGTTGGGCAGGCTTTCCATAGCCCTGTTTAGTTATTATTAGTTAAGTTTTGCTAAGACGTTGTTGAAAAATGTATAAGTAAGTTATTAAACACTTGTAGATCCTTACCACGGATATGGGCCGTGAGACGAAGCCACGAAAACGCCCAGAAAATGAGTTTCGTAGCGCACATCTGGTACCGTAACTAAATAAATTCTTCAGTTTTGTGTGAAAACGAACATAATGAACGCATTACAGCTTGTTCCACAATCCTGGTGCGAAATTGAATATAAGAGGTTCCCGGAAATTCAATAATCATAAGTTCACAACACATGCATAAGAACTATGCAATTCGAGTGCCCTACAGCACACTAACACAAATGTATTCCTGTAATGTTTTGCCTGACCAAAATCGGACTTCCTCAGTCAATCATAATTTATTAGGTAGATTACGAAAAATATGGCAAACATGTAACCAACAACAAAAAATACTTTAATTGTGTGACAGGAGTTGGGAGTGAGCTCGAAAGCAGCGACACCAACAACGCTGATTCACATTTGCGAATAAATTTTATGTAATAACCACAAGCAGTTTACAACAAGAACAGCATAAAAAGCTACATCCATTTTATAGAGGCTATCAAACGTATTTATTTTTAAGCAATGAAGTCACAAATTAACATCGTGAGCACGAAAACACAAATAAATCAGTTATTTCTCACTTAGAAATTTACAGCAAAAGTCAAGAAAATTAAATGAATGTACAATATGTACATAAAATAGTGAACAGAAATATTACAATTTACAATTAATCTTTTTTTAGTTTATGTGGTTATGTATTTGAACAAAGGCAATAATATTTCTAGAAACAGGACTACGACACTAACAAATGTCCGAAAAAACAACAAATAAATGATACTTATTAAATCAACTGTAATATCTAATTCACTTTCTTCTGAATTGTTTTCGAAATCCACTATCTCAAAAATCGACTTTTCCTCTATAAGTGTACTGTGATTTTTGCAGTCAATACAAAAACAAAAATCTGTGCAATTTAAGTTGATTTTGGCACACTTTCATAAATTATTTTGACTATTTTTCTTACACTTGCAGTTTGCCAACTCAAGAACTGATTTGAGAGCCACATGCTTCTTCAGTGAATCATTGTTGGGTGGAGAGTATAATCCTTATGTTTGACAGTGTTAAATAGACGTGCCCTGGTATCATTTACATTCTTCATATCCTCTTCAAATTCCTCAGCTTTATTTATTAATGCCTCGTTAACCTCAAAAGATCTTCATAGTCGAGGGAAAAAAATGAATTGAAAATCTCAATGAAGTCTCCAACATGAATTTGATGGGCAGTTCCAATTGCAGAAAAGTGCTAAAGTATTTCAATATGAATAGCCCATCTAAGCTGTTTGCAACTATTATGATTCTCATATACCTTTAAGCTTCAAGACTTCTTGTTTAATCCATTTTATAGCACTGATAGCAGCAGGGATCAGAGCCTGCGTTAGGTCGGATTGGTGGAACATTGCCGTTTTCTTTTGTAGTACAGTATCTAAAATGAGGAAGAAAATAATATTTGGAGCAGCATGAGTTTAAAAATACCCCTAAACACTAACTAATACCTTGAATACATAATGCATTTTATCTGATGTACTAAATGAGCGTATATATGCTCATTGCATGTACTACAGTCCAGCAGTGTTTGCATACCATTACTAGACTAGGCCTATATCTACACTAAATTTTGATATATCACAGTCTGAAATGTCCCATGACAGTATGAGTATGGACTATAGACTATATTTTAAAACATCAACTGTTTGTCTACAACTTGATTTCTCACCTCTCAATCATTTCCAATGCTACCTTTCTTTCCACTCCGGCATAACTTATCATTGCTTCCCAGGTTCTTGTCGACTCTATGAATTTAGATTTAGACCAACCGACATTAGTGAAATTGAATAATTTCTTCTCTTTCACACAATCGTGCATTACAAAAACAGCCATTCATTTATATTTCCAAATATGCTGTGGCCTATATAGTAGTATAAGTCTGCTGAATAGTCAAGAAGAGTCATTAAATTAATCATAAACATTTCATGCAAGCCAGAAAATATCGTTGTTTGTGACATATTATTCTAGGTCTAGCCTTCCTTGGAGTTACCGCTCCGTACCTATTTAACAACGTCTTATGAGCTAGTGCTCAACTAATATTGCTATTTATGGTAAGGATATACAAGTGTTTAATATCTTACCCATACTTTTCAACACCTCCTTAGAATAACTGAACTAATATTACCGGTAGGCTAACTGAAAAAAACTATGGAAAGGCTACTCAACGCAAAAGCGAGCAGTTGTAGTACATCTGATATTCATCCGACCACTGGGGATCCACCTACAGCTGACTAACTTGACTGTTACGTCGTGCAGAAGTCTGCGATCATTGGCCCATGATACCGGAAAAGCAGAGAAAATAGGACAGATGGTAACACATATTTATTGTAGTAAAAGCGTCTTTTCTGTAAAACGTGCAACTTTTGGAAGTGGGAACAAGGCAATATTTGTTACTAAAATTTCTAAGGAACATTTTAAAATCATTTTCAGGTAGTTACCTGATGTGCGCTACGAAACTGAAAGATAAATTTCCTCGGCTCGCGGCCCTAGAAGCAAATTCAAATACTCCTTTAGAATTTCATCTAAATTTTGCTCTGGGTATTAATTTGAATTAATTTTATTCTAAAATTATTTTGGTTCATCACCCAAAATTCTGATTGTTTTGCTATTGCATTAGACAAGATAAGATATTGTTTTATATATTATTTTTCCGGAAGTAAGCGGACCTATTTGTCCAAAAATTCATCCGCAAAAACTCCACGAGGCAGGTTGCGTGCGCAGCATTTTTTGATTTCGAGTTTCCTTGCCCATCTCGGCTGGGACGCTAAGCTGTTTGGGAGCTCAGCATCGGTTGCGTGCGTATGAAAACTGAATGCGGTACGTATGTTAAGTATGCAATAGCGTGAGTCTGAGTTTGATGATTGTGTTAGCAACGGTCTGTACGGTAGCTGCGAATTTACCACGGGTAGTGGTCTGGATATTGAGGTACCCGGGTACTGGTACTTTTTGCAGAGATCAAAAGTGTCCTATATTTTAAATCCTTCTCTTTCCGGTCATAGGTCATTTTAGTACCGGTAATGTGCCCAATTATGACATCACTCAAATGTCACGTGCCTGTAGCCCGCGCTTTTTCTGGTTCAGGAATTAGGACTCGGTAAGCGAGGCTCTTTGTCGTTAGTGGATGTTTATTTTAGGGCGGTTGGGTTTTTGTAGCTTTTCATGCGTTAATTGAGCATGTTTGTGTTACAGTAGCAGACTTGTAGTTGGTAGAACCAAAATATTCTTTAAATACCGTGTACATCAGCATCTAATCGGTACCGGTACCGGTTAGCCTACCTGTATACAGCGACATGCTTACACACTGCGTTAGTTTCGCCGTCTTACCGGTACCGGTATAATATCGACGACCAAGAGTAAAAATCTGAATTGGCTATTTCAAGTATTTGTTTCGGAATAGATGTAACTTACCGGTAGCCTAATGGTGATAGGATACGTTCAAACGTTACAAGTCAGTGCAACAATAGGTACGGTACGGGTAACAGACAGATGAATCAACTATACCTACAAAGTCTACAAGGCGCCATCTTGTTCGGAACGTATTTGCGATTTCACAATTTACACTGTATTATTTGACTGTTTTTAAGCGTTTTAGCAGGGGTTCTTGGATGGTTTTTTTGACGGGTTTCACTGATTTTTAAGCGTTTAGCAGTTCTTGTTTGTTTTGACGGTTTTTCACTGTTTTTAAGGGTTATAGCAGGTTCTTGGTGTTTTTTTACGGTTTGTTCACTGTTTTTAAGCGTTTTAGCAGGATTCTTGGTGTTTTTTTGACGGGTTTTCACTGTTTTTAGGCCGTTTTAGCAGTGTTCTTGGTGTTTTTTTGACGGTTTTCACTGTTTTAAGCGTTTTAGCAGGGTTCTTGGTTTTTTGACGGTTGGTCACTGTTTTTAAGCGTTTAGCAGGGTTCTGGGTGTTTTTTGACGGTTTTTCACTGTTTTTAAAAGCGTTTTAGCAGGCATTATTATTTAGAACAAGTTGAAAATATTCAAGCCAATAAGAAAATTATTCTGAACTTTAAATTAAGTTCTCTTCCAACCCATCGGAATCCAAGAGTCTGAAAACTGATCAATTAACCAAATCGAACTGGTCGCTGTCGGTCACGTCTCTTGATCGACTCTATTAATTCGGCAGGAAAACCTAAAACCAAATATTTAAAGTGTTATCCCCCAGGTAATGTTCTAATGCTTTTTTTGTGTAAAAGTACTTTTTTTTGAAAGTTTTTTGCATCATGAAGTAATGTAACTTATCTGCACAACACTGTTCGATAAAAGTTTCTGTGAGGTCCGGACTAGGCAAATTAATTGGACCACTAACTGCATGATTAGTGGCAGTTACGGATTATTTTGGCATATTCCATTCCCCTACTTTTGCCTATTTCAGAAAGAACCACCTTTTTCCCAGATATTGAAAGATATTCCAAAATCTCCATTTATTCGTTTTGCATAGGTACAGTGTTATGAGGTGAAGCGCTCTGTAATTGTGAATATCAGGAACAATTTCGAAAAATGATATGATAGCTGTTTTCCTGTGATTAATTCTGCGCAACTTTTTCAAAGGCCATTTTGTGTCGCCATATACTTCTCAGTTGTGATTATTATAAAATAATATCACCAGCTTCTGTCATGCAACCTGCTTTAACTGTTGCGTCACAGTATGCATTGCTTGAAATATGAAATATATTATTTCTGAAAGAACGTAATGCGCATCATAAGCCTCATCAATGTAATAAGTTCTCCCTTCGTTTTATCAGTGTTGCGCTTGCTATCAACGGTGAGTGAAAATAAGAACAAATCCATGTCTGCTATGTTAGATATATAGCCAAAGCCAATTTGGAGATGATCGTACTATTATACAATTAATAATTGTGTAATTGCATATTATCAAAAAAATCACTAATCATCCACCTCTAGTAAGTGTATTTGTTATTAGTTGGCTTTAGAAGTTGAGATAATAAGATTAATCAACCTGTCGAGTGACTTTCACTTTATTCATAAGCCTATAGATTCGAAGCTAAAGTTTACAATCTTGTGTTTCAGGTAACACGGTAGCGACTGCTGAGACTTTTTACGTCATCGCTGAACGAGAAGTGGTGTGTTCCTGTAGATCGTTTTTTGAAGCGGTAGCTTTTCAGTTTGCTTCGTTCTATGTTTTCAACATAGAATATCCAAAGAAGGCCTTGCTGACGTTTGATTTTATTCAGAGGTAAGAAAAAATGTGCTAGTCTACAGTGCTGATATAATTCTTGCTGTTGGCACAATGTACACGTTGTTGACGAATTACCTGTTTCTTCTGTCATGTAGTGTTATTTGATGACATACAATACAAAAAATGGGTTGTGAAAAGGAAATATGTGACTGGACTTGCACAAACTCATGGTGTCCATATCCTGGGGACTGGGCCATAAGTGGGCTGAGAATAATTTAATTAGTTAAACAGTTTTAGGTGGTTAATAATAGACTGACTGGCGGTACCACACATGTTTCCTCCTAATCTAATATGTTTACATCCATATGTGAAAAATGAACTCACAAACAATCCTATTTTAGTGAACTTCAATTTCAAACGATGTCACTGTGCTCTCCATTCTTGTAGCAGGAAATTTTTGATATATTTGCAAAAATCAGTACTAATGACAGAAATTAATACAATATTTTTCAATTGCTGCATTTGCAATCGAATGTCAACGAGCGGATGAGCCTATTGCGATTTGCGACAACTGGAGGCTAGGAGGATCTGGTGCTTCTTGGTTTAGCAATTGCATTCCTGGCCCACTGGCAGTTTTTTGTTTATCCCTTGGCAAGGCACGATACATTATAAATACCTGACATTTTTACTATTTTTGTTCCAGTGTTTGTGTTTTTACTATTTTGGTGGTGAGATGACAGGACGTTTTCAAATTTCATATGTGGAACCTATTCGCCATTTAAGTTCGGTCTTTTTTCAGGTTCTTCGGTGACATAAACCCCAGAGGCACTAAGTCGAAAAAAAGTAAAGGCAAAACGTTCATGCAAAAGTAATCGGCCTTGCAAGAAGATGTGAATCTATCACAGGCGTTATATGTGCCGTTGTTAGAAATTGATGTTTAAGTAAACTTTGGTGGTGTTACTGCAGCTTTACATCACTTTTGACCAGGGGTGAAAACTCGATCAAATTTTCACATGCCTTTGATTGAGTTTCTCAAGTTCGAGTTCATTACCCTGGTCAGGGGTTGAGTTCATGTATTTGATAGAGTTTTTCGAAAGTTCGAGTTCGCAGCCCTGCTTTTGGCTGATCGATTAATTTGATAAAAAATGATTTAGCTGTGTGTTGGGTGTGAAGTCTGGATAATTTTAAACAAACTCTGCTCCGTAATCTTCTTCAACCACAAAATTTCTGGCTTCCACTCATGACTATCAACTCCCACATATTGCAAATATATGACTCCGTCTTCTGCTCAAGACTCTTTCAAAATATGAATTAAAACTCTTGACTCCCTGATCTTATAAGATTTGACTGCTGCTATGCTAGCTGCTTTAGTGTAACTTTTGGTCCAGTTTTATCAATTTTAACATTTTCGAATTTGCAACTTCTGCAAACTCTGCTCCTAGCTCATGAGCTTTTAAAAAATGTCCCAGTCAAACTCTATTCATAAGTGTGGATAAACTCCGACTATGATTAACTCTATAGACTCCGCAAGCTTCAAAATTTAGAACTCCCACTCATGCTCCTACCAAAATCCTCAAACTCCCGCTCTTCGACTTCACGCCCCTTGAAATCTTATCTTTGAAAAATTATCTTGCATAATTAACTTTAGAATTTGTCATCTTTGAAACTCTTGCATAGCTACAAAATAGTGTTGCAATGATATTTCCCAAAATTTTCATTTTGAAACATTATAATTAGAGTAAAGTGCAAAAAATCGTGAAATTCTTACAATAGTCTCGTTATTATGTCACGTTTGCCAGCGTCTCATAGCCTGGTATCCAGAAATTTGATTTCAAAATAAGGTTTGTCAACTAAACAACCCAGTCCTAAAACGTTTTCTTGTTTGACTTTATTTGGAATCTATTTGAGATAAATAAATAGACCTCGAAATGTATAGACCAGATTTCTAACAAGTGCCAATTAGAAACTCGATTTTGATCCATTACATACAGAATTCCTATGTCCTACAAGAACTTGTGCCCTCATTTTATTGCATGGATAGCCTTCAACGTCTCCTAATAGATGTTTAAATTTGACTGTAAGACCATATATTTCTGGAATTTCTTTCGAAACTGTTTTACAAGCCTTAAAGGCGTTCAGTGTGTATTTATGGTTTTATAAAAATATCAATTGTAATAAATGATTTTCGTTTCCAGAATCTCGTTTTTTTATTTTAACTGTAATATGTGTGTTTACTGTTTGTGTCGTGCTAGTAAATAGCTTTGCTACTCTCGTAGTGGTTCGGTCATCGCGAGTGAGAAATTACCATCATGCTAGTATTGGTATGGTACTACTGTCGGTGTAAGGTAGCTGCCATCGAGATAGTAATTTTATTTACTATTTAAGGTAAAAAATATTACTACTGGTGGGTAGGTTTACTGCCGTCAAAAAAGTAGTATTTTTTACAGTTTTATAGTAATTTTTGCTACCATCAATCTATGTAAATTTACTAAAAATACTGTTCATAATACTACTGATAGGGCCTGTAAATTTTTTTACATGGGGGCCCAGTACTTTTGCTGCCATTTTTTTTAGTAAATTTTGGAAAAAAATTTTTAACAGTGTTGGTTTCGATTCAAAATGGCATTCATGGCTCGTTTGAAAGGGCTGGCAGAGCGCATTTCAGGAAAATAAACAAATCGTTTGTATTTTTGCATACTACATCACTCGAATAATATTTATACTCAATTTTTTTATATTAAATTCCGAAAAATACAGCGCGGGCCACTCGAAATGCCTTCCGCGGGTTGGACGGCCCTGTTCTGAATAAATCAGTCCCCGGAAGAAAACAAAAAACTATACAAGTACCGTCACTACGGTGTGTATCGTTGCCAAGTTAGAAGTGATGAAGAAGACTGTACATGCACACTACTCCATTTTAGCCTATTAGTCCGGCAGATGAGGGGCCTTTTTGGGCCCAACCTTGTTTTCAGACATAAAGTTTTTTTTATGTGTGATTATTTATCTTGGGGTTATTGCCCATCATTTCTACATGGGTGTGGAGTTTGCAGCCTTGAGCAATTACTTTTTACGGCTTGATATTTGTATTAGTGTTTTTTCATCAAATCTGTGCATCATAATGGCGCACAACCTGAAAATCTAACCTGTTACAATACTATGTTTCAGGTTTGTGCGCCATCTTGGTGCACAAACTACGGAAGCACCAAATTTACTAGGAAATAAAAATCAATACCTCTTAGGGTCGCTGAACCCAGCTTTGGGTCGCGATCCATATATATGGAAATACTGTTGAAACATACGCGTAAAATAAAGAGTACTATTTCAAAATACCCCGCTTTTGTTGCAATTAACAATACAAGCCTGCTAATGCAGTCGGCAATGGTTCAAGTGGATATACACCCGGTGGAGAACAGTAAATTATTTGCTAGCAAAGACTGTTATGCAGCGGGATGATCACGACGATGCAGTGAAAGATAATGCTATCACGAGAACAAGAATGAGAAAATTGCTACATTTTGTAGTATATCCATGGGAAAGAATGTAGTTCATTCTTATGTTCCATGCCAATGCTTTTCAAACTACCAAAGACTTTCAACACTTTTGCTTCTTCTCTTCTATAAAAATACATTGTTATTATATATTCTCATTTCCATCTGTTTGTTCGTGCTCCCAGATAACCGACCAGTGGCCTCCAAGGAGGCCGTGGTCCCCTTTCAGGAAACCCTGTCATAAACTATAAGAGGCTACCGTGCTTCTCTTGCCTGTTGTCATGCTGTCCCTCGAATCAGCTACAACAAAAATTCATGGAAACGGGTTTTAGAATTTATGATTTCATTAGTGTTCTCGACAATGAATAATATATATACAGTGAATTAATTTTGGTTGTTGGGGATGTTTCAAAAAAAAGGTTAAATGAAAAAAGATTTGACGAAATGTCAAGGTTTGAGAGTAGTAGAGAAGTGGAAAAAATACTCCCATGTGTTCTTCATTTGATAACCACGCCACAGAACTTCTCCGATAATATAAGCAGCAATTGCGAGGGGCAGAAATGCCAAGATGAGATTTCATCGCATTGCAAGCCAATATTGACGATTCTCAGATATATTCGCGCATTCCCATCTGAACAGCGTGAAAAAGATTATACCTATCTACACACTTGAAAAACTATGCCAGATGAGCGTCATATTAAATCAGTAAAGGAGTGCAATGGGAAAAGACATATAAGGCGTAACTTTCAGCAATATGCATCAAATAATCTTATTGTGGATTATATATTAAAAACATTTCGTCACGCAACCGCAGTCCGAAACTTTTTGTCACTGGCTGAGCTTAGATACCAAATGGCACTCATGTAAACTGGTAAAGAGGCACGCGATGGAGCAGATAATATGAGTATCCATCCCCCAGCTGTCATTTGAGTAGGTAATCCTTTTTTTTTGCAGATGATACTGATTTTTTTGTATTAAAGATTTACTGGCATCACCGATTTAAGAATGTCAAGTGATGGATATAAATAAACAAAATTTGAAAACCAACACGCAGTATTACAAAACTTACTTCCAACACGCGGTTTGAATGAATGAAAAGCTGAAACTGGTATTCTTTAAAACAGCATACAAATTCTATGGAATGAAATCATACACAAAAGCTCTTCAAGAAACCGATAGCTCAATAAACAAGTGGAATTTGATGCTTGTTCGCAAAAATGTGCGCGTTACTACGTACAACCGAAGCACGCAGGAAAATGTGTGTGATGTACTAGTGATCAAAATGTTTGACTCAACTATGTTGGCATAACAGGTGCACATCTCGGTTTCGCATACGCATACCTTCTATCTCCACAAGGATATATTGATTTGGCCAAACCAATGCTGCACCTGAAAGGTTCCGGTTCTTCCAAAAGAAAACACGTTACACATCGTTAGATACCAGTGGATGGTTTTATATGGCCTTGTTCGGAGTAAAAGACGAGGTCGAATATTCCAATCCATTTCAACAAATAAAATATTTCCCAAGTCCCTAAGCTTTAAGCAGGAAAAGGAAATGCCGCAGCAACACAAATGTAGTTTGACGAGCGCAAAAGGATCTTGGCTTATATTAGTGAAATAAACTACCATTAATTCTACTAAAATTGAATTTCTGACATTGTAAGGAGATGCAATGTTACTATGTATTCAAAACTAACCCATGTAGCTATGAAATAATTGTTTTGAACGAAAAGGTGCTTCCGAAGTATTCGTACCAAGATGGCGCACAACCCGAACAGTGCATGTGTACCAGGTTCGGATTCAGGTTGTGCGTCATCTTGGTACAAATACTTGAAATTCATTTAAAAAAAATTGCTCAACATTATATACTCCACACCCACCTGGGTATCATTATTTATGTCATCTACATTATATCTGAACAATAAAAAAAACTTTATGTCCCAAAACAAAGTTAAAGCCCGATTCTGCCGGACTATATCCAACGTCGCAGTTCTTCAGGTGTTTTACTCCAGTGGTTCTCTTTAGCCGGCTTGCCTCAATATTACTGTCGGCTCGCCAAAATATATTCCAATATTATATCTCAATTGCAAATTACGAGGCATTGATGGCCTGTCAATTTATTTTGTGAGTTTGAAACGTACACCCAACTTGACCAGACGTTCCACGCCCATATCAAGCTTCGAATGGTTGGATGTCATCATAGCCCACCGTGCATTTGCTAGTGAACTTGTTGCGACCCTGCAGGTCATGGGACGCGCAACAAAACCGTGGGCTGTTGAGATCTTTTCCAGGTGAAGCACAGCAGAATTTTGACCTTGTTGCCAAATTAGCAACGACTTTATCATTGTAGTATAAATTCATTTTGTTTGGGGCGTCGATCAACTGCAGAGTGATAAATATGATGAACCGGAATAACTGAAGAATCTCGAAAGTCAAACAGAGGATGAACTGGTATTATCGGCTTATCGGATATTCTTCAGTTGGGAAACGGTATCAACTGAAGAATCTCCATCCCAACTAGAGTATGTGTCGGCCCTTCCTACTGTATATATATTAAATCCGAATATCCCTCATTCACTAAAATTTTCTGATTCGATAAAAATACTAACGAATAAAAATGTTTCTATCTTAAATTTTACCATTTCATGAACGTTTCAGACTCAAGTCAATAACATATATCAAATATATGGACCCGTGGACCAGAGCGAAACAGTCCTTACATTTGACGTTACCGGTACCGTACTCTCAAAAAACTTTCAGAGTTTACAGTCGCAAGAATTTTCAGTCAGCCGTCACGCTTGGCATACTAAAAGTGCGTGTTCCCATGATTAAAAAGTAATACAGCGCAATTTTGGATGAAATATTAGATCTTGTAACGCACGGATTGGAGTCTCAAACTGCGCTACTTTTATACCCAACCACCGTCAAGTACCACGTCCCGGTTCTCCTACAATTTGCAATGCAAACTCGTAACATCCAGTCCCCACTCACAGTCTTGAACCACTGAACTTTTGAACCCCAACACCTCAGAAGATCACACGAACTGAAAGAACTTTGTCGTAATATTCCACTTGAACACACGATCGAATAATAGGGCAATAACACTCACAAAGTGCACATAGAGTTTGTGGACTATACTGAATTTGTAGATTGTGAATAACACACCGAGTTTGTGGCTCAACTAAATATGAGTTTAACTAATACACACAGAGTTTTGAGTTTGATTTCAAATATTGATAGATTCCGGGATTAAATAACTAAATAAAATACAGAACAGTTAGTAAATATCAACACACAATAAATCCCAACCTATCCCATATACTAACTTAATGATTCCCTACTGGATAGTAAACTAACAGCAATCTAAAAACGATTCATAATACATGCACTACTCTAAATCCTAAAAGACCGGCAAAGCAGATAACGGCAGATTGCGCCATCACAGCTCGTCTCGCTCACGCAAGCATAGAGCAATACAAGATACTAACTACAGAGCAAGAGTCGTCGTCGGTCGATTGCCGCAGCCAATAGCGTGCAAGGTAAACACATATTGCACCATAGCTAATCTCACTCTCTCGAATACAATAATAAAGAAATACATAAATGCGACCTGCGTCCATTACACCGGCCCCTAAGAACCGTCTACATCCCACGAGTATTACCGACCACTATAAGGACGCATGTCTCATTTTCACGAAATGAAAACATGAGAAACAATACACAAAAATTACAATACTCCCTCCAAAAGACACAATTTACGAATGCCTCGCATGTAACTAGAATCCGCAGTCCTCACACGTACACTGCGGACATGACCATCTGAATCAGGAAACACTTCCTGGATTAACCCCTTTGGCCAGAATCCCCTCTTCGTTTTCTCATCCACAATAAGAACAATATCTCCAACTGCGAAGTTTCTCACAGGTTGGTGCCACTTCTGTCTCAACTGCAATGTTGGCAGATATTCTTTCAACCACCTCTTCCAGAAACAATCTGTCATTAATTGTACCTGTCGCCATGACTTCTTATATCCATCCGCTTTCATGAATTGATCAGGAGGAAGATTCGGATTAGGCCGACCAAGTAACAACATATTAGGACTCAAAGTTGCGAGATCATCCAGGCTATCTCCAACCGGACAAATTGGTCTCCCATTTAAAATGCTTTCACACTGGGTTGTGAATGTATGTAGAGCATCATCATCCAACAACCTCTCCCCCGCAATTGCTCTCATCAATTTCCGGAAAGATCTCATCATTCTCTCCCAAGCTCCATTTGTATGAGAAGCTAAAGGCACAGAAAACCACCATTCAATGTTTTGCTGCTGCATAACTTTACAAATTTGATTCTGATTCCAATTTTGAATGCCTTCACGAAGTTCTCTCTCAGCACCGATGAAGTTTGTTCCATTGTCACTGTACATCTTTCTTGGTCGTCCACGCCTGTTTATAAATCTCTGAAACACATTAATGAACGATGAAGTATCCAGTGAATAAGCAATCTCGATATGAACTGCTCGAGTAGCCATACAACTGAACATACACCCATATCTTTTCTCCTCACTCCTGCCTCTCTTCACCAGTGTTGGTCCGAAATAATCACAGGCAGTTTCCATAAAAGCATGTTCACTAGGTGTCACTCGAACTTTTGGTAACGGTGCCATCACTTGCTCCCCCACCTTAGAGTTCCATCTGCGACAAGTAAAACATTTGTTCAATCTTCGACGCACAGTTGCATGTCCCTTGATGATCCAAAATTTCTCACGAATTGCAGATAAAACATGCAAAGTACCACTGTGACCTTCTCTTTCATGATACAAATCAATCACTAAATTTGTAACATGACTATCACTCGGCAAAATTACTGGATATCTACATTCCAATGGCAGATGTGAACGATCAAGACGACCACCAACTCTCAAGATCCCATCCACAATAATAGGATTCAGTTTCTGTATTGATCTCATCTGCTCATTTCTCGATAATGACTTCTTCGGCGTTCTGATGATCTTTTCTTCCAAAGACGAATGATTATGCAATGCACCAATTTGTTTTCCAAACTGCTCTCTTTGCACAAATCGTACTATGCAATCAATTGCACAATTCAATTCACGAATCTCAAGATGTCCTCGTTGCAGCTGACTAATTGGACACGTAGTGGACATAACGATCGTTTCAATATTATGTTGTTGTTGTTCTTGTTCTTGTTGTTGTTCTTGTTCTTTGACACGTTTTTAAAAAGTCGCTTTTCTCTTCGAATACTGGACCAATTGCTTTGAAATTTTCAGTGGTTGAAGATAAAATTTTTCTCCAGAAGGCTATTACTTTTTTTTTCGCTATGACGTCATCAAAATTATTGCCATTGGGTGGCGCTACGTGTCCATATATTTGAGCATAGCTCTCTTGTATCTCCATCACCTTGAGATTTAGCCACCTTCCATCTAAGATAAGATCGATATCCTAACAGCCAAGCTGTCGATCTCTGAAGTTTCTCCAATTTAGAATATCTCGAAAGCAAACGCTTGATTGGATTTTCCTTCAAGTTATCTTTAACACAATATACAGTCAAATCTTGTTTCAATTCAGGGTCACTATTTGATATGCCACGAATAGGTTTTGATTTTGGCCACATGCACTCTTCCTTCATCAAAAAAGCAGGACCATCAAACCAAATCTTTGCCTTGTCCAGCTGATACGGTTTCAAACCACGAGATGCAATATCAGCCGGATTACATTTCGTGTCAATATGTCTCCACTGCGAAGGCTCTGATCCCTCATGAATAACAGCAAGACGATTCGCCACAAAGGTATGAAAGCGTCTTGTGTTATTAGTGATATACTGCAACACTGACATTGAATCGGTCCAATAAATGATTTTATCTATTTTATACTCCAGCTGAGTCTTCACAAACTGACCCAACTTCACTGCAACCACTGCCGCAGTCAACTCTAGCCTTGGTATAGTCACTGGTTTTGAAGGTGTCACTCTTGACTTTCCCATAACAAAACTACAATGCACCGATCCATCAGACTTATTCAACATTCGCAAATAGCATGCACATCCATATCCGATTTCACTTGCATCACAAAAAATATGCATTTGAATCTCACCAGGGTCATTCGTATCCGAAGATTTCAAACAACGAGGAATAGAAACAATTTCCAGACGAGGTAAGTCTTGGAACCAGTTTACCCAGCAAGCCTTTTCAGCATCAGGAATTTCATCGTCCCACCCCAAATCTTTCTGACATAACTTCTGTAGAATTTTCTTCATAGGCAAAATGAATGGCTGCAGAATCCAATCGGATCAAATATCTGGCTTATAGTAGAAAGCATACCCCGTCTTGTAGTTGGTTTGTCTTTCACATTCACCTTAGTCACCAATTTATCCAAATTAGTATCCCAATATAACCCCAGGGCTCGTTCCACCGGTAGATTGTCAAGATCCAAATTCACAAAGATCTTTGCTCTTTCACTTTCAGGAATTTGCTCAAGCACCTCGCGACAATTGCTGATAAATTTCGTTAGATGGAACCCACCGCTTTCTAGTAGAATAGACAATTGCTTCACCAAATTGATAGCGTCACCACTCTTTGCCAAGGATTTCAACAAATCGTCAACATAGAAATTCTTCAGCACAGTATCAACTACAGATTGTTCCACACCTGGCTCATTATCTGAAGCACATCTCCTCAAAGCGAAACCTGCAACTGAAGGGCTTGAACGGCTTCCAAATAGGTGTACCAACATGGAATAGTCACTTGCTGGAGATGACAAATCATCATTTGGCCACCACAAAAAACGAAGCGAGTCACCATCTTCTGGCCTCACTCTCACCTGATGAAACATAGCCTTGATATCTGCCATCACACCAATTCTTTCTTGCCGGAACCTCAACAAAACTCCAGCTAAATTGTTCGCATAATCTGGTCCTTGTAATAAATTATCGTTTAATGAAACCCCACGAAAAGTTCCGGCCTCATTGAAAACTACACGGAATTTTGATTGTTTCGTACTATGATGCCCCAAATAAAAAGTTTTGTCACTAGTCACCAATTCATCATTAGGTATTTTTCTCGCATACCCATTATCCAGATAATCATTTATCACGCTCTTATAACGCTCAAACAATTCTGGGTCTCGAATAAATTTCCTCTTTTGGTACACTAATTGTTTCTCCACCATGGCACGATTATTAGGAAGTTTCACCTCTTTATTTTTCCATGGGAGTCCCACCTCATAATGTCCATTAACTTTTCGAATAGTCTTTTCCATGATAGACAATGCCCGCTTGTCTTCAACAGACAGTGAGGATGCAGATTCACATGCATTATCATTAAAATCATGCTCATAAATTTGACACAATTGACGATGTAAAATATTATCATCACAATGAATAAAATTCACAAAATTATTATCACAATTAGAATCACTCTCAGGGCCAAACAGTGTCCACCCCAACATGGTTTTCACCGCTCTGGGCTGTCCCCTTTTCCCACGTTTAACCTCAAACACATCATGGGCATCCGGGACATTTGAGCCTATAAGAAGCTTAACCTCCTTATGAGTAGAATCAGAAATATCAACATGGGAAAAATGTGAATACACTTCAGTATCACGTACACTGGGAATACTCGATTTCAAGTTGGGCAATCGCTCAACAGTTAGAACTCTATCTAGCACTAGAGAGTTGCCTGCACCCATGGCAGTCAACAATAACTCAAACCCCTCTTGGATTTTATGACCAGTCACAGTCTGCACAGAAAAATTGGTTTTTACCCCACTTATACCTAGCTCCCTCATGAGCCCATTGGTACAAAGGGACACCGTAGATCCTGGGTCTAACAGGGCATAGGTCGATATCTCCCTATCTCCTATGGCCTTCCCCTTGACCGTGACTGGTAACACTTTGAGTCTAACATTCCCAACCCCTCCCGTAGCCTCCACGCTACAAGAAGTTGCTCCACACGTAGATTTCTCACCGGCCCCACTGACCGGAGCACTCGTCTCTTTACGATTTGCTGGTATGTTCTCCACATCAACTGCTGCTGTAAATTCACTCAGAAACTCTGGATATCTCAGTGGATCACCATCAAACTCAGGTAGATCAACTTTCAGATGTTCACCCATTGATGCTGGACATGTCGGAATCACCGGATACACAGGAATTGCAGGAGAGCTCAAAGATGTCGCTGGTACACTCGAACCGTAAACATTCCGGACAGGAACACTGTTCACACGTTGAGATTCACCCATTCCAGACACGCCACTCGTGACTGGAAAATGGCTCGCCACCGACACACCACATGTGGCCGGGGCATAACTCGACACCGGCATGCTACTCATTACCGGATTGTAAACATACTGTCCAGATTGTACAAACGATGTAACAGGAACCTCGGACGATCTCAGCAGTCTAGGATTAGACATGTTTATAGCAATAGTCAAGGTTGAAATCATCAATGGCACACGAACATCAGAAAAGTCTTTCTTCACTGGGGAAACCACAGCATGATTTGATATAGAAATGTTCTCTGTTTTTCTTTCAGGAATCGACTGCAACACAAATGATGAGGGCTCAGTCTTTATAAAAGGCACATTAGATTTAGGCTCATAAATGTTCACAAATTTAGGTTTTGTCAATGGCTCTGTCCCACTAACATCTTCAGAAGCACAACTTGCGTACTCCAATTGTTGATTGCTATCCAAATTAGAACTCATGATAGATCCTTCAGCTTCTTCGAAACTCTGAGCTATCAATTTTGCTTCATCTGCAAGATATTCTGCATCTAGTGCTCTTTTCTCAATGTTCACTTCAGCTTCTAATTTTCTCTTCTCCAAATTTGCTTGTTCACGTTCACGTTTAGCTTGAAGATCAGCTAGCCTAGCATCCAGTCGAGCTTTGGCAGCTACTGATGATCTCACAGATGATTTATTTGAAGATTTACTCCGATGAGAAGCAACACTTGTTTTTCTTGATTTACTAGACACTGAGTTATTCTTGCTGGCAGCAGCATTGTATCGCTGCAAATATTCACCATATAATTTATCACATACCGCTTTCTTTCTGGCAATTTCATCACACTTTACAGTAGCTTCTTCAAGCTCCAGCTTGTCCATTTCCAGATCGGTATTAACAGAATTTCGAAAGTCTTCACAGGCTTTAATACAGTTCTCAAATGCAGCATCCACAGCTTCTTTTGTACCCACAACCTCTTTGTATTTCTGTTGATCCAGCATTAGATCCTCAATGGTTTTCAGGAGCTTTGTAAAGTGGCTTTCATAACCCGCACGAGATCTTTTCTTTTTCATTCTCAGCTCAGAAACAATATCATCTTCATCAGACATCTTGCAGTCTGAATAGCTTTATTCTGTACTCGAAATTGTCCACGGTAGAAGGCAATTAATCTTTACTTGAAATTGTCGACAGTGGGAGACAATCACTTCCATTTGAAATTGTCCAAGAGACAATCTAATTATTTGAAATTCTCTACGTCAAAACGTAGGAGACAAATCTATATTTGAAATTGTGTAACGCACGGATTGGAGTCTCAAACTGCGCTACTTTTATACCCAACCACCGTCAAGTACCACGTCCCGGTTCTCCTACAATTTGCAATGCAAACTCGTAACATTCAGCCCCACTCACAGTCTTGAACCACTGAACTTTTGAACCCCAACACCTCAGAAGATCACACGAACTGAAAGAACTTTGTTGTAATATTCCACTTGAACACACGATCGAATAATAGAGCAATAACACTCACAAAGTGCACATAGAGTTTGTGGACTATACTGAATTTGTAGATTGTGAATAACACACCGAGTTTGTGGCTCAACTAAATATGAGTTTAACTAATACACACAGAGTTTTGGGTTTGATTTCAAATATTGATAGATTCCGGGATGAAATAACTAAATAAAATACAGAACAGTTAGTAAATATCAACACACAAAAAAATCCCAGCCTATCCCATATACTAACATAATGATTCCCTACTGGATAGTAAACTAACAGCAATCTAAAAACGATTCATAATACATGCACTACTCTAAATCCTAAAAGACCGGCAAAGCAGATAACGGCAGATTGCGCCATCACAGCTCGTCTCGCTCACGCAAGCATAGAGCAATACAAGATACTAACTACAGAGCAAGAGTCGTCGTCGGTCGATTGCCGCAGCCAATAGCGTGCAAGGTAAACACATATTGCACCGTAGCTAATCTCACTCTCTCGAATACAATAATAAAGAAATACATAAATGCGACCTGCGTCCATTACAGATCTCATAAGATTCATACAAAATTTAGAAATAAATAAAGTAATAGCCTTTTGGCAAAAAAATCAATCTTCAACTACTGAAAATTTCAAACCAATTGGTCCAGTATTCGAAGAGAAAAGCGATTTTATAATGATGAAGACGAAAACTAACAAAAACAACAACAAAATATTAAAACGATCCATAGGTCTACTCACGTGTCCAATGAATATAGCTCATAAAAGATCTCGATGCCACTGGCGACGTAGCTTTTTACAAAAACGTAATGCGGCCGTCCAACGAGAAAAGATTGTGCTCTCCTGCTCTAAAGAATCCCAGTCACAACTCTTGAGCTCTCTTGATAACAAATACCCATCGCTAAGTAATCGAGCAATCAAACTGTTGTCCGAGTATTCAACCAGTTACTTGTACGAAAAACCTTTTTCACCACTAGCTTTAATTTAAAACGAAGCAAAGATATCGACCGCGAGTCGTTGCAGAGCTTTGTGTTGCAAAACCTTTTTTGATGCCTCATTTGCAATCCTTTCTTCCAATCTTTGACCCCCGGAATGTTTCCTATACTTTACCACTGCAAAATTTTCGGTGTTTATTTTAAGAGTAGTTTCGCGAGTCGGCGCCTGTAAAATGGGGTATTTCATTCTAATTCATAGCGTTTAACAATCTGTTTTTTAAAAGCATCGGTAAGGAATTTTAGCCTAGTCTATCACAGCTATTTTTACACAAATTTGTGATTATTGCAATCAAACTGAAACTCCTAAGAAGACAAAAAGATCATTGAATTATTTGATTTATATTTAAATTTCCGAAACACAACTGAAAACTAACGAAAAGAATTTGAAAACGCAAAAACAAGGTGATGTTTACGACCACGCCTGAAAATATGTTTGAGTGAATAAAGGGTCCGAGCGCAGGCGAAAAGGAACATTGTAACGTAACTTTTTGCATCTTGCTGATTGGCCAATGTCACGAAGTAAACAAGGACGTCGATGCTCAGGGAAACATCCATTGTGTTTGTACATGATTTGGCATGTGCATTTTTCATGTGAGATGTTTCCTGGGTGCTTTTTTTACACATAATGGGTGCCCAGAACTACATTTTATTACGTAAATATATGTTATTATTTTATGTTCCACCCATTTCAATTTTTGGCCTGCTCATTATTTAATAGTTTTTCTTCATGTGAAATAATTTTAGGAGTGCAATTTTTTTCTAAGAACCTTAGAGAGTGCCTGACATTGCACTATATTACGCAAATACATGTTATTATTTTCTGTTCCACTCATCTCAATTTTTGCCGGTTCGCGAGTACATTTTATTAATTTTACCGGCCCGCCAGAGTAGAGAGGTTGGAAACCACTGCTCTATAATATACAAATATATGGACACGTTACAAGGTGTCGCTATTTTTTATTCTGACACATAAAAAACGAATCTCTTGAAGTCCACAGAAATTTTTGAAGAAAGTAAAAGTAATACCCTTCTGGCAAAAATATCAATCTTTAACCGCTGAAAATTTCAAAGCAATTGGTCCAGTATTCAAAGAGAAAAGCGATTTCATCATGACGAAAGAGAAGAATACTAACAAGAACAACAACATAATATTGAAACGATCGTTATGTACACTGGCGTGTCCAATAATGACTTAGAAAATGAGTGTTTTAGGATCCAGACAATAAAAAATCTCTTAAAATTAGGCTGACATCGAAGAGCTTGTGTATAGCTGGGTCCATATTAGCCACATCGTTAATCCCGCCTTGTGCTAGAACGCTTTCTATTTCATTTAACAAAATCAAGCCGTTGACACGTTTGAGACGGAGTCATCCTTTAGTTTAGACTGTAATCCTTGTTGAAAAAGCATCAAAGATGATCGACTACATTACTATAATGCAAGACTATGTATCTTAATAAAGGTAATGGCGAGGTTGGGTATCGTCGCAAACATATGAAAAACTAATATTGACTAAAAACTTATTTGGACATGTAAATTTAAGAATTTGACGATCTATGATAAGTTAGGAAAAATATAAAACTTTTGACATTGTCTGAATGTTATAATGGTGTACTGATGACATCGATTGGAATTTCGTCAACTTTCTTGATGTTGGCGTCCAGTTCAAAGTCTTCATCTTGGAGTTTCTCCATGCCTACATTCTTGCTAGTTGGTGGTTTGTATAAATACAACGCTAGCGAAAAGAAACACACTGATATAGCCTTGCATACCATAGCTGAAAATAAAAATTTGGCAAACTCATAATTCATTCAGATAAATAATTATGTTTTCAGCAGAGGGATACCTCTACATGCAGCGATAAATATATACGGCAATTTTATCTAGATTTCAACTGAAAGAAAAGATGTAGTCTTCGAAGGGAGAATTGGTGAGTTCATATTTTGCATTACGAAAATAAAATAAAACTGATGATTCAAAATAGGACGAACACACTGTGCAATTTACTCACATGCTATTGTCAAGTATAAGGCTACTTCGTCGCTATTGTGCAGCCAGCAAGACCCAGTGCCCTGTCCACATGACAATTGTTGCCAAAGCAGACATGTAATATCAAATATTACACCGAATACAACAGGACCTGGGATGCTACCAAATGCTCGAACAATCCACCACTGAACGCCCACTGCGAACGATTTTTGAGAGTCTGGTACACATCTAAATACATAAAACGAACATATATATATATTCAATCACGAAAGATATATATATATAAATTTGGAAACCCACGAATAAAATAGCATACAATGTATTCATTACCTTAATATAACCAATAAAGCTGGCGTGGTTGTCATAAAATTTATCAAAACAATAACGAAAAATATTCCTAGAAAAGGTGCCAAAACTGTACACGATTGTTCACAGAGGCCGCCTACAGCAGCAATTCCATTCTCATTCGTTTTTTGTACACACGAGCAATCACGATATATCTGAATTCAGAAAACAAGGTTTAAATACTATAACAACACAATACGTACAGAGCCACAATATTTTGACTTCCGATTCTAACGCACCCTAACACCGGACATAAAATAAAAACGAATAAAAGCGTGGACGACGGTAATCAGAATTACACTTGTTGTTAACAGTCTCACGCCATTCAAACCGTATAATTGTTTCTTCTTGTCAATGTTGTAAACTGCTTGTCTGAGAAAGACTGATTTTGTTCAGACGAAACGTTACAGAAATACATTCGTGTTAGTATGCAGCAGTACTCTTGAGTTGCATAGTGTTGTATAATTGTCAACTAATTCATCGTATAGATATAAATATTCAAGGGCATGTTGTTCTGATCGCGCTGATGGATAAAACAATATTTAAACATAGGTAAATATTTGATTATTGAAGTTTTCTGCCCCACCACACTCAAATATAGACATGCGAAGCTTTTCTAACTACAGCAAATTTCTCCGATATACAACGCACCAACTTCTTATTTATAGTTTATTATCAAATTTCCAAACCCATTGGGTAATAAAGGTTTTATCGAGAAAAACTATTCCCATTTTGGGTGAAGCTTAAATGACGTTTTATTAAATCAATGAATACAAGTTTTACAAATTTGTATAGCCCAAGCTATGTAGAATCAAGCTGTTTAATTTGTTCATATAAAAGATATTTGAATTTCAGTTCTTCAATAGTCAGTTTCTTAATATCAATAATGAGACTTGCGTTATCAGAACCGGTTTCATCCATTTCGAAGCATCCAGCAAAGCACGCTGAAAAGTAGGACTGATTATCGGCACCACAAACTGGAGAAAAATATTTCTCTTGGCAATTACAGTTGGAGTTGCACGATGCTGTCAGGTTTGCGGGAGGATATTCTTTATCTGGGTCCGAACTGTCATGCATAAAATAATAACATATAGTAATTGCCACTACATCAAATCAACGACATCTTGTTCGCATTTGACTCTTTAGTTAGGTTTAGGTATATTTATATGCCTATAATATTGCTTATAAAGAATTTCATAAACCGCTTTATGTTGGGATGTCTAAATGAAGCTATGAGTTTGCTGATGTTCACCAGTTGACTATATTAGTGAAATATCATGTTCATCTAGTTTTTATAAAACTGTCGGTTGGGGTTACGCGAGACTAACTGCGTAAATGTATCTGCGTATCTGTCTAGGAGTTCTAATCCGCTGGTAGACACGTATGCGTATACATGTTAGTGCTCGGCCGACCAAGAATAAATAAAACTTCGTGTAAATAAAACTTCGAATAAATAAAACTTCGTTATCGGCGTCGGAACAAGGAAAAAGATTTTATCAGGAATATATTATTCTATTAAATTAGTAACTAAGAATAATTCAAATCTTCCATCTTTTCCAAATTTTTCCATCTCTTACCTATATGCTTGGTTGACTCCGGCGATTAGAGGATCTTTACAATGCAAAAGTGCAGTGGGCGATAATACAAAAACAGCGGCAGCGCAAAAAATGCACATTTTTAAAACTCCTGCTGTTTTCAGTTTTAATTTTTGAACAAGAAGAGCAGAGATAATATTTCCAAATACTCCTCCTGGAATAGCAATGATTCCTGAAAATATTACGTAAATGTATCAATGAACAAAAGCATAAATTTTATAATAATTGGACTTGATAACCAATGATCGTTGCCAAAGTGTTAATATTACATGCAGTGGATGCTGGATTGAAATTACAGACCTGAGATCAACAATCTAGAATCTGAGTCAAAGTCTCAGTCTTAAGTCAAATACACAATGTTCTCTGATTCATTATGATTATATTTTGAAATTAGAATGAGCCATCTATTGACGTACATCGGCGTCATAATAGATTGTGAGTTTTACCTTCTTGCACGACCTTATGACTACGCTGTATATTCAGGGGTGGCCAACCTGCCTTCGACCGCGATCGACTGATTGTCAATAAGGTCACACGAAAAAACGAATGAGTACTTAATATGCAGATAACTGTAAACACGCATACAAAAATTCTTCCGCTGGCAATAAGCTCGGCTCTGTGGGCGCATTCTCAATGAAATCACCACAAGAATATTTTTTTTTATGCCTGCCTACATTTTAGTCGTAAGACTTGAAAAATTCTTCAAAAAACTTGCCAAGTTTGCCATGTATTATCCGAACAGCGAAAAATAAATATTCCCAAACCATAAATGTTAATCAGACCTCAGTATCTAACTTTAAGTTATAGTTTCCTCCAAGTCCGATTTTTCGCTTGCACGGAATTAGAAAAAATTGTGCATACTGCTGTCACTGCTACCGTTGCGAATAAAATTTATCACACTATTCTTGGAGTAAGACAATACCTTTCAAATACTGCAGAAGGTATTGTAGGATCGTTTGTCAGCCTAGACGCGCGATATTCGGCACCTTCATTCCTAAACTATGGCAGCGGCGAAACATTTGGTACGTAATAATACGCTATTATGCTATATATCGGACCTGTCCAGACTCAAATAGAGTATGTGTGTATCGTATTTTGCACACGTACAGTAATGCAATCTTCCTGTTTTAAATCACATAGCAGGCTACATGAAACTGGTTAAAGGCAATTTTTTGGGTATGTTATTAAATTCACTCAACATCAGACGCGATCGACTACTCGAGACGTGGCGATCGACCGGTCGATCGCGCTCGATGTGTTGGCCACCCTTGATATATATCATTCCATGCTTATACCTGCATACAAAGCGGCTTCCCCTGCAGATAAATTGAATTGACTTTCGATGAATTTCGGAAGAAAAGCAGTGAATGCAGCAATAATGAATCCTTCGGAACAGCCAGCCAACGTCGTAAATAAAAATGCCGAGTTTTTGAGCATGGCTACAATAGCAATAGGCATATCTTTAATTGATTTCCCAAATTCTTCCTTTTCCGTTATTTCTGCACTAGCGTTTTTGTGCACTTCAGATTCTTTCTGAGATCGTATCAATGCACTACCTGTTTTGATATACAATAATATGATAATACTTGGTACATTTGGTTGTATGATTTAGTTACGTTATGTTTTCAATGTATTACCCGTTTTTTTTCATTAAATAAAGAACATAACACTCGTGAGCAGAATAATTCAATAATCTTTTAGCATTTTCTTCGTAGAAATTACGTATTTCAAGTGTAATTGAGAAAAATAATTTGTTTAAAATATGTACCAGGAAATTGCTTCGGAAAACTGATCATTGGCAACGAAACAAATATTAGAGCTAATGCTGATGCCAGAAGAAACCCCAGCCACCACGCTCCAACCCATCGTGGATCTGACGAGTCGATTTCAATTCTGTTACAGAAAATTTAAATAAATATTTTAAAATGTTCTGCTTGGGCAAACCACAGGAAGTCGTAGGCTACTTACTCTTCTGGGTTGGTGGTATCGAAATCCACGTATATTGATAAAGAATATCCGCCCAGGATGTATCCAAGTACTGGTCCCAATATAGTCAGCGCATTTGAAACTCCTGTGTTAAAGAGATACGGACGGTTACTTTAGCACAAATTACAAGATTACTCATGTGTGATAACCGTTTTTTTATAAGAGTTTGGATTCTCTGGGAAATGTTTCTATTTTGTGTGGAAGTCGTATGTAGAAAAACAACACACCAATATATATTGCAGATTTTCCCTTCGGTAAACTGTCCTCCAACACGGCAAATCCGACCGTGTATAAAGGTATGCATCCAAATCCTTGCAGCACCATAGCGAATATAAAGAGATAGAGATAATCGTCAACATTTTCCTCGTATCCCGAGGATTCACACGTTGGTACAAACTCAGGATTACAGAGGTCTGAAAAGATTTTATAATCTAGTAGAACATTTTTAGATGCATTTTTTGCATAAGCTTGATGGACAAATAAAAAATAAAACTTTGACTCAATGTCTCAAACTTGCGATTTTTTCTCTCAATATTTATATTCTATTCATTCTTCGCAGTTATCTACTCAAGTTTTTCTTTATCGCAACTTACAAGTGAGTATATTTCATGGCATGATCCCACGATACCTTTCCTATATAAATAACTCTTTTGGTCAGAAATTGCCACTTAAAGTTGTTAACGTTACAAAAATAGCTAGCAAGGGTCTCAAACCTGAAAAATTTCCTTCGTACACATAACGGCCAGTAGTAAAATGCGGTATTGCAAATATGAGGCACCCAACTCCAAAAAATATCGATCCGATCGCCAGTAAACGAGGTCTGTGAGCACGATTTCCGTAAAATGTGACAAAAAGACAAAGCACAAAGTAGGCAATGTCATAACTCACGACTATCAAGCCGGTTTCTGAGCTTTGTAGTCGGAATCTTCGTTCTAGAGTCGTTAATATCACATTCATGTATCCATTTACAAGAAGACCTGGGATAAAAAGAAGTTTATTGCTGTAATGTCTTGACAAATGCGTGCGTTTTTATGAAAGTTTCAATAAATAAATTTAAAACTCAAAAATATCAAAGCAAATCTATCAAGACTGAAATTCTAATTTAATACAGTCGCGATAGCAGATATGATTTAGAGTCAACACAAAAAGGCGGATCATGAAACCAGTTTAAAATATAGAGTCATCTCATTCATTAGGCGCGAGAAGTCGCATGTAGTTGCTTGATAATTCAGCTCTTGAGTCGATATTATTCTCACCTATCGTGAGCTGTCGACGGCATTGTTTTCTTCCTAAACACGTTTTCTGAGTTATTCATCTATAGTTTTACTTTCAAAATCACGAAGTAGCATTTCAGATGCTTGAAACTACTGTTTCGATAAATACAGATTTTGTATTTGAGGCTCTCAAAGATCTGAACCTTGACGATGAGAATACAAATCACAATTTATAACTTATAAATCGTCTAATCTATAGTCAAACAATCAACCTTGTGAAGTACATATGATTTCATTCACCCTGCGTTGTCAAAAACATTCCAAACACCAGCAAATATCCAGATGGGTTGTTAAAGAATTGGAGAAACTTTGGAGCACAGCAAAACAATCCGCAATCTCCTTCATCTACTTCGCCTTTTAACAAATCTTTTTCGTCCGCCTGATTTTTCTTTCCATCATTACTCGTCTTATTTTTCATGCCAATACGTTCATTTCCGTTGGACGTTTCAATGCCGTTTTCTGTTTGATGCATCTTCAATATTTATTTTCTAACTTAACCGATGAATTGCATTATTTTATTATATATATATATATATTAAACTGAAAATGGGCAAGTAAAGTACTAGGTTTGATGTCTAGTTGTCAATCTACATGCTATCTATCTATCGACCAGATCAGAATGCGATGAACTCTGTGCACGTATGTAAACAATTCGGCTAATTACGCAAAATTTATTTTGTCGTTTTGATTAAACACAATTTAAAATGATAATCAGCCAATCGTCATACCATTTGCTGGTGATATACATTATAGAATGTTTACTCTGCAAGCAATGAGTTACTGAATTGAGGTGCGGAATATATTGTAAATTGTCAATAGCGTGCCATGCAGTGAATCATGTATGTATACAATGCATTCAGTAATATAAGATGTAACTTAGTTCAGTTAAGTCTGATGTCAATACCCCAAGATCGCTTTTTCTTACTTGTACATTTGTTGACATGCTATTGGCCTTATATGTTAATTAACCGAACCCATTATGGTACATTATAGCCTTTATTGTATAGTGCGGGTAACGACACGCTAAAGAAATTACTTCATTTCTTTAGGGGTTTAATTGTTTATTTGAATGAATCAGTGACTGCAGAACTTTTCGGTCTGTTGTCTCTCCGCTTCAGCCATGTGCTTGTGGATATGGGTAACGTCGAATTACCAATTTCGCTAGAAAAGAATCTACCAAGAAATGAATCGCCTAATCTAATGGCTCTTACTGTAGTAGGCTATATTCAATGCAATCCATTGAAAGCGGTGAACGTTCCACACAGCCAATGTCTCTCATGTTGACTAAAAGTCTATTGTTGATTATGTCACCATAGATCACTTGATTTGAATTAAGAACTCAGGTAACCCTCTGTCGATTTTTACTTTTTTGTGGGAGGTAATATTTTTTCTTATCAATTGAGTACTTGATATTTTACATGAAGTCATTTTTGTAATGTTTAAAATTTAATTTTATACGCATTACACACCTCGAGGTTAATCCCGTGACCTTGGTTTGAGCAAATTTAAACATTAAATTTAAACCATGTGTTAAAATGAGGGTATCACCGTTAGTCATTAAATATTTGCTCTACAGTGTAACCTTCCCGCAATACTCTTAATAAAAATATAATATAATATATGGAATATAGGATTCAGTCCCTCGTTAAGTCTTGATTCGATTATGATTTATGGTTGGAAAATGATTATTTTGCTCTTACCTACTTCTATTTACATAGAGCGTAAAAATTCTTTCTTCAAAATTTGTGTTCTGATTTAACAGCTCCTAATAGTTTATATTATCTTTAGTTGTCTGCACTCGATAGGAGCCTTAAATTATCTTGCATAACGAGAATATGAGCCACACCGAGAATAACAATTGATACAATCAAAATTCATTCAAGAAAGTGACGTAGGTAGCAGTCACTTTAGGCGTCGGCTCCAAGTGATGTCTAGCGAGTATTTTACATATAGTAAATTGAAGCAATGTATTTTTTCATGTTAAATAATATGTATTACAACATAGCAAAACAAAAACAATATTGGCATTGAGACTACAGCTGAATAACAATATTCGGAATAACAAAATTGACCTTAGACTAATTCAACCAAATCCTGGCATAGGTATAAAAGGAAATAATAACTGCCTTGGTATTGCCACTGGGTTGTTGGTAGAATAACCCCTCGCGGGGATTTGAGGTATGTTTCCAACATGATTGACAGTATTTTGGTTAAAAATTGACCAATGGGGAACTGGAGCCGGATTTGGTTCCATTGTAAATTTACGCTGTACGTCGGAGTATGAGGCACAAGTTTTTTGTTCCGTTTGTTTCAGATCTGGAATATGTTTATAAACCCAATTTTCGTGATGTTGCACTTTTGTGTATACTCCTGGCATACCCGGTGTTCCGCAGTTTCTGGGACCAAATGATGTTATACCCGCTACATACCACGAACAAGAAGAGCATCGTTGACATATCAATGGTCCACCGCTGTCGCCCTGAAAATTCATTTACCAGGTTATTCATGTTGTGTTCAATCAAGTGAGTATTGTTGTGGATGTTAAATATCTGAATTTTTTCACAATATATAATATTAATTAAAATATCTTAAATGCAAAATTGCATTGTATGCAAAAGAATTCCTAAATCTCAAACGTTAGAAACAATAGTTTGTACTTATATAGAGTTCGAAAATAATTACTTACCCCACATGTGTCATTCTTTTCATACACGCTACCAGCACAGATTACTTTATTGTAATGTCTCTGCACATAAGCTCCAGTTGTACCCGAATTCCAAGCATGTTTACAAACCTTTTCATCGAGAACTCGCAATCCAACTTCCCGAAGTTTTGGAGATGACATGGGGTTTTTTGTATCATCTGAAATAAATGACGACGAGGTAAAATAAAACTATAGGGAAAAACTCGACAATTGGGTATTTATTTATATATATTACAGGGAATGAACACACATTCGGGGGATATGAAAAATTTTGTAGTCCAAATGACATGCTTCTCCAAGCGATATGGAGCATGGTATATTTATTTGTTTTTTACAAGAATTTTGACGGAACATATATTGTTTGTAATGAAAAACACGGAGATTAAATTAGGGATGTAATATTTGCCCTTAGAATTGATCCGTATATTGGGTTAATGATCAGCAGTAGACCTGTGGGTCGATATTTAATGAATCATAACGCGTGCCCTACTTTATGAAAGCTTGAACACTAATTGATTTTCGGTAGTCTGGGATATATTTCTTGAAAAACTCATAAGACGTTATTGCCATTTCGTTATTTTCAATGTCCGTGCGGTTATATTAACTCGAAATGTTATCAGGGATCGATTGAAGTGAGGATAATCCAATTTTTATTCAATAAGTGCTAAATTGCAGATCCATAAGTCAATTGAATCCATTAGTTTGAATTGTCAATAAATTACGACAGCATTATGACAACTCAGTATGACTTATTTTAACCTTTCTGTGTCCTAATAACCCTTCGAAAGCAACTTACAGACTCCCCAGCCAGTCACGTAGCACTTTTGATTTATCCCAACTTCTTCTCCTTTCGGCATACATGCGGGGTAGATTGTGGCAGAGAACGTTATTTCATCTACCTGTTTCATTTGAGATGATTTTTATTACTTTGTAACAATTTTCTAATCTTTGATTGTCAATGGCAATTACTTACTGAATATGAATGATCATTGAACACATTAATAATTTCTTTCTCGTTATAACGAAAGTTTTTTTTTTAATTTTTATTCTGTCATGTTCAATTATAGTAACACAATTTCACCCAAGTAAGAATAATTAAGAATATTAAGGTGAGGGGTACGCTAGCAGAAAAAATGCGAATAAAATCATGGGTCACATTGAAAGTGGTAAACAATTGTCGTGCGGTACTCATATAAAGGGTTTACGAGTATTTTTCAAGAAATCCGTTGTTTTATACACTTCAGATATATACGGACTGTGTTTAAATTTCTAGATAATAATTGTTTTTATTTATTTGTGAAATATTAGTGATCACTGTAAGTAGCGTCAGTTACAGACGAACGGTGATGAATTATTTCTACCAAAAAATAATTTTAAAACTTACTTCCAGTAAAGCTATGTCGAACTGGGGAAAGTGGTAACTTGGATGAACTTTAAATGACCTAATTCTTCGTCCATTTCCCTTTTTTATTTCGCTTAGTTTGTTGATTCCAAGATAAAGCGCCATATCAGATTTTGGTCGATCTTTGTTTGTGCCAGAATCTCTAAAACATATAATTTAATTTTAATATTTGTGTTGCCGCGATTTTGTTAATTTTTTCTTTAAATCCTGATTTTTGTTTGTCAGGAAATAACTGCAATTGAGTATTTATAAGATCAGTTATATATTACATCAATAATCTAACGTTCAAGATTAATATGTTTATTTTAAATTTGTGGACATGCTGTGAAGGTTTCAAAAATTCATGTCTCAATTTTGGTTTCTGGCTTACAATTAATATCTCAACCACTTATCACATTCGAAAAGATAAATCAATAAACGTGAACATAATCATAAAATATATTCATAAGCTGAACACACCTGACACAGTGAGCAGCGGTGAGAAGCCACTTTCGATGAATTACCGTTCCGGCACAATATAGTTTTCTCGATATTGAAGCCATAAACATGCCCTGTTTTTTAGGTATATAAGGATTAGACGAATAAAGAACATTTTCAGTTATTTTTGCAGTGCTAAATTTGTTTTAAATAATAGTTAAACATTCTGATTTCTTGCAATGAGATTTACATAACAAAAGTCTCCTACCATCCATGGCCAGGCGTTTGGTTCAGAAACCATTCCGTTGATGATTCTTCTAAACGAGATATACTCTTGAAATGCCAATGACTTTTCTTGTGCTTCGCGAACTTGCACTCTACCACAATCCATCTCTACTTTTTGATTGTTACAGCATGTTGTAGAACCGTATCTTCGTTTTTGTGGGGATATGCATGGTTCTACATAAAATGAAAATTGAAAGAATTATGAAAAATATCAGTAGCAAGCGGTAAACTGAGAATCATGGAAATTGAAACAATAATCCGTATCTCACTTTTATTGCAATCTTGATAATTACATCCTTGGAAATATCCGTTACATTTGTACACATCGTTGTGAGTGCATGACGATTTGTAAGCCCATCTATACCCACCACCGCAGGCTAGATTACAACTTGTGAATTTTTCTGAAAATGAAATCGTTCAGAGCGTTTTTAGATGGTCTGAACAGAGAATGATTTCTCTAATACCACGCACTAAATAGCTGCGTGCTGGTTTATTGTTGTCACTGTAGTAAGACAAAAATAGGTTAATATATGCACTTAATACTGATGGATCATAAAAAGTGAAAAAATCAAACAAATCTTCAAACAGTTACCATGACATGACTGTTGATTGCACGTTTCAACATCTTTTTCTGTTTTTCTGTCACATTTTCTTTCTATGTTACATTCTCTTGTTCTAGACCTTTTACCACCACCACAGCTTTTGCTACAATCTCCCCACTCTGTCCATTCTTTCCAAATAGGTTCACTTTCTAAAATGCACATTATATTGTTTGGTTCATTATTTAGTGTAATTCTTGGTCACATAATGTCGACATAGATCGTTATGCTAAATCTTCGCTATTGGGCTGACTTTTTGTCGGGGCAAAATCGCTTTTCTCCATTGCTGATAGGTCAATCAATATCTAATTTTCACGCTTGAATATGGTCGCCAATGGGCTCTTATTTTTGGTGGTGCCCGATACTTCACCCAAAATTTAGCTGTTCTATTTTAATTCGTGGAAGCACATTTCAACGTTTCAACACTTTTCCAGCTTGACCATCACAACTTAACGTTGTTTCGCTGAGCTAACTCCATGCTAAGTGTTATCCGTTCGTCCCGTTATGCATGTAAGTAATGTCAATAAGCCTCATTGGACAAAGTTTTTAGAATTTAGACAGATTAATGCCCCAAAATGCGTAGTGAAAAACACGAATATGACAAAAAGTAGAAAGACAGTGACATGTAATCATTTTGGGGTTTCTTAACTAAAATGCGAGATGTTTTAGTTGGTTCAATTTATATGGCAAGCACAATGAACTCACTGGATGAATAAGTCGTTGTATGGACCAAATGAATGTATCGCTACAGCACCGCACATTTTTCCGACTCCAACACAGTCGCAATGTTTAATTAACAAAAATATGAAACAAACACACTATTTTTACGTAAAACGAGGACATTTAAGATAATAGCGTTGAAAATAGAGTAATTTTATCGCAAGTGAGGCTATTTGACGTATATTAGTAGTGCTCATTGGATTTCAAATCGATCTTCATTCAAGTCAAAATATTATTACAAATATTCTCTTATACCGCTTACTCAAAAAAAAATTTGAATATACAGAAATTACATTAACAAAGTACTCACTTCCGGCCTGGCAATCAACCGGTGGACAGGGTTCCGTCATAGTAGACTTTCCTGCGCATTGACCCTTCATACATTCTCTATTTCGAGTTCTAAATAATTTCTCACCACACGCTTGCTTACAATCAGTCCAGTCGCTCCAATCTGACCATTCTTGAATTGCTGAAAAATGAAATCTATATTACAAGCGATATCAGTAATTTATAGTTAAGGTCGACATATGTCAATTAAAAATATAATAAAGGATTTTGATTAAATTGGACGATTCTAAATTACAGCAATCAATGGTATAATTTGCGTGAATCATATACTTTTAACTTTGAATAGGATAACGTGCAATGATTAAAAATAAGTTACATTGAAATTAAATACAGAATGGGGTGTATAAAATTTTTATAGACGGCTTGAAAATCTTTCAAAATTTCCGTCTTTAACACCACTAGTTAGCAATCCCGAGCTTGAAAGATGGGACTGACCTATGTGCAAAAAACAATTTTTTTTTTTTTTTTTTCAATTTTCAGTTTTTACTTACTCGGACATTCATTCTGCTTCTCGCACAATACAGTTTCTGTGTTTGAACCTGTGCAGATGTTGATTAAGCATTTTCGGGTTCGTTGACGACTACCGTCGCTACCGCATGTTTTTGAACATTTGCTCCATTTATTCCAATTGCTCCACTCTATTTAAACAATAGGTACCGGTATATTACACGAGAGTAATTTCGACAACCCCGCGTTTCGCGCATTTACAACATGGGTTTAGTATTTTATAGTGTAATATTAAAAAGAATTCGACAAATGTTACTTTTTGTCTTTGTTCTATTTATGTGTAAGAGTCGATGGTTATGAAATATTGATGTTGTCAATCAAAATTTGTTGGTTTATTGCTCAAGAAATGTTGGATATTATCCTGAAGTTTATTTTGAGTTACAAGGCACTAATTAAATAATGACACTGATTAACAGAATAGAGTAATTCTTACCAATTTTACACATATTGCAAGACAACATACAATTCCTTTTCATCCATTCGTTGTTAGGACAATATCGTATCAACTGAGGGCAGTAAATGTGCTTGTCGACGCATGCTGCAATACATATTTGCAATCAGTATCTATGGTAGTTAAACTTAATACTTTTTCTCGTGAAGGTATGCTGTATCATAGCTGAAGTACAATAAATTGTCCTTCGATATGCACTTTCTTATGTTGAATACGATATACTCACTCTCACATTCTTTGATTCTACAAGTTTGAGTTAATTCAACAACTTTATTCATTTTGCAATATTCTGTGGAGCACGTTTTTCGTCTCATTCCGGGTCCGCATGTCTTTGAACATCGACTCCATTCTCCATACTTTATGTCAGGTTTTTGATCTGCTAAGTAATTATTTAATCAGTTCAATTTGATGAAGATGCAGAATTACTGGGTAACCAGTAAACAGAAATCTCAAATTTTATAATTAAACTACGAAAATGAAGAAAATTTATTTAACACTGGATTTTCTGTTTGTGTATGCTTGTACTTAAGCGTTCAAGTAATCTATTATGCGTTTCGCGCAAAAGTTATGTTCCTTCTAGAATATCTTTCAAATGACCTGGGTTCTGTTTCATTTCGTCAGTCTGTAGTAACTTCAAATGAACCTGGTTTACACGTTAGCTACTTATAATTTTACAGTTGGCAATATATTTCTATGGCATATATATTAATATATATAAGATGGAATACTAACGTTCATCACAACTGTTCCTGATGCATTTCCTTTCATCTGTGCTTTTACATCCTTGTGTTTCGCATAACCGAGTACGTTTTGTGATCCCCGTGCCACATGTCACTGAACACGAACTCCAATGTGACCACATTTCTCCTGTCAGAAAAGTGGATCAAATCTTCAATTTTCCCTTTACGGTGACGGCTTAAACTAAATGGCGAACTAATTGGAATGAAATACTGTTTTGTACAAGTTGGGTAATGAATATTTCAAACATACTGTGAGTCTTAATTTACCTCTGTCTCAATCTATATATATATATATTTAAATAAAAAAATATTTTATTCATGTGTGTGATAAAAAACATTTTTTTTTATTAACATTTCATATATAGTGCTGATCATTCTTCAGTTAAATTCATAGTAATATAAGCTTAATTATTAAACTTACGATTTCCACAATATTCGTTGGCACATCGTTTTGATTTATATGGCAAACCCAGACAGTCACCGATACGACAATGACGATATCTTCTTCTTTCGCATTTTCCATCATATCTATGGCATTTATCCAAGGCACCATAGTCACCCCATTCTGAAATAAAAGAAATTTATTGTCATATTCATGGCTCCACGACTGCCCACGCACTTATGAGTTTGCTGGTTCAGTTGGGATTAACTGAAGACCAAACTTACTATAGCATTCTTTGCAAGTTGCTTTGCAGCTGTGACGTCGTCTGGTGTTGCATATAGACTTCGTGCAATCTGTTCTGGTATCGGTGCAAGGCTTGGTCCATGGTCCTAAAAGTAAGGGTATATGTTGAAAATTTTCAAAAATATATGTTTTAATCCGATTGGATTTTAAGAATAATGGCTAAAACGAAATAATAAATATAAAAGCACATCGACTAAAAATACATTCGTTTCCTATGTGATAAAATTATCAGCTTCATCAAAATACATAAAACAAACACAACCTATCAACGAAACGATAAATATTTGGACTTTTCAATGCTGAAAATGAAACATTACAAAAATTTAATCCGATATTATTAAAATTGATTAAATCGGTGTAATTATGACGATACAAAAGTCACCAAGTTGTACGGTAACATTGACATTATACTTATCAAGCATAGGCTATTATTTTTGATGATGGTTGTGAAAATTATTGTTCATGATAGATTCACCTTTGATGATTCATTGTTAAAAAGATAATTTTTGCCAATTTGAGGAGAGTAAATTTGATAATCGTCAAAGAAAATTGTAATTGAGGCAAAAGTGCGAAAAAAATTCCTAAAATAGGTTTACTTACAAACTGGAATTGATTTGAAAAAAATAACAATCACTATATGGGTGTTTTTCATTGATACTTGAAATGGCGTTTCCCAAGCTTGCTAAATTGACGCAAAATCATATTATTGGCAGCTGAAAGCATTCTCTGGCCATATGAAGCCCATCTTCAATGTTATAAGTTTCTCTATTATGAATAATTTCAAATTGAAGACAACTCACGTGTTTCAATGCATGTCCTCGTTAAGGCACAAGCCCATGATTGTACTTTTGACCCAGGGCATGTCCCAGATTGACAGACTCTCGTTCGTGTTCGTTTACCCAACCCGCATGTCACCGAACATATAGACCATTGCCCCCATTTCGACCATTCTAAAAAACGAATTAGTCGTTGATTATTGTATCAACAATGTCAATATTGTATTTGATATAAGATTGTCACTGTATCGATAATTGGATAAACAACACATCCATAAAATCAATGGTTCTCAATCTTTTATAATCCGCGCTCCCTCCAAAGAATTTTAATACTTGTAGCTCTATGCGTTTCAATGAAAAAACTTAGATGTACTTTAATTACCTAAAATACCTGGGTTTATTTTACTGTTATTTTTGTGGCACATTCAATAATAAAAATCCAACAAACGAAGCAAAAGAATTCATGCATCAAACTCAAAAAATTTACCGAATTGCAGTCAAGTCAGTAGCTTTAAATTAATGTAATCACAAGGCAAAGTAGGTTCCTTTCTCGTGACCCAAAATAACAGATTTGTAACCCGGGACCGCGAGCCCAATTTGAGAAACCCTGTTTAGATTTGTTTAATTAAAAATTTCAGATTGTCATTTGCGATCACGGCATATCAGATTATCAGCAACGTACCTGCTGTTCGCTGAAGTAATTTAGCTCCATCTGCTTGTTGTTTGTATGGGTCAAAATCAAAGTGATCCTGTTGTGTATTGTTTTCTTCCTCGTCGTGAAAGTCAACTCTTTTATTAGTGGAGGTTATTTCCTTGAATTCTTCGGGTTTTGGTTTGTTGACTTTGATATTACCTACATCCCTCAGTATCTTAGATTTACATCCGCATGTTTTAGCGCAAATTTCTTGCATTTTTTGTGTAGAACATAACATTTTAAAGTGTTGACAATATATAGACGAGTCCGTGCATCGCTTTCCTACAAAAAGATTGAACATTATATTGTATTTTTTTAATTATTTTCCTTTTTATACATCTTAAAAGAAATGTTGAACCAAGATCTCACAACCAGGGACAAAAATCCTACAGAAGAGACTGTTTTCTTATTAGTTTCAAAAAAATAATTTGCATTGTTGCTGGCTTTGACTGTAGTTATGTGAAATCATCGTAATAAAATTTAGAAATACACAGCCCTAACTATAGGTGGGAATTCTATCTCCAAAACACTTTTCGCCCCAATGAGGTATAATAGGTAATTATAAAATGGAAAATCAAAAAGGAAATGGGGGTAAATGAGAAAACAGTTGTCGATAACTTTCGTGCCAACCCTTTTCTGTATCGAATTTAAAATTATATTTAGTACTTTTTAAAGCTTACTTATTGTTTCGTATCTAAATCACCGTTAACCATGTGTGATTGTATTTTATCGAGTTTATTTTATTTATACCATTAAATTTGTAACACCGACAGCTCACCACAAAAATACTTGCATTATTTCGGTTTATATTATAAACAAAAACTCACTTTTACTGGCCGATGTAAGGGAAACGATCACACTAAGCATCAATAACAATGCTACAGCACTGCATATTCCTACTTTTCTCATTACGATTCTTGACGATGTCCAAAATCGAAAGGTTGAAGACTTTATGTATTTTTCACACCGAACAACAGATTACAGATGACTGGCAATGCTTTCAAAAGCACTATCACCTCAAAAATAAAAATAGATTATGCCCCTTTTTATGATTAACCAACTAAACTGGACTTAATTATCTTCGACCTAATAGTCTCCGCAACCGAAAACTCTGTAAACGCCAATTATACTCACAAATTATATATTTCAAGTAATTTGTGACATCCTGGTGACGTACACAATATAAGAATTCAGGAAAAAATAGAATACTGAAGGTAATCGGAATAATGCTGAGTTAAGTCAGGCATTGGTTTTTGGTTATTGTAAAATGCATGATAAATTTACAATAAATTGAGTACAAAAAATTGTTAATGCGTTAAATTTATCTTTACGACCGTGTAAGGAATGCAATTCTTTTCTGAACCACCAATGCAATTCATGCTTGATAATACAAATTTTACATTTTCAACTCGTACAAAATTCTATTAAATCAGTGAGTTCCAAATTCGGTTTAAATTTGTACATAATATGATTAAGTATAGTGACATAGTGGATTATTTATCTTTTCTGTGAAATAGGTATTATTTGTTCGTAATTGTGATCGGTTCCAGCGACAACATATGATTTTATTTGATTAGGTATATTATTAAACAGTGTAATAATATTTGTCGCTTTTCATGGAATTTCTTCTCACGAGAACATTTCAACAGATAATTCATATCATTTAAAAAAAATTTTGTATAGCTGTTATGTTCATCTCCTTCGCTTTAATTTGCATCGAATGTCAATCATCGGCATTATAATTTCAGTTTTTTTTACAGCAGAAATGGTGTTTATATTATAGAACCCTTTTGAACAGAATGAACTTGCCCCGAGCGAACTCTGAAAGCCCGGTAGATGTAATTCATCCTAAATAAACCTTCTATTGAAATATCGAAATTACTGCATTTCTACTGATGTCCGTTTCGGTAAAAGGGTGATTGCTTATAAAATTCATGTTTCAATACTGTAATTCCCTCTTTTACGTGGCATAGTCACCAATATTTTCTAGTCAAATGTATCGGATCTTCGCTTTATATAATCAGACACTGGATGGCATCGTGGTGAAATCTTTTGTTGCTTATTATTACATGAAATGTCTTAATTAACACTAATATTTAGATTATTTGATTATTGCGCACAGAAATGCATTCCTTCGGCTGTCGATCCCAATCCAATCATCAATAATACTAATGCAGAAACTATATTTTTATTTCAGAGAAATTTTGGGTAGAGGTCAGTATGACTGGCATATATGCCTATAGCCTGATTTGAAAAATTTTCATCAAGTATGAATATGTATACATATATATACTATTTATCTTTATAATCATGTTATAATTTAAAGATTGTAGCATTCAAGAACATAAAAATACCGAAAATACAATCATGTGTTTTTTACACATTTTAAATAATCAGAAAAGGGGATTCTGGGTAAACCCGGGAAAATGTTTGCAAACTTTGTAGATATATCCATATTGAACTAACGAAATTTGGGTGTGATTGCTATAGCGACAAGGAAAACAATTATATGTCTCAAGATTCAAATTTCCAAGTCGTATATATCTAAAAAGGAAGTCTTGAACAGATACATAAATGAATGGGTGAATAAAGTGTTTTTTAGTATACTATTTCTTCGTCCGGTTTTCAACATGTGTTCTTAAGCGTCCTGTATAATTAAGTCTCGAGCTATGAGTGCGTAGTGACATTTTGCGGTTAAGAAACAAATCATCTAATTCATCCTACAAAATTAGTACAAGATAATGATAGTTTACTACAACATTTTTGTTGTCAAATAGTCAACCAGATTGTTACATCGCGAAGTACAGCTTGAACCTCGTATCGTATGATTGCTCACATGAGAAATGAAATGACAAAGTGCATTTACAGCAACCTCATTCAACCATATTCGCAACCTGGTCTTCGTTCAGAACATGTCACCATGCCCTCCAAGTGCAGTTTTAATTATTCTGTGGCGTCTGCAGCTGCCGAAAAATTATGGCGGTATTTCCATACCATGGCCGCTACGGCAAACCTATGGCGACTGACTTTTTAGCTGCCACAAACCAATGACGATCTGCCTTTACCGCGGCAGCAAATTGAAAACTAATGGCAGGTAAAATTTTGCTGCCGTAACCACGGCAGGTGGGCCGTAAAAACAGGGCTGTCCCCTATGGTGACAAATAGTTGGGTAAGTTGGAACGTATTTCTTATGGATACAGTTTTGATGGATTTGGGGTTAGGGTTAGGATTTGAGTAGATATAATTTCGCATGATCAATTAAAATCTGGTACATTAATTTGTGAATATACCGTTAATACTGATTACTGAATAGCGCTATAAAACCATGGCAAGAGCTGCCGCGGTTCGTTCGTGGCAGGAGCTGCCATGAAGTGGTAAGAACTGCGCCTCATGCCAGCAGCCAACCATCGTCGAAGTAATCTAGCTCGAAAATAACTCTAATCGAGTTCAGGCGGATAGCTAATAATCCACCAGATAACAACGCAACATTTTTTGGGTGTGGAATGCTAATTTCTCATTTGTCAAATGCACTGTAGAAATTAAAAATTCTCACTGAAATTCGTTTTAAATAGAATTAATGAAAAACAAGGGTTCACTCATTTTTCATAGTACCAATAGACCAAAAATATACCAAAAGAATCTAAGCTAAATTAGTCTAGATTATTGTCTTCACATTTTGTCTAAATATTAATTCCCATTATTCCCACAGTAAACTGTTCCCAAGGCGTTTCCTAATACTTTTTGATAGATAAGCAAGATAGATAAGCAAGTTCTGCAAGATGATTATTCATTGTGTGTGTTGAAGTGCATTCCTCAATACAGTGTTACAGGAGAATGATGCGTTATTAGAGGAGTGCTGGAGCAACTCATACCAATAGATAAGTATAGGCAAATAAAGGAATAAATATTTTGCAATAAAAAAGGAATTGTTAGGTTGACGCACCAATACAGGGTTGGATCATATCTTAGCGCCACGTTTTGAATACAATTCTTGCAGATTTGATACAATCCTCAGAGTATTGGAACCGAAAATATGGCCTTACAAACTATTTTATAACATGCTATTCTTAGAAGTCAGGTATAGCGCAATAACAATTGGGTCTAAACATGTGTATCATTGAGGCCAGTGGTTCCATACCATCGTGCCGCGGCACATTAGTGTGTCGTGGAATGATTATTGGTGTACGGCGAAGAGATTTTATTTTTGAATTTATTTCAAGAGATTCCAATTACCAATAGACAGATTTGATCATTTTGCAAAAATTGCTTCACCGAGATGATTCTCATTAATAATGAGCATTTGACGTGTTTAGAAAATAATATTCAAGAATATTTTCCGTTAATCATAAGAATTTGATTGGATTCGCAATTCTTTCTTAGAATTATCGGTCACAAATCTCTCTAATTTTCACTTGTGCAAAAGGGAGCAATTAGCAAGTCTTTCAAGTGATCGTGGACTCAGACTGAAGTACGCACAACTGCCATTAGACGCCTTTTGGATCGCTCCTATGGAAGAGTGTCAAACTTTAAGCAAAAAGGCATCAGAGTGTTACTACAATTCTCAACTTCCTACTTACGTGAACTAGGATTTTCCCACATACACAATATTAGGAATAAAAAAACGTGGAAGACCTAAAAACACGGAAGAACAGTTAAAAGTATGTCTCTCTCACATTCGTCGACAAATTGCAGCAGTAGTAAAGAAGCACCAGGCACAACAGTCCTACTGACATTCACCATTATTAATCTATACCTGTTACTAAATATTATTATTTTATATATTAGATATATATTATATATCTATTAATAATATATTTATAAATATATAATATATTTATATTTTAGATATTATTTTATATCAAAATGGCTATATGAGTAGAAAATGTCCATGTTTTGTGATTGGTGTGCCGCGATATAAAAAAGCTTGGGAACCACTGATTTGGGCAGTGGTTCTCAATCGCCTTTCCGTGGACCGGCGCCGGTCCCTCAAATATAGTCCAATATTATATCTCAATTGTAAAATGCAAGACATTGATGACCAGCACATTTATATTGTGAGTTTTACCTTCTATTAACGCTTAAGCCAAACTTGGTCAGAAGGTACTATACGCCCATTACGGCTGGATACTACCTAGCGTGAAGATTATTACTGCCTAGCGAGAAGACAGTAGCAAATTTCTCATTAAATCAAATTATCCGCTTTCGAATTGCATATTTTATCGTAATTACATTCGTTTTATTATGTTTCCTGCTTTTGATATTCTGGGTTGATTTTAACAGTTCACCGATCCGCAAAATTAGTTTTGAACTTTTAGCGGTCCGCAAACTGAAAAAAAGGTGGGAACCACTGATTTAGGGTATTCTTGTCATATTCCAAATTTTTCTGTTCCGATTCTAGAGCTATCTTTGACAGAAAATCATACTCGTATTGAGAAATTTGACTTCAGGATAAAAATAAAAAAAACGCACACAGTATACTTTACCAAATTAATAATGCAGTCGTCAACATTTCCAATATATATTATGATCGAAACAGTTATTTTTGATAGAGTGTTCGCATTGGTATGACTGAGTTTGATTTCAAAATTCCTGTATGCATGAAAACTAAACCAGATAAGATGCCAGTAATGAGCATTGTGAAAAGAATATGATTTCTTTATGTTTTACCTTGAAGCATGTAGCAAATAAACAAGTCATAGTCAGTGGCTGAATTGATTGGCAGAATAATCGCGTCGTTTCTATTGACTGTTTTGCTGCGAATTGTCGTAAATAGTCTTGTTAACTGGCTGCGAGATTATACTAGCAAGCTACCTGCGATGCACTCAGTTAGGAATTCATTAAGATGTCGTTTTGAATATCAATCTTCCGCTAAAATCTCGAACAACCAAATGCTGCAATGCTTATGTTGAGTATTGAACTGCTGAGTATCACAGATATTAGCTTTGATCCTCGACTTGATTACGAGGCATAGGTTGATTCAAATAATTCTTATTTTGTATGATTGCTATTATATGAATTTAAATTAACTTGGTATTTAAAGATGATGTTGCGAACATTGCAAATGAACCGATCTTTATAGGAAATATTTTAGACAAACATCATAAAGACACGGGAATTGAGAGAAAGAAGTCGGGGGAAGTTAACAACCAAATAAAAGCAAAGACTTTATTAATCGAATTATATTTAATGCACAACATATTTGAATAATATTAATCCATTAACTACCGAAAGAAAATACCAGGCAAGAAACAATGTTTTGTGTACAAGATATATACTATATATGATTAAAATTGTCAGAAACGGAGATTTTAAAATTCAGTCATTAATGCGTAAAAACTTCTACGATAAAGTTCAATGAATATAATATGCAATTAACTGTTCCCGAAATTGATAATTTTCATACGAAAATATTAATTCCTATAAAATATTTTTTCGACATATCTAATCCCAGTAAATTTTTTGAGTGCCCTTGAATGAAATATTATTTCAGTATGTGTGTTGACGCGATGATCAGATAAGGTAAATCGCAGAACACTAAATTCACTTTTACACATTTGAAAATTGGGTCATGCGGAACATTAATCAGCAATAAATTTATTTGCGGAAGAGGTATTTTCCAACTAAAACGGGCGCCACAGGCCCAAACTTTTGCTTTCTAAAAACCAAGGAATCAGGGAACAAAAATATATCAAGTATAGCAACAGAATTATGTGAAATTTTATGGAAGAACTACAAAACGAGAGCCATAGCACGTTAAAGAGAAAATAATATGGTAATAAAGGCAAGGTTAACAAAGCGTAATCTGACAATAAAAAGAAAATCATAGAGTTCACACCTTGTAAAATCATAAGCATAAAATAGAAAAATTTTCAGACGCAAAATATTGTATTGTAAATCTGAACAATGGGATTATCTGTCTGCGTCACTTGAACACGGTTATCGTAGAGTGGACATTGATTTGATTACTATTTAGATTACTCTGCTACAAACCTTTTTAAAAATAATTTACCTGATTTTGCATGATGAGATTTATGCCTTTGTTAGTCAGTCAGGCAAGTAAGTCTAAGTTGATAATGGATAATCTGAATAGCTAATAAATCAACCGATGTGTCTTAAGTAAATAAGATTTGATATTCAACAGTGTCGCTAGTGATATTAACAGAGAATAATAAGTCCTTAAAACAATTCACAGTGCAAACCACGCCATTGTAGGCTCGTTTGTGCGTGAAAACTACAAGCAACACCACAATGAAAAATTCTTAATCTGTTCGAAACTAATAAAATATTTAAAATTTCAAAAACGCATATAACACATCTCCAATAACTGAAAAATAAAAATAATAACAAAATAAATAAACACCAACTAAACGCATAGGCACTGTTATGCAGCCTTTCATAATAATTAATCATGTTATTAACGGATACAAAGGTCTAACATCTGATGCAAATTATAGCTAAAAAAACCATTGATGAAGTAAACAAATTGAAACAACTCATACGTCGTGTTTTGGTGCGGATTATTGTAATATGGAAATTTTGTAATTTATTACATTGAGTAATTAAAGAAATTTTTGGAACTGTCACAACTGATGCCAATATAGATCGAAATAAAAAATTCATATAGCAATAACGTGTTAGGATATAATACATTTATCAGATTGTTAGCAGAATAACGACGTAAGATGATAAATTTTCCAAAATTTGAGGGGGAACATAAATATTAAAATAAGAAAAAATAGAAGTGTATTTGCAAAATTCAAGTTTTAATCAGAAGTAGACAAACGCTTTATTTGTCGAATATATCGGTGTTTCAATCTGGATTCCCAACCGTATTACATCCCGTTTATATTCCAGAGTCTATGGGTGACAATATTTCAGGCTTGTGTAGGATGTAAGATGAAGTTAGGCTACACTCATACAAACCTCGCCATAAATCTGTTGTAATTTAATTTGCAACTTGAAACTTTCCTAACAAGACTTTCTCGAACATTCGGCGTTTTGTCATTTATGGTGTTATTATATATATTATATATGGCGCTGGTGGTTTTGAGTAAATGAAATGCCAAAATTTCATTGCCGCAGAATATTACCTTTCGAACACGTTTACCCATTTTAAATTATGGTTTCATCATTGACTTTGCCAATAATATTAGTTTCAGTTTCAGAAATGCAATCTTGATCACCCGAGTCTGTCTGTTCTCCGTCACCTTCGCTATAATCATTCTGTCCACGAGGAACATCCCATTGTTCGATATTCTCAATGGATCTGACAACATTACTTTTGTCTCTGGTCAATGGTGATATCGCAAATACGTTGGGCGCAACCAGGTCGTTTTGATCAATATTTGTGTCAGGATCGTGTGCTTCACCGAAGTTCTTGCTTCGAGTTAACGGTTTCCGAAAGAATCCGGGTCGCCCGTTTAGATTATCGTTTGTATGTAACAATGATGGTGATGCTCCTGGAACATGACAATACTGTGGGGGACTGTCACTCACAGGAGAATCGTCAACATTGACACAATGTTCGGAACCTCGAGGAGATCGGCGTGATAGGTTCGATGTAAATTGAGCAAGCTGCACTTGGAAAATGTTCCCCAAAACCTCTGGAAGCCTTTGAACTTGGTCTTCCAGGGAATCAAGTCTCCCGCTTATTGAAGTTACTCTTTCTTCTAACAACTCGTTCTTCGTGCTGATATCACTGAGCATGTCGGATACTCTGATTTGCAGCTGAAAATACATTAATAACAATTACAATTATTGAACGCGAGATTTCGTTTAAAATGCGTTAATTAATATCCCTAATGATTATGATTTTATTACTTCCTCGTTGAGTCGAAGTAAACAAAAGACAACCGGTGATCACGCTGCGATCGAAAAGAAGGCAGGGTGATTATCAGCTAGTTGTGGTTTTGCGCGGAGTGGTTTGTTTTGCTGTAGTTTTGTACATATTTGTGAGTTAGTTTTCAAAATTTTCAAGTTACCTCTAAAATAGGATTTATGAAAAACGAACCTTTGCAAAATCGATTAATGTGTTTGCTTGATCGTTAAGCTTTCGCTGTTCCATTTTGAAATTACGTAACCTGGTAAATAGTAATAATATAATTAGTTCATGCACAGTAAAATAATTAACTACAACTCCGGTAATAATCTCCTGATCTCGCCGACTTGGTTAGTACATATCTTATTTATCAACAAGATACGTTTTCGGCGCAATAACACCAACGAGATAAGTTTCAGCAGTTATATCACACTAAAAGAAAACTAACTCACTGGTAAATAGCCTGTAAAAATTTTCTCTGGTGTTTTCGTATGCGAAATGGCTCAAGTTTATCTGCAAGCTTTGTATGTTTGTAAATCAACCACGTTTCACGTAGCACGTTTGCTGCAGCGTTTTTCACCTGAAACAACAAATGAAAAATGCTAAGAATTATGGATATGAACTCCAAAACGTCATGCATTTGTTTGTTGATATCATAATAAACATGTGTGCCGACGAACCGTCCCAAGTTCACCAGTAAATAATTTTTGTGTCATTTCAATTATTAGATTCGCTCGCTTACTAGTTTAATTATCATAAATTATTGTTCAATCTACCATATGTTAAATATTATTGCTATTATGCCCTGGAAGCAGAGTAGCAATCTGTGAATAGGTGTCAGTAGAGATCCACGGACATGTATGCAATAAATATCGATTAGTGTCGACTGTCGATATCTGATTGTAATTATTGGCTACCGGATTTAATAATAACAGTTATAAAAATGTGAATTTAATGTTCCAATTCTTTTAAACTGGAGATACGACACTGAACAGCAGCCACCTTCGATTTCGCTTGGGAAATAGATACGCCCAGTCTATACAATAAAAGATTAAATATAAAATGTAACACAAAATGTGGATTTTCGTCAGAATTTCGTCATAAATGAAGACAACAAATTTTGTATCGGTTGGAATAAGCAGATACATTATCGACGGAAACAGGTAATATGTATTACAAATACACGAGATACAGATAACAATTGAATTCTGGCTTGTGGTATTGCGTGACAGAATAGGAACGACGATGACGAATAACAAGTATTCATTGAAATCTTGTTTACCACGGAAAGACGCAGCGGACTGATGTATATTACAAACGAGAACCTTTTTTAATCTGTGCTCCGAAATAAATAATTTCGCGTGTTAAATGGCTTTCATATCTTGACATCCAGGACTATCGCATTTAGTTTAGAATGATATTATTAGCACAAGAGTTTGAGTTGGTTAGATGTCTTTGCTTCGTTTTATGCAAGCATATTAAATTCAATTGAGCCGTAACCTATTTATTAACTGTAATCGAATCATTCTAATACACTTCAGAGTGAATGAAAGTGGTTACGCCCTAAAAATGTTCTCTATACTGATCGCACCATTACCTTGAAAGCAAATTCTTGCGTAAATCTAGCTGGGCGAATGAACTAGTTGTAGCGTAAATCGTCCGTTTCTGAGCAACACATCACGAAACGTTGCGTGTCGATCTTGTAAATTACAGTTATTCTCACCAAGTTTTTCCATGAAGTATAGCTTGGTTCGTAACCAAGAGATAGGTTTTATATATATCTGATTGTTGCTATTGGAGGTATAGCCGATCTAACGAACTGAAATCGGTTCATCCTGATGTGTCTGACGTGGACGGCCGACGTGACTGGTGTACACGTAAAAGCGGAGACGTATGACCGACTTTATAAACGAAAATCTATCACATTTGATGAGCAAGCAAGACAATTATTTCGAATTATGTTAAGAATAGCATATTTCAACATCTGATTCGATTTCAAAATATTTTGAATAATTACAGTGAAGAACAAACGTTATGACTGTGTTCATGATAAAAACTATCATATTTTCACATTTCAATTTGTGTAGTTAGTTCATTTTCATAGATATATTGGAGTATTTAGTGATTTTTTAACTGAATATAACTTTTTAATAAGATTTTGGAATGAAAGCAACGGGTGTTTCACGTGCCGGTATTTCTTTGTGGCCGAGCGACAGCAAGATAGTTGTTCGCAGCAATTGGCGTCCCCATATATGGACAAAGTGTTACATCTTAAAATTGTGATAAAAAATTTATAACAAGGGCAGAGAAAATTGATAAGTTATTCTATTGTCGCAGATGGATCGATATATATAATAACCATTTGCGTAAAGATGTTTGAGTGCGAAGTTCGATCCTCCGTGATCGAGAGTGCATTTTGATTTACAAAATTCGCTTCGGAATTCATGATGATATTAATTATATTTTTAATCTATTATTTGTTTAAAAAGTCACTGACTTTCATATTAGCGGAATACCGCTAAACTTAAATGTATTCAACAATGAGATGACAGCATGGATGAGTGGAATTTTCTGTGTACTCATTACAAAATGTTCGCATAGTGTGATACCACAATCAGTATTATTACACAATCTTAGTCGTAATGGTAAACATCGACAAATATTATAGATTTGTGGGAACTTAGACAATTTCTACGCGATTTGATAAACACACTGATCGGATTTCACGATAGTAATTTGGCTCTAAAGCAATGTCCCACGTTAGCATGTTCCCACAAAATGCTTTTCTCCAAACCTTTTTAGCCTTAGGTAATCACTAACAAGCTCTCGGATTTTCGTGAGCACATCATTACGCCAATTCCTTAAAGTGCTGTTTAAACAAATACCGGTGATAGCTACGAGCGATTATTGTGGTTGTAAGTGGTTTGTATATTTTCTGAAGTCAGAACGTGATTTATACAAACAGATAATGTCGAGAATTATATAGAAATGATGATTAAAAGCCAAGATATAAAAAATGAAAATAAAAACATTTATCAATTGTGTTAAAATATTGTTGCATTTCGGTTCAAGTTAATTCTAAATATTATACATACTTTGCCTTATTGGCTTAGTACATTTGAATACATCACCCACAGAATAGTTTACATTCAAACCTTGTATTTGTTGTGAATTACAAAGAATATTATTTATTCGAATATATTTTAAAATGCCGCTATTTGAGAATCTTATGAAACATGATGACCTGAATATCAGGGACAATTGCAAACAATTTCTACTTATACGTAGCAATAAAAAGACTTACTCTTTTTGTTAATTGAGTGTCCATCATGAAGTTATGAACATGTTTTTCAGCTTTGGTCAATTCCAGTTTTCTTGCTACCACAGCAACCACGAGAGCGGTGCATCCAGCTCCCTAGAAATATGTATCATTAATTACATCACAATTTATGGTTTTATTCAGAAGTGATTTCTTCAATTACCCTTTTCGAATTATCTGCCATTCACTGAGAAATACTATTATATGTATATTTTTTATAAACAGATTTACAACTGTTATTATTAAATGGACAACAAAATGAGTTTTTGAATTGTTAAACCAAATTTGTTGAATGGGTATGAGAAAAATGAAAGCTGTTCGCAACATACACACTTCGAATGTTCCCTTTTAATCAATGTCATTCGTGACTTTCAGTCATAGACTTCAAAATAGTGGGTAGAAATACAAATATTGGTATCAATTCTTCGAAATCAAATTATTACTTGAATATTTTTGAATTGCAATCAGAAATTATCCATTGACAATATTTGCTTCAAGTTTAAAGCATGGATTAGGTCAAAGTTACAAATAAATTATTTTTTGGATGGTTGAATAACCCGAATGAAAAATGTTACTTTATCAAGATAAATTCTTGGCATCCTGGCGAGAGGCTTTCAAATTAGGGAGTGGTGACTGCCCCACAGTTTTGGCTTTGGGGCTGTTTAACAATTAGCCAAAAGAGCTTACTATGCTGGAATAACTTATTTTAACGATATAAACGACAAATCGATTGATATGATGAATGTTGCTTTTTGTCTGAATTGACGCTTTACATTTTTTAAATTACTGGTGAAAAATATATCATCTTGTGGAAAGTGATCGAAGTTTATTTCATGCACGAGTGATTATTTAGTGTTCCACCGACGGAAGCTTCAACCGTGATAAATGTGCGAGACTCTCAAAATTCTTGATTCCCTAGTGAATCAACAAAACGTTGTATATAGCTTGATTCGTTCTCACCATGATTCCGGTCAAAAGACATACGCCTCTCCCACAGAATGTGTTTGGAACCATATCTCCATAACCAATTGATAAAAAAGTTATTGAAATTAACCACATCGCACTCAGAAAATTACTGTTCATATCGTCTGAATCATGATACCTGAAATGAAACAACGTGAGGATTGAAGTTCAACAAATGCATATGATTATGAATAAAGATTTGCGAAAAGGTTATGGATGCTTTCACATCTAACAAACACAAATTTGGGAACAGCCTCAATTTTTAACACTTTAAATAGTCGTCCAAATTTTGGATATAAGACAGGCTGTGAGACTAAGATTATTATAATTCATAATATGAAATATACAATTTACTCTACTTCCAGCCTTTGGAAGTCACCTGCAATGAATATCTGTTAAAACTTGCTTTTATCGAGATACAGACGAGGTAATTCTTTTCTTGAAACATGGGTAAAGCATGCTTTATGTAGAATCAGGCTCCTAGTAGTTTAGAATAGGGTACACAGTATTTGTTTTCGTTTAATTCAGGGCCGTCGTTAGTTTCACCAAACGTGGACTCTGCACATCGGGTACACAATGACCATGCGTAAAAATGTTTACAATACGGCCATGTATAGTCAGGCGTGCAAATAGGGATAGTGCAACCTTGCGGGAGATCCAACGATACCCTACGACAAAAATAGATATGTTATTAATATTTTATGCGGCACAAAACAGCGTCTTGTGTTTTTCCCGAGTCTATGTGTATAGAGTCTATATATGAGTGAAATGTATATCTAAATGATTAACACATAATGCAAAAATAATTGTATTCCAAGAGCGCGAGTATAATATAATTTGTACGTAATAAAAGTCAGAGAGAAACAATCAGCAGCGACTCTGGAGACCGGGGACAACAACGTCCAGAATGAGCGGGATTTTTGTCTGCATCATAGATTTTCTTTGGAAAATTACACTCATAACATTATTTTTTCCTTTCAGCATGTCGAAAATAACTTTCAACCGCATCGTTCTGCCTTGCAACGCTTTTGGATCAAAATTGTTTTGTAGAGGAATTCGAGAAAATGTGTTCACGTGAACTGCATGGAATATTGTTTATGTTGAGGCTGTTCACGCTTGATACAAACTACATGGGGCCAGGAATATACGTTTTAGGAATATTTTTAATATATATTCAGTAATTGGGATCAAGACCCATTGAAAATAAATCAAGTTGAAAGGAATTATGTTGATCATGCAACAGCGCGAGAATATGACGTTTTCATCCCGATCTCTTACAATTTTAAGGTTTTATTGTGATAATTCGTCCAAGCTGCAGAGACAGAATTCGAGTTTTCTGTAGTGCAGAAAATAGTTTTTATGCATATCTAATATATATAAAATGCAAAGTTCTATGCGAATATGTCGAACTGTCTGATGATTGTGGGATAACATTTTCTGAGTTAGTTTTGTCTGGGACATCGATAAAAGGGTTTTACAATATTATGACATAGTCTTTATTATATAGCATGTTGCCTCATTCTAGAAAATGAGTGAATATACATTTGAACATAGATCAATACGTTTTCACAACATAATTCAGATATATATAGGTAGGTACCTAAGTAATTTCACCACAATTCATATTAGGATATAAATAAATTTACATTCATATAATTCTATTGCACTGGTATAAAATCACATTGTTGCAAGAAAGCGTTTCTTGGCTATACTTATTCACATCCTTTTTGAATAAATTGTTTAGCTAGTCATTCTATTATTTCTTCACTATACTATTGATCCTCCATGAAACTGGGAGCCAAAATTACCCCTATATATAGATGGAATCAATATGCCCCGTCACGTAGGTTACTTACAAATCGATTCCAGTTTGAAAATGATGACGAATTTCACAATTTCGTGGCAATTTTCGACGAATTAGGTACATTTTCCAAAGTGGAAGTGACCTCAAGTCTCTCACAGTTCGCCATCTCCATTACACCTCGACCCAGTAGCATCATAAATGTGATCGTAATAGAAAACTACCGCACAAGTAACGGTTTAATGTCATTTGAAACGACGTATTTCAATATAATCAGACGATTTGGTTTCCATTTGAACGATAATTACATTGCAGTGGCGATCTTGACAGACGATTGTGACAGAAAATGATATAAAACTGGTTTTGCAGACAAAAATTATTCGCTTGAAGTTGTACATTAGTTAGGAGTAATATAAAGTGCAACAATTCGATCAATATTCAAATAGCAACCGATATGAAGGTTAAATATCAATATTAGATATAATTCTTTTTATTAGGTTTGTCTATTTTTAACGGGTGTTCTAAATTCGGTTAAGATTCAAACTTTAAAACAGATTTTTCCAAGCTATAACACACCTGAAACCTACAAATATGTTTTTGTAGTTGATTTGATTTGCCATTTGAAATTGAATTCATTGGATTATTTCACCTCTACCTGTTGCCTATATATTAACAAAGAACTCTGCCGTACTTAAATGTCATTATTATAGTCATTGTTTACACTTTAGATTGATTCAATCATGTTCCGAGAATTTATTTTTCAATATGGGATATACGCAAATTAAAAAAATCAATAAATCTATTTTTACACCAACACTATGTGTTCTTTATTGATGTGAGTAGTGTAAGCACTGACTGTGTCAGCATTGTTAATTCCTGATTTGTATAATTCTTTTCCGGGTAAGAAATCCCTATTATCGTGTGGCATTTGAAACCTATTTGCACCTGCTAAAATCGATATCGTTGTGAGCGTCAGATATAATACCAAGTTTATCTCACTCTTCAGCGTAACCGATATTTATTACGCCGGAGTATTTTATTTTCCACATTTGCGAGACTGATGTGTTTTGACATGAAACCGCAAATCTCGGTTCGATCGAGCAGGGAATTATTTTGATTCAAGCCATAAATCGATCGACGCTAACACAGCGTAACGTAAGCAACGAGGCAGTTGTTTATTTTACATTGAACGTGGGCATAATAACATTTCATGGAAACGGTGAATAAATTAGCCAAGGGCCACCACATTAACCAAAAAATAAAATGAATTTGATTTTTAAATAAATCCAGCAAGTAATTTTTCACAAATAATCATAAGGCAAGTAAAGTAATAATTAGTAATAAGTTACAACTCCCAAATGACTGATTACAGTCAATAACAGTGGCTAAGACGACAAGGGTTTACGTAAACCGTAAACTTCGATATTTACCAGAAATATGTTAACCGGACATAACAATTTCATTACCTATTCCACCCTACGAGTCTCGTGTATGTCAGTCAGTAATAGCGCTTTCCTAACAATGCTATATCCAATATTGGCACATCGCGAAATTGAAGAGAAGAGGATAAAATCAAGCATTACTTGGGAGTTGGGAGTGTATGAACCAATCTCAAGATGTTGAAAGTGTATAAAAATAGACCTATCTTAAGACAATAAATAATACTTTTAACAGAGTAAACTTGAAGCTAGTACGCTTGTAATGAAACCGAATGATTCATGAATACACACTTAAATGTAACTGCAATGGAATGGTGGCTATATTGTATCAAAAAAGTCACATCGGCCTTGTCTCGCACTCCATTTTAGCTAACCTTTAGTTTATGTTAGGATTCGATTGTCTCTCGATCTTATCAATGAACATCACATGTTATTTTGAATTACAGGTCGGTGGTAATTCGAAATAAAGTAAATTATCTAGATTGAACTAACCCTAAACGACTTAGGATCCACCAACCAATACCGGTTTTCGGAACAATTTTTGGGTGCTCCAGAAGTATGCGCACCGATATGTCGCACAACCTGAATTCTAACCGGTACACACATACTATGTTCAGGTTGTGAGCCATCTTGGTGCGCATACTTCAGGAGGTCCAATTTTTGTTATTTTCTAGGTAAGATTTTGTTTGTTAACGTTCAGACAAATACACACATTTGGGATCTGAGCAACTCTTCAGCTCCGGCGTAGAATGGCAATTTGAAATATTTCCCCATCTCATAGATAACTCGAATGGGCAAAGTAGCGGCGATATATTTTATGATTTCCAGAATATTTCAATATCGAACGTAAGAATGCAAACTTTCAGGAGAGCATTAGATCACAGTCCGCGAATTTGTTTCAATTACTCTATTTAGACCATTTATGACCTGATATTACTGAAAATCCCAAATCACATAAACAAGGAAGCAGATGAAACCCAAACCGACCGCAAAACAAGATCACGTCGCCAAATGTGCGTGAAATTTCCTGACATTTTACGCCTCTCAAGTTTCAATTCAAGTCGGGCAATGTTATATGGCAAAGTTCAAAGATCGGCAAAATACTGGAATGTAAAAAAAAACACGCAATGAAGATTCTTCAATTATAATGAAGTAAATTATTCAGCAAATAAGTTTATTGAACCCAGCCCAGAAACTAGCGTTATTGTGTTTATTACATTCTATCGATATTTACCAAGAAGGTTCAGAACAGACACAGAGGAGCTTGCGTGAAAATTGATTCTGTATTATGTAAACCGCTTTAACAATTATGATGAAATAAACTGGATTAGCCATACGCCGAATCAATGAGATTTCATCTGTTCTAAACATAGTAGGCATCCTATAACATCAGCGAATATATTTGCATCTGGTTTGTCTGTATTATTCTACCCACAGCAATAATATAAATATAAATTTGTATTGAATTATAAATTTTATTCAAAAATTACTATACAGATATAATACTGCATATGTTTGTGTGGTATTATTTCGATCTCTCGACGCCATTCTGATACTAATGAATAAATTGACGTTTGATGAATGAATGTGAGATTCACAAATGTAATCCGAAAACAATTTCTGTATAATTGTGGAATTGTGTGACTTCTTTTAATTTCATTTTAACATTTCACATTATTTTCGAATGAAATTTGAATTTCGTGCAAATTGACCTGGTTGAAATTGGATAAACACACGTTAAAGTTCACAATTCGTAGAAACTACTGCTATAAATACGAAAACTGCATTGCACAACTTCTTTTATTAGTCAGATAAATTGGAATTCCAAAAAAATGATGACAGATTGTATATTATAGACATCAACAACTCGAACTAAGCTTCACAAAATTGAGTGAATGTAAAAGGATTCGTTACGCGGATACGCACCGAACATAATTTGGATTTGAAAATCGCACGATGAACTGTGGCCCAATTATGAAATGAATTAAAGATTTCTACTAAAAAGAAAGATCTACGATGTGGTGTCGTTGACATTGTATCGAACCACATATGACGTCACGCAAGCTCATCACTGTTATCATCAATCGGGTTTGGTGCGAAGAAGTTCAAACGTAGAAGTGTGATGTATCGCGCCACTGTGTCTGTTTGGTGGGTATGGAATTAGGTTGACCTTCATTAACAGAATCATATTACCAATCCAAGTGTGAATAGACACGAGAACAACTGTGGCCTGCGACCTTTACTAAGGAGCTCAAATGCGCTTGATTGAAACCTTTACGACTCGTTACTTTCTAGCATACACATATTCATATTTTTTAACGAGATTGAGCGTTAGTTAACGATTACTTTGTTATTCCTGATTTAAGTATTTCACTATGAGTGATCGAAAAGAAGTCGTTTTGATAAATGCAAATAACGTTTTCGAAATATGCTTTCCAGTCATTTCTTTAGCGGTACAAAAATTACAAAATGGCAGAATGAGGCATTAAAAGACGAATTATAAAATAAATGATTATTCATAACAGTTAGCAAAATTTGGTAATTCGAGACAATAAGATTTGGACGTTTTATTTATGTAGTCATTTTGGTTTGTACAAATAAATTGAAAAATTGGTTGCTAAAATATTGATTGCAAGTTGCTCAAACATTCAATTTCAAACTCACCTTTCGCATGCTCTGATAGTCCATGCCGCTATTATCCACATAGATATACTGAGAACAAGTAGAACGGTGCCAGGGCAAATTGTCATCAATGTCTTCATTACAAACCTGAAAAAGTATATGTCATTCTTAGTGAATGTTCTAGATGTCTCCATGTAAATACATTTCAAAAATCTGACCGAAATATTTGAACAGCCTAATGTGGCAAAATTAAAGTGTTGACGGTGAAATATTTTTTGAATTTTTGCTTTTTTGGTATCACAAATGGACAAAGTCGTTCCAAATATATTTTTTCCATAAACTTTTGTTATGGCCCATTCAAGATTAATCCAAGTAATATCTCTACCTGAAATAAAACCAGTTTTGATCCCACAAACATACTATATCGCGTTCAAAAGATTATGCGAGTTTGCTGTATCATGGCTTTCTTTATCTATTTGTTTATTTCTAATCGGACAGAAAATGTCAGGTTCGACAAAGCTACTGCAGACCAATGCTTGGAGACGGCCCACGATCGATGTCATGTATTTAATTGGGCAGGAAAATAGGGCTAACGAGTACGATCAATGACCGAAGTTGTTGAACCCCAAGGCTCCTCAGGATTGATTATCAGGATTATTTTTATTGTCAGAAAGTTCCACAATTATTTTGAACTGTCGAATATGGATAACCTGTAGGAAAAGTGGGATTAGAGACATATATATATATCTCATTACATTATTCGTTGTTAGAAAATGAACTACTGCAACTGAAACTCGAAGTTTCTTAGGTTGAAATGGGTATTACATATACACGAGATCACTTGTTGGAAAAATCAGAGTCCGGCTTACCAACTTGAGCAAAAAACTATATATTTAGATCCTCGTGGCGGGTTCGGATGCTGAAATAGTCAATAACCAATCAACTAAATAGCTTTGATCTACCGATTGCATCTATTTGTAACAATTTATTTACTGGAACAATTCGTTTGGATCTTTAATTAATTCCTAAAATTACATTTTGAAATACTTTCACCCATGTAAAGAGGATATGCTGCGTGGCAATATATTGAATACTAATTTTAGAACATGCCATTGCAGACTCTCATGCTCTGTACAAGGCGCTCTTCCTACTTTAACGTGGAATTTGAACACATTCGTTACAATGGAAGACCAAAATTAAATTTGTGGCATTAAAACAAAAAGTAAAAAGGTAAATAGAACACGTATTATGAGTCTGTAAAAAATACACAAAGATGTCTTGCAACGTTATGAAAAAAGTTAAAAACGTTTACCACGATAAGATAAACGCATCTATTAACAAACAAACAAACAATTACAAATAATTCGCATAGCAGGGCCTGCATTTTCAGAAATACACAACGGTAGAATGGAAAAGTTGATATTTGTGGAGCCGGAAGCATAGAATTATTCTATGTTTCTGGATTGGCTGGAATGTTTGTGATTACCTGTTAAACCGGAATATTGTTGGAACTCTCCTCGGACTAAGGTCCTGCGAGATTATTCATTAAAATAATGTAATCAATAGAAATAAAATTCGAACGCTGTCATCATTTTTTTTTTGTCAAAATATGACATATATAATGTTATAGTATTGCGTTCAAACAAAATACAATACTTTTGTTTTAGTATTTTTCTTGCAAATACATAATAATCTCTGTTTGTTGATTACGTCAAACAACCCGTTTTTTTCAAACCTGAGTAAACACTGCTTAACTTTTTTCATTCATATGACACAATCAATTACGATTGGTTCATACAACTGATGTTTCAAATATCGATAATAATGTAAATGATTGATTTTGTATTTTTCACTCTGTAGAGCCACAATGCTGAACGAATTCTCTCGGGTTAGGTAATTTTTGGACATGATTCTGTACGTGGAGCCTCTATCTCTGCGCAGTAATTGTAAATAGGAATTTGGAAGACGAAAAAAGTAATGTGGTTCCGAAAAAGTTTTATTCTTAGAAAGGAATACACAGAAAATATCCAAATTTATTTGGGTAATAATTTTAAACTCATTTTCGGATAAAATATGTCAAAGTGAAAATATCATATTTCTTAGCCAATTATATTATTCCAATTACTCCGATCCTGTAATAGCTGAATTCATATTTGTTAGCCCTTTTGACACCATTGTCAGTGAATAAAATCTATCTTATGAATAACCTTACCTTGTATTAAAATTTATTTTATTTAAAGCACCAATACTTCGCGATGAGGCGTCTGTAAATAAGCGACTATGAAGCAACATCACTCTTGCAATGAGATAGAGACGAAGGAACATAGGTATGGACAAAAGAATATCCACATCTGCCATTGTGCTTGTTGTCATGCCGGTAAAAGACTAAAACACAAGAAATATTCTGGCTAAGAAATAGTAAAATATTTAACTAAGATACTGTTGCAGGCAATGAAACATAAATGTAGCTAAATATTATTGATAGATTGTGTGAATAGAATTATGGATATATAAAATAACCACAGCAAAGTATTAAATATTCTTTCTTTATAAGTCAATCTTATAACAGAACTGGAATGCAAGTATTTATTTAGACTTGGGAAAGTTTAAACCGGCTCAGTAGCACGTGTTTAGTTTTATCTACACTCATTTTTATTCAACAATACATTTTGACATATCATTAAAAAATTAACTAAACTATAATGCACGGTAGTGAGGAGCATTACTGATGAAGTTATCCAAGAAAAATATTCAAAGTTTTACCACATTTACTCGCACAAATAAGCCATGAAGCTTCTGTCGACATATTTATCGATTTCTTGTCATAGTTAAGGGAGTTTGGAGGAATTTCATGCATTAGATTCGACGTTTCATGTTTTGAGACTGTGTCACTATATCCCAAAAGCGATACGCCGATGATATAACGAAAATGTAGTCGCTATATATGATTCATGCTTATACTGTTCAAATTGGGGTCAGATGTTAAAAGCTGATGAATCGCTCAACAGTTTTGCGACAAGTATAAGCAACGGATCATATCTCTAACAGTCAATGTTTATCATTCATAAACAAACATGTATTATTAAAGTCACTTATCCCTACCTGTCGAGCCTGCCACGTGAAAGTATAGAATCCCGGGATAGGATGAACTGCACATACAATTATTTCCAAAGCGATAAAGAATAGTCTTTCCGTGTCCATGGCGATTCTCCAGTCTTCCGCCCCATTATCAATCATGAAAAGCTAAAAATCAATACGAAATCGTAAGGAGCCGGTTTTAGTAAATGATAAAACAGTCAGTTCAAAACCGCGATCATCTGTAGTTATTGCTTGGTCCACGTATAATACCAGTTGAAAAGGTTTATAAAAATGAAATAAAGTAATTTTTCTGACCTCGCAGACAGACTAGCGTAGCTTGAATGGTACTTATATACGATCATGTTTGGCATCGACTAAATTGCAAGGCGCTGGCTTGTCAGGTAAAATGCACTTAGGTAAATTGGTGCAAAAAGACGGCACTTCACACAAATGAAAAACAATTGTGTCGTTACCAGCAGAAGATTAGTGTACATGTGAATAATTACTATCGAATCCAGCATAGGATATTGTAATCTGTTCACTCCCATGTGATTACAATCCACCAAAGTAACAGTTAAAAGCAACAGCAACCTTATTGAGCGAGTTCCAAATTCCTGTTTTGATATTGTGAGGTTATAATTGATTTCAAAACAAACTGGGAAAACTGATATATTAGATTCAAAGATTAGAACCACATCGTACTCATTAAAACAAGACACTATATAATGCATTGGGTGTTTACTGGAACCTGCGAATCCCTCGAGTCAAGGCGATAAAGGAGGCAATGGTGCCGATTGTTTGCACACCAGACTCATTTTGCGTCTAAAATAGCTATTCTTTCTCAAGGGATTTTGCGTCACCTTACGCTTCGTCAGTCAACAGAAGAAGTAGATTTAACATAATCCTTACTACTATTACAATATGACGCTACGCAGTGCACGTTAAAGGAATAATCGACGGGGACTATTTGCCATATTTGATAAACTAAAGCAACGTGACCTTGTCAAGTTTTATATAAAATTTTCCACAGTGGTTTTAGAATTTCATAAAAAGCGGCGATAAGCCATTCTAAGGAAACAAGTATTTGTTCACGTGTATTGATTGACCTTCTGAAACACATATCACAGAAACATTATTGCCAGTTAAAAATCACAAATTTCATGGAGAGAAAAGTGTTTACAGACTTGGAAACTCAGTAATTCCTTTTGTCTGTCAAATCAGTTTCAATCAAAGAGGACCCACCGCCAGTTTTTCATCAACTGCTGTATGAACTCCCATGACCGTACACAACATTAATCATTCGTTTATTGCGATCGAGATTAAGCAATTACGGAAATCCGAATTCGTCCGTGACAAATTTGAAATAAACCAAAAGTTGAATCAGAGTACTCGATTTTCCATGCAATATCTCTAACCCTCTATTTGAAACGAAATATAAAAGCGGTGAATATTGAGAGAATATTTTGATCTGTTCACGCAACTGAAAGCGAAATTATAGTTTCAAGCGAGAGAATTTAAAAATTTATTTCAATTCGCCCGCCACCGTTGTTTTGGCTAAGCGTAGACTCGCTTCAAAATCCAACAACTGACCAAGCGAAAGGCGTAAATTATTTGCGCTTTTGATGCGTGCTATGCAAACGATTCATCCTTGATCGAGCGCAATGAGAATGAACAGTTACGTCTTGCAACAAGAGACACGTTTAGAAAATCGCATAAATTATTCACCACTCACAAGAAAGCCAAATTACAAGATGTGCGAATACGCAAGAGCCACAACTTTCGACGCAATTTCTGTTGGGAAGTGTGTTACGTTCATTCGAAAGCAGATTTGTGAGACGATCATTTTGATAAGTGCTATTTGCCAGTAGTTTGGCACTAGGTTACATCTTTTGTCACACATATGTCGAGGTTGAATATTAAAACCAAAGTCTATTGGTGAATTGCTTCAGTCAATCGATCAAGTTCGATTTATTGGATTGTTCTCAATTCTATTCTTCCGTCGAAAACCTAAATCAGTGAACTGAAACACTGCCAATTCCACTATCGACCTTAAAACAATAGTAGAAAAGTCTCCTCACATTTCTTCTGAAGAAATTCATTCGATGGTTATAGATTTAGTGCGAATTTAAAAACTTATCCTAAATGGAGATAGTCATTTGTTAATGATGGATGTATCTCGCATTTGCCGAAATAAATTTTTTCCAACTTTTTTCGTATTGTTTTTAGGAAATTATTGAGAAATGGTCGACACTATGATATAAATAAACACCGATCTTTGTACAAAAAAAATCATGCAGCATAATAGGGACAATTCTAAGTATGTGTTTAACAATACCCCAGTACATTTCAAATTCGATGCTACAGAATTTGGTTAGATATTATATCTACTCGAGTATTTTAGTTTCGTGTAGATCAATTTCATTTTGGAGAAGCATCCAACATCACATTATGTACTGCATAATTCCATGCATTCAATAGCCAAAAATAACACAAGCTGATAGACCAGTGAGACCTTGTGCAAATAGAGCCGCAGAACAACCTATTTTTTTACAACATAATATAAAGTAGATCATATTCTTATAGTACTCTAATTCCATTTCTAGAAGGCGTATCCGGAAGTATTCAACAACAATTCAAAAGTTAGCGAGAAATGTTCATAGACATTGGCCGTATCAAAGCGACAGACGGAAGATAACCGAGAAAATTAATTCTGCCGTTAAATGGACCATTGTGAAATATTCACGTGTCTGTTGTGCACCGGTACTCTGGTAACAGCAGATGTTTCGACATATCCCAGCTATTTGTCCATTTTGATGAATGTTTCGTGTCAATTTCGGACTAGTATTTTTAGATTCAATTTCGACTTTTATCCAATATATTAGGTACGCTCAATAATATGGCTTTTTACAATTATACCAGCTGGCATGCCCTGCAAAACATTATCCGCTTGGGGTTAAACGACGGTAATTACACATTTCTGTCTTTGTTCTACGTACAGAAACGTAACCAAACGCAAGATATTCACATAATTATATCGTAATCCTAGGTCGATGTTTCGCATGTCACGCTGCATCTGCAGCATATTATAGTTGCTCTTCTCTGATTTATGCGAATTGCGGATTTTCCTTTAATTACAGGTCCCTGTAGCATAACTCTCACGTAAATATGGGAATGGGAAATGATGCACAAAGATTTCGTACTTCGAAAAGTGTGTAATTGCATCACATTTCACTGTACACCAAACTCAAAATAGTCAGCGGGTGGAAGTGATACTCTTTTATGCAAATTAAAAAAATTGAGACTTCAAGAGAAATCTTTTATTCATTGTTTAAATTGTTTCTTGTACTTTATGTTTTTCTCAGAACTGGATCACACATTGCCAGATATGTCATCAGCAGATAAAAATACGCCAAATTATATTTAACACGCAGTTGACTTTGTGTTTTGCATCATCCAATGCTGAGCAACACAAAACACCATTGTTAAATTTGGACTCTAATTGTCAAACATAAAACAGAGAGATCTCATCAATAACCTTTCATTTCGATCACCCGCTGGTAATTAATCAAGAAGTCGCGATTTTATTGATTATTTGACATGCGTAACTCTCATAGTTTTACATTGACTGTTTAAATATACATGCAAGTGCTTTGCTTGATATAGTTGAACTATGCATGTCTGAAAAAGTCTGATCTTGGTCAGACGAAACGATACAGAAATATATTTGTGTTAGTGTGTTCAAGACTCTTGAATCACTTTGATAAACCTTCATGCTGCTATAAATGAGCACATATGGCACCAATGTTTTTGTTGCTACAATACATCACCGTTCTACTTTATTCTCAAAATTGGCTCACTGTCGAAATGAATCCCTGGAGTCCGAGTCACAATTCATTATTGTTAAAACAGCATAATAGGTCCCATAACAGCATAAAAGACAAAAAACATCCGGCTACATGAGTCGCTACATTCAAATACATTGAGATGCATATCGAACGTCTCTACATAGGTCAGTCAGATACCGATTCTATCCCAAACAGTAAACTCTTACTAACAATGACAAGATTGTTAAAATAGATTATAAGAAAAATCATAGAAGCCTCAAATCTATATATTGCAAAGTCCCGGAATCATGACGTTTTTATGAAAATAGGACGAATTTGAAAACCCGTACATAAATATGTCACAAACCGTTTAGAATTGTAATGTTGCATTAATGTTGCTTACAGATAGGGATGTGAACTCTGTAATTTTAGTATTCTAGTGTATTTTTATTCATGGCATGCCCGGTCACGAAATAAAATTGATAAGTCGTCTGAACACTGAACAGTCTTACAGAAGTTTAATTGTGTGTAATTCAAGTGTATCAATATCATAGATTTATTTATTGTATTTATCGGTGCTTCTTCCAAATGCTCAAAGCTTTAATGGTTTAACTCGATTCAGGTTGGTTAGTTCAGAAGGTGCAAATAACAAGACACATGAGTAGACACAAGTGAGCCGGACAAGACTGGAAAAAACTCGAAAATCATAAGTCATAACAAGGAATATGTATGTGGACCTCTCTGCTGCCGTGTGATTATGATATAAGGTAAATAAACATATTTTTGAATATTAGAAAACTTACTTGAATTTCTCTTGCATGATATGCAATAACAAGTCCAAGCAATATTACAGTTGAAGCTGATATTAAACATTTCAAACCGAACGAGAAGTGTGTTGCCTAGAAGAATGATAAAAAACGTCCGGTAAGTAGATTTTACAGCCTAATAACTCACATCATAAAACAAGAGCTTTTTCGGATTTACCATTAATTTCTAGAATCATAATTAACCTTTGTTTTGAAAACTTCCTACTTAGTTTGTAATTCTTGGGAAAATACTTCATAGCTAAGTTTAAAACACGCTATGTGTCCATCAATAATAAACTGGTATCTGGTTCTATTGTGTTGTATCTACATAGCAAACATTTTGAACAGAGCATGAGATTCCGGGCCCTTACGGTGTGAAACAAGCATTAAAACAAGGAATGTGATGATACCTTCCAAGCGCATTCTGTCAATATACGACCTTGCCATGCCAATTCGATTTGTTCCTCCGGTGTACATTTCATAACATGACCTTTCTGTAAATAGAATTTCATAATATAAATCACTGAATAGTATGTAATAATCTTCTTTCGTGAAGACGTATTTCATGTCCAAAAAGATATGAAATTGAATAAGTAATTCCATTTCACTGCCGCCTTTGATTAGTATAGATAAAACACAATGTTTTCTTCTTCCGTAGCAAATCTGGCAACAAATATATTGTGCTATTTAATTCTACATTTTTGGCTAATTTCCTCCAAATGTAGCGACAGTTTAAATTCAGATCGTAGATTAACAATAATTGAGGTTTATACCGTGGCATAATACTATAATGTATTATTGCACTTGTCTGTGAAGTTCGTAATCTACTAACAGTTTTCAATAGATCTTCTATTTCATATATATTTTGTTTATCTCCATTAAAAAAACATTGTTATTGCGAAACACTCTAAAAAAGTTTATCATATCGGATATGCTAAATCACCAATCAGTTTGCTTACCGATGAAGTCCGAATAAGTTTAAAAATACATGATATATTTATAGTTAAATGATTCATCCTTATCATTATGAATTATTTCGAACCACAATCGTTTAATTTTCGATGCAAAAATTCCAAAATATATTATGAAAGAAGGTGTTGCTAAATACAATTCATTCAATATTTCAATGTCCTATAAATGTCGATTTGCGTTCAAAAGTCCGTACATCTTGTGTAATTTTTAATCAAAATTTGAACCAAACATTCATATATCTGTCAAAATCGTGCGTCCATTAATCAAATAGTCCGTCCTTCATATTCATAGAACTTGGCTTTCAAGCCGTGAGTCCAACTTATCTGTGGCCAATTGATTATTACAATTAGTTATTCAGTTCGTTGTTATGCTATGCCAGACAATCGGACTACAGATAATTAAATGACGCATCTTAAATATTATATATTACCAAATATTCAAAGTCTGCTGAGACATCAGTTTAATTTTGTTCTAATGTACAATATATTTCAAAGTCATGACGCATCAAATGTTTACATTATTCTCAACTTATGAAACTCGCTTGTGTGGTGAAAATTTGTTCACGAGTTCACGGTAGATCAGTATATTGAAGACTTATTTCTTATCGTTCAAATGTAGTAAATTTTGTACGTGATTAACTTCATTAAGATAAAGCAACGGCAACTCATTCATCGCGCGGATGTCGAAGATTCAACATGAAATATTTAAACCTTGAATATTGAAACATGATAAACTAATTACCAAACTAAATAACGTCGTTCTGTTATGGGCCCTGTACAATATGCAAATGCGATCTGATTTGAATGGCCATTTCGATAGACGGGAGTATGAATTGTCTGACATTCATAGCGTTAGATTCACGTTATAACATAGCAAATGACCTATATCAACTCACCACTGGATCTTGTATATTTCCCGAAAGTTCCGTTTCTATTACCATAACAATGATTCCAAACATCCCAAATATAAGTGCGTAATCGCTTAGTTTTTTTCGTCTTTCAAAAAGAGTTCTTCTGTACCCAAGTCTATACCCAATATTCATATTTTTCCTGCTAAACGACTGCTTTTTGAGACCAGAAACGTCACTTTCCTGCCTTTCTATAGACGTGTTCCGCATACACATAGGGTCAGCATCAATGTTAGAGTTTTTTATAGGAGTTAATTTGATACTATCTCGAGAAATCGATGTATCTTCCGCTTTAATTTTTCCTAATTCAGGGGGATTAAGCATCGACACAAACGCAGGTGCCAAAACAGTTTGTCCCATTTGTGACATACGATCCGAAGGCTCTGTAGAGCCATGTTCTGAAGATCTGTTTAAACTTTTCATTGAATGACTCATGCTCGGTATTCTCGTCATTATGCCGTTATACTTCTGGCTTGCAATGGCGATTTCTGCGAAGGGATTTTTTCGATTGCTGTGCACAGAATCATTTGAATAGCCTGCTTCAGCTGAGCTATGAGATCGACTCAATGGTGGACGGGAACCAGATCGTTGAACGTTTCGGCATGAACCGCCTTCACCGAGCCCACTACGGTTCGAGTAGCTTCTTCCCGCGTGATATTCTGTATTAGCATAGGCTTGCTCATTAGGCTCCACTGCCGTTGTCAAAGAACGCTGAGAGTCACTTAAAGCGGATTGGTTATCGAAGCAGTTTCTTGATCTTGAGCGGCTTACTTGTTGATTGAATTTGGGGGATGGGGTCGATTCGCTATCATGTCTTATGGGACGATATTCGTAAGTATTTCTAGATTTTCCGTAATTCAGAGACGGGGCAATAGATCCACCATCAATATTTTTTCGTTTCTTCCTTCGATGATATATACTATTATCTATCGGTATGCCCCTTGTATCATTTTGATGAATTAAAGTAGATTCGGGAAATCCGCGAGATAGATGGCCATCACGATCCCCCACGGCCAAAAGCTGCCCCTCTTCTCCGTTTTCCATAGTCATTGAGCGAACGTTCAGTATTAAACCTTTATCTAAACAGGATTCACCAGATGCTTTATTATTCCCTTCGCAACTGCCCTTGTCATCAAGAAGGCGATCACCAACAATTCCACTATCTGATGTACTTCTTCGGTGATTATCGTAAAGGTAATTTTTTTGTAATTCTTGATCAAGCTTGCGTACTTCTTCCGGTGTTGTAAACACGTTACTGTCACTCGAATTAGTGCTAAATTCAGCGTACGTGGTTGGTGGGAATTGTTTGTTGAATGCTGGAAATGACAGATTGCTCCACAATGCATCAACTCTGTGTCCATCACACGTGCGATCCCATTCTACATTTAGACTTCTCAAAGGTCTGTTGTCTTCAGTATGTGCTTCGAAGCCAATTCTGTGTTTTCTAATATTCCAAAAAGGCCTCCGGGCTTCTGAGTGCGTCGTTGCGTGCTCTGTTGACGTGGGCTCTGCGTGAAACAGGCGATGAACAAACGCTTCTTCTTGAACGCTACCTATACTATGCTCGCTCGTCCACGTTTTGACCTTACTTCGATTCGCTAAAGTTCGTAGGTTCTCATTTTTTTCGTGAGCTAAGTCAACGACAGCTGTGTTAGTCAAACTTCTTTCTACGTTGCTATCTTTTATTCCTTCTTCATGTGACGCTAAATCGATGTCAGCGCTACGAGGCCGATTCCAGACCTGACGTAACACGTCGTTCGACATAGGAAAGAAGGTCTTTTCTCTCGCTAATGAACCGTACCAAGAATTACGTTGATTTACGTTTCCTTTTTCCTTGTAAGTCTCTCTTTGTTGAAAATAATTATGCCAAAAACGGTTTCGCGTTATTGGTTCTTTGTTGACGTTTATTTATAACACGATGAATTGTTTTCGCTAAACACGTTCAAAATAAGCTTGGATGGCATCTAATATTTAAAACAAAATGTGAGAAAGAGTTCACGACGGGTTATCAGTTACGATTGCGAATGAAATAAAATTCATGAAATAACGGTTGTATAAAACCTGGGTCAAACCACTCAAATTTTATTGGCATAAAGAAAACATGCCATTTTATAGAAAATGCGTCATTTCTGACTCAACTTTCGTTTTGAAAGCGCTTTGATGCAATGAAAGGGCACAAGCTGTTCCAAAAAATATGGATGTATAGAGTAAAAAAAATCCTTACGGTTCTATCATGATGCAAAATGATATAATCTATCATTTCCGCAATCAATCTGTCAGCGTGTAAATTTAATATGACCCAAAATTCGTTGAAGTGTATTACCTCGGGTATAAAGTAGGAAATTAGTGGAATCTATTTTTTTTTTGGTTCCACACTCACCATTGACATCTTGCGGATTTGTGTTTACGACCACAATTTTGGGCGATGCTCAGAGAAAACCTAAAATATCGAGGACGCGATTTTGAACTAAATTATCTTATATTCATTTTCCGCAAATGCATACATTTTACCGCTACAAAAGTTACCTCTTATTATAAACATATCTAGTCATGCCTCAAATCTACAAATCCTCATATAAACTCAATATGAATTATTTAAAATTTTGTTTCCTGAGTTTGCCTTCCCAGAAATATTGTTCCGTGCAACAATTTTGATCCGATATATATAACAATGTACTGTGTATCTGCACCTTTGTTCTAAATCTATACACACATATATATATATAATAATTTTGAAAGCTCTATCATTAATGGTAAACCAAAAGAGTTTTGAGTATTATGGTGCTCAGTGAGAATATTATCAATCAAATTATTTGATAACGCAAATCGAAAACAATTTAATTCCAGGTGAGTGTTTTATCACGTTTTGCATGCAGTGCTATCCGGGTTTTGCGCTCCCGAATGTAGCCATTTTTCTCAACGACTACAACAAATCAAAACAAACAATGTAGTACTTATCAGTGAGATATTCAACTGAAGGATTGAAAATAAATTTGACACAACGAGGAAAATGGTATCTTTATTTATTTACTTTTTTTTAGTGCCTTATGCACTTAGCTTCCTCTGTTGCTGGGTATTATTCAGAATCTGAGAAAAATAGCAATGATTTCATTGGTACTTGCCGTTCACTATCCTTTATCAAATCCAATTTGGACCCCGCGCTAAATCTAATATACAAGTAATCGTGCGCAGTTGCCTCTTTTTGCGATATACTTCAGGTAAGACTTTCATTTTATATAAAATTATTAAGAATATTGTCACAATTGTGAGTTAAACTGTTACTAATGAAGATGTCTCACGAGTCTTGCCTCGAAAAATACAAATATCAATGAATCAATCCACTCATGCCATTACCTAGGCCTACCTTCTAATAAGAATTGTGTAATTAATATGAGGCTTCTATATAAGCATGTCATACGCTAGTAAATTTGTTTCATTCAGTAAAATTCAAAGTCAATATGCAGATATAATCACATTGCATCAATCTAGCAATTATCAAGTTATCGATCTCACTCTAAAATGAAATGAATACCTACATTATATTCATCATGATTCTTTCATATTATTACCCTAATGGATTTAATGTAGAATTATATGTTATTCAGATAAATAAACATAGAATGATCAAATTAGCAAATTATAAATGAATTAGGATATTTTGTTGGCCAAATTTGGTTTCGTGAAAACCTATGTCACAGCATCAGCTTGTTCATGATCGATGCATGCACATGCTAAACTTTATTCTCATGCTACAGAACAAATTATAATGTACAGAGAACCAATGAGGTGAATGATATTACAAAATGCAGTTTTAATAGTCAGTCACCAATTCGAAGAGAATAATAACAAGTTGCAATAATATATCTCTGTGGTGAATAGCGATAAAAGGTTAAACGTACAATTCCTAAATACTGATTAACATCATTTATTTGTACTGAAAGTTGAAAGATCTGTACCTCTCTGGTTATCATTCAGCAAGCTGTGATTTGCTGTGATATATCCGGCCAAACGATATAGCCATATTACTTCATATTCTGGTGCTAAAACTTCTAAAAGTGGAATGAATCGTTTATCTGTAATGGACTCAAACTCAAATGGCCCCAGATTTGAACATGGCTTCAAATGATTTAGCTTCTGTTACATCATTATACCAGGAAGAAAAATGAAACAAGGTTGTTGATAACAATGTTAATTAAATTATGCTGTAGTTTGGTAATTAACTATTTTCATAAATGCAACCAGACGTAACCGTCCTTCAACTGTCTGCGGAGTATTCCGAAAGTTGGAAAGGAAATTGTTCTAATGAATATAGTCGAATTTGCATACATCAGGCCATTGCGCCCAGTTTACTAGAACATTATATTAAAATTCGTGAAAAAAATTTAGGCATAATGCATATTGCTGCACGTCACTTTAAACAAGAAAGATGAATCACAATCAAATTTTAGCGTATTATAAAACGGATTGAAATCGCTGTAGATTATGACAAGTACTTCACTACGCATGTCAAACTGTATAATAGTAACTACTAATTCAACATACTAATAGAAACAGCATCAGGGAATTTCTGTTGTATTATCACACTTTTGGCCTATATTTAAATACGAATAATTGTACACAGAAGCCGCTAAGTTACAAAAGCATTTTTTTCTAGTCCTGAAACAGTTCTTAAGTAAGTCTACAAGGAAGAGTGTACTTTTCATACTTTCTTACTCATTAGATTATTTGAAACAATGCTCGTATTCTGGTGTTTTAATTTTTATAAATTAAATCTAGCCTACACTATATTAGGTTGAATGTTTGCTTTTGCTTATTATATAGCAATTGAATTATTTCTCGTCCGTATGTAATTACGACATTTTAATCATTCTGAGCTCATTTGCTATTGTTATTTAATTGCAGCCAGTAATCACTCCTCTATCTGTATTAAACCTGATCATAATAACATATTAAATCTCACATGCGTTTGAACCGTTTCATTTTGCCTGTAACCTTCTTCGAAGTTAACACAGTTTTCGACACTAATAGGAAAGTCATTAATATGAAAAAACTCCTAATTAACTTTACCTCAGTCTGTCAACTATTTATTGAAATCTAAAAAACACTACATATTTTGTGGTGAATAAATATTATTTACTTATTAATTTTAGTTTTGCAGTCAAATATCAATTTCATAAAAAATTAGATTTCGTCTTTGTTCTATTAGTTCTTCTTTTCCACATTTGCTTAGATGATTAGCGAACTATTAAATGTATTTTAGCGTAAATATTGCTATTCCTATTTTTCATCAAGCCCGATTAAAATCCATCTTCATCATATTAACCTCGTTATTGTATCCAACCACAGACACACTGCCTTCATCAACGCAGAGAAAGACTTTTCCCATTGGTCAACACAATCTAACGTTTCTTGTACGTTTAAATTATAGATGAACCATTGACGGCACAAATCACGCACCAGTATCGATGTGTGCTGCTAAAAATCCCATAGCGTAATATGATGATTGGTATATCTAATTATTGATAAACGGATTTAGTACAACAATAACAAACTTGTCAATCGTGGCTCAATATAATTCCCTCCAATGCCGAGCACATGATTGAAGACACTGGGACACAGATCAAGAAATTATCTTCAAACACAGTTACATCTTACGAAAACTGTAAAATATTCACCAAAATGATTTAATTTTTAACAATATATGTCAATGTGGCGAAGTCTAATTATTATCAGAGAGGCTTCCAATATTAATTCCGGAGTATAACATAAATGTTTAAAATTTCAAATTTTTTAAAATAATAAAGGAAACGAATTTTTATTGCAATGAAACTGTTTTATAATTAACTCAACTCATTCATTAATAATTGATTAAGGGCACAGCGAACGAGATTCGAAACAAGTCAATTTTTTCAGCATTTTGCAGCAACAAAAAAAATTAATTAAACAAAATGCAATTTAATGTTATTTCGAAAACCTGCAGTCTAATATCAATTTGAATACGGAAAAAATGACGCACTGCGTGATTAACATGCGTCCTCGACGTATAGCAAATTAGGAACGGGATAATGAAAATTCCCGATGCATTCTTCACTACAAAGGTGTACCTATGTAAAGGCATCGGTCATTCTGTCGATAATCGTATTGGTATGAACGTATGGGTAAAAATATACTGATATTTATGATAAATTCAGCTCTTTCATCTTACATAGAATGTGTTGAAGCATAAGTTAGTATGAATATTGACAACTGAAATTATTTTTGCCGTGGAAAAACTGCGTACGCTACATTCTGCCCCTTTAAACTCTTTATAGTAAGTATAGTGAGTGATTGCTCTTAAATGAATGAACAAATATGTATTCCTCCATGTATAATAGCCGGTCCTCTATGAGTTTTCTTATCGAGCATCGCGATTCCCTTGCTCATAACGAGAGATGAGAACTATCTTTGCATACGTACAAAGTTAGATTACAATTCAAGTTGCAATTAATTCAATTATTTTAACGAACCGTTAGCTGTGACTCTCGTGACACACTATTTTATGCATTTGAATCACAAATATGAATTTTGAATTACGCGTTCTCGTTTTCTGGGATATTTGTTGTCACGTACACTCAAGAACATTGGATATATATTGATGTGGATTACATATTAGTAGATTATCGGTTATATCGGCAATTTAAAATGTCGGCATATCGGTATCACCATCCGATCCGCATCGGCAAAATGTGATATCAGTACCGACGGTACGTCTCTATACTTTTTGCGTCACTACGTAGAAGAAAGACGAAATGTCACTAGAATAGCATAGTATTACATTTACATGGTATTCTGTTTAAAACTAGTTGCATTAGAATGAAAGAGCAATAGACCACTTTGAAACGTAAATATTAAAATATAAAACTTTCACCTAACCCTAATTAACAACTTTTTTTTATTCTGAGCGTTGGCGGAGTTGTTTTATTGTCGGGGGCTTTGTACAAAATATCCAAATATATTTTTAAACTTCAATTCATTTCAGCTACAATGCATCAACAACATTGGAAATAGTATTTATTTTGTATTCGATGGTATTTTCATTACTTGAACATACAAATTAATCGCTTTTAATTAGAAGAAATGTGATATCACCACATTGACCGCAATAATTAGTATATAATTTGGCATCAGAAATGGAAATAACGCCACTCGGAGATGATCGCGATGTTAATAATTATTTCATTGCGTAAAAGAGATCATAATTGAGGACAAATGTTATGTTAGGTTACGGCAGATAATTTTCCGTAAGTTGGTATTAACCGGAGTTGCCAATTGTATTAAAACCATTAGTTGGAAGTTATTACTAAGGGTACTATTTAAGTGCGTCATAATTCATTGAAGCAAAAATCGCAAGGATATGAGTCGCATTGCACCTTGTTACGTCGAGTATTAGTTCTAAAAACTGAAGAGCGTGTTGCATACAAGTTGTAGTTTTTATCTTGTGTGGCATCGATAAAAACGTTAATATTATAAAAATGAAATGTTTTTGCTGCGTGCTGCTTCTTCTAGCGACGGGAAAGTGTCAGAGTGAGTATAAACATTTTGAAATTTATTTGTTCCGAATCGGTGATAAATAATACTAGAATCGGTCAAGATAGCATAGAGCGGAATTTACATTCAAAGTATATATTATATAAAGTACACCTAGGTTGTTGTTGTTTTTAATTTGATAATTGCTTTATGGGTTCTCTCAAACTATTCCGAGCGCCGAGTCAAACAATATGTATTGGCGTCTTCGGCATCAATGCTTTAATAATAAATGAAACAAATTCAGTATAAACGTGGGCTTTCTTTGCCTCCAGTTATATGATTGTAAGTTTTCTCAATGAAAATCTGAATATTACGCATCATGTAAGGAATGATATGATAGAATATAAAAGTATTTTTATTTTATGTCAACCAGAACCAACTTACTACATCGAATCAGATGACAAACCACCTAGAAGATTTGAAGCGATTAGACGAACAGTAATCAGATTAACAAACAAAGGAGACCAATTTTTTGTTCATCCCGGCCTGACGAAAGAGGATGATACGTTTTCGTTTGAATCTGTAAAAACGCCAGGAGAATATCTTGGTGTGACAAAAAGACAAAGATTGGCCATGTTCGAATTTGATAACAATCCAACATCTAAACAAAAGAAGTCTGCTACATTCAAGGCAAACCCCGAAAACAAAAATCCGCACAAGGTACGGTTTTATAACAGTAAATAAAGGTTTAATATTTGCGGCATAACTATATGGACGCCGTCATAGTGCCGTCAGGTAAGGCTGAATAAAGAATACTTCATATGCAGACGTGTTTAATTTTAAAAAAGACAAAAAGAAAGTTGAGCATGCTATATATTTAAAGTACTGCATAAACATGAAACAATGAATAAACAATAAACAAAACATGAAATAAAGAAACACAAAAGGCGTGTTGGATCGGAGTATAACTCAACTTGGACGTGAAACTTTCAAACGAAATATGGCGATAATTTATCTCATATATATAAACATTTTCAATTAGACTATTCCAACAAACAAAGCCCTCCACGAATACCTTTTATTCTACCTACGTACTTGTTTGGGTTTGTTCACAAAAACACTTATTACATGTCATGATATCATTAAAATTGTACAAATTGCTTTACACTTAAGTAGTAATTTAATATCACTAACAAGTGATAAAAAGCGTGATAGGAATAAATGTGGTATAACATTTGGTAAATGTTCTAATTAGTTCTCACTAACTTATTATCTACATTAATTGATTGATCTATGACGGCATGTTGCAAAAATTTGCATCAGTTACGCCGAGTGTAGTATTCCCTTTAAGATAATGACAATGTAACACGTTATCGCCGTCTTGTGGTTGGCTGCAAAACCTACTATTCACACTTTGACTCCAATAAATGTTCTTCTCTCTAATAAATAATGAACATTCAAAAATTTTAAATAAAATAATTAAATTGATATAAAAATTTTAAGTCCAAATACGAAAGCTGCTCACAATGTTCTCTGATCATGTGGTTTCTGTAATCTAGTTATGTAATACACAGCAATCCGACTCCGGTCAACTAACATATTTGATTAAGCTTATATATCCGTATTTTACTCTTTATTTTTAAACTGAGAATTCATGACAAAACGCCTATCCAGAATTGCCTTCTGTAAGGTACATTATTATTACAAATTTATTCAAAGTTCCTTGGTGTATATTTTCTTGAAATCGAGACACGTCCCGCGCCCATAGATTTCAAAAACCAATATTTGATATATTAATATTAGTAAGTATTAGATAAATAATGTTATGATATAAATAAACAAGTAAATATTCACCAAACAAAGTAAAAAAAGCATTCAATTAGTCTGATGTCTACGGCATTCTGTAAAGTATAGGTTTGGACTGTTGTCCAGTATCAAACCATGAAATGCAATTGAACTCAATTAATCAATTTTTAAGGAATACGTCAATTTTGAATCAATTATGAGTCGTGGGACATACGTCGGTAATTTCGGAGATCGACTACTCTTAGTTCACGAATGGTGGCTGGACAACGAAAAAGTAACGACCAGCTTTATTCTAAAACGTGGTAAGATTTTTTTTTTTTTTATTCTAATATATAACCTAGTGGTCATTTCACTTATTAACCTCTAAAAACAAAATTGAATTATGAGAATCCCTAGAACTGATTTATTATGCTACTTAGTAAACGAAAATTTATTGCTGTGAACACTTAACTTATCAGCTGATGGAGAGGATGAAGAACCGCCAACAAAAATACCAATCGATTGGTCCCAATGTTCTCGATCCTGCGGTGGAGGAACTAGATCAGCAACAGATCCTAATTGCGACAAAACTGACCTAAAGAACTGCCATAAAATTTTTGAAGAGTGCAATACTGATCCTTGTTCTGAAAGTGAGTTTCACTGTGTACAATGCAACTATCAGGATAAATTGGTGTTGCATTATTTATTAACACGTTTATGGGATGTAAAACCATAAGCTTAAGCTTATATGTTTAGTCTAGCGTGCTATTTACGTTAATTCTTCGAAGTAAGCTAATTTTGTCATTTTCATATCGTATTTGATAAACTGTTTTCATATATCAAGTATCCACTTGTCCAACGCAATACAACTTCCGGTACATGGATAAAACGTCTTGCTGTAAAAAGTCAGGTGCAGAATCTTGTGGAGCAAATGGGCAAGATATAACCCCGAGAATTATAGGAGGTTATAAAGCAGAAAGTAATCGATGGCCGTGGATGGTGAGATCGTTAATCATAGTATTAATAAACTGCAAAAAAGTGCTAATAATAATTTCGAAATCCGATCCCCGCATACTGCTAATAAAATCACAAAAATGCAGCTTTTTGAGATTATAGTCTCTACATTATTTATAATATTATTGCTACAAATAACACAGTCAGTCAAATGCAGCATTATGTGTTAAAGCATATATTTTATCAAAGCATTAAATTTAGAGTTTTCATTTCTCAGACTCTAGTTGATGTAGAAGAAAGAAACGGAGTGTATTCGTGTGGAGGAACATTGATCAGCAGAGAATGGGTTGTGACTGCAGGCCATTGCTTGAGGTAATTTTCCATAATTTAATTGCCACAAAAGTTACAAATCTTTTCGAATGCTTCCAAAAATATATTATAACCGAAATTTTCTTTGTCCCTCTGTTACAAAATAAAAATACAGAACGTAGTTAGTTAGAAGTTAGGAATGGGAAATTATTTTAGCCTCAATTGTATTTCGTTACTGATTCACAAATACAAAACATCACGGGATTGCTGATACGTGGCAAAATTTTTTTGCTAACTGCCTTTCCAACAGAGAACTGTTATATCAGTACCGAAAACATGCTGCGGTATACTGCATAATCCGAGACAAAAAAAATGGGAAGAAAACTGGGTTTCGAAAGACATCTAGAATTTATATCGACTTTGGTTACTTCTAGAATTTGCAACTACCTTTCATGCATAGTTTTTAACGTTTCAGAAATTCTGATGGGAGTAACATGCTACTAACTTTTGGAACGAACAACATCAAAAACCAGTCGCCCGATACACAGAAATCCGGAGTTCAAAAAGTCATTTTGCATCCGGCTTACGAGTTTCCCAAAAACGATCTGGTTCTGCTTCAGGTAACCATTTGGGACTAAGGAACCGTAAATAATATAATGATAAATAAAGAATGAAAAAAAAAACTGCAATCATTGACTAAATACTATATGGTGTCCCTGGGGGTCGATTGGAAAAATGGTTGGCAAAATGCACTAAAAACGAATATTATTCTGTTGAAGATCTGTTGATCAATTCCAAAAATAAGCCAATATATAGAATACTACAATATGACATTCAAAAATAAATTACGGGATTAAACGTATATCACACAAACTCATTTTGTTATGGCATAAATATACATTAGACACTTAACCATCTGAATTTACAGACTTAAGAATTTAGAGACATAATAAGAGCTTCATTAACTGCTTATCGTATAAATCAATGACCCGGTACCTACCTGTAAAAGGATGATCATCAATCCACTAACTGCAGAAACAGTTTTACGGCTAAGAATTTTACTCAAACTACACTGAACTCATTTTATGAATTTAGTCAAACTTCAATTTACCTAATAAATATAATAATTATATCTTTTCAAACACTAAATAGTTGAAGAAACCTATAACAATTACTCTTGCTGTTGCACCTTTGTGTCTGCCAAGAGGAGAAAAACTGGAAGTCGATGCCAAATGCTACGCAGTTGGTTGGGGAGTAGGTAAAGTAATTAATAGCAGTTACCTTTTTCGCTTAATTAATGACTTGTTATATTTTCCTGTAAGTAATTGATTCTTGGTCTATGATCAGTTTAATATTTATATGCATATCAAATACCGAGTATAATATGATTTTGACACTCTAAATTGAAATAATGCAAATTTTTTAAAGTTACATTAAAATTGATTGATTGATTTTTTTAAAAATTCAGCGAGTGTAGAAAATATTAGAATGCGGATGGGCTCAGATGAATTGATGGAAGTCGGTTTGAAGAATTTACCAATGGGATTTTGTCATGAGAAATATAAGGGAACTGGTTACGAGCAATATTTAACAAAAGAAACTCTTTGCGGTGGATTGATAAAAGGGAAAGCTGATACCTGTTTGGTAATTAGTCTGTTATATGACAGTTTTTCGTTCTTTAAATAGGTTGCATGCTACCCTGTAAAACTAAATTATTACTGGTGGGAAATGTTAGTCGATTACGTATCAATGCAGCAAAACCAGCTTTTCATGTTCTACAATTTAATGCAAATGCTAAAATCCCATGTACTTCAAAGTCTGGGATGGCTCAATTTATTGAACTAACGGTTATTGATTTGGACTTCGAATCTATTCCCATTGAATAATCCCACAAAATTAAACATTATAAACTAGCTAATATTTTTATTTAATGCAATTTAATGTCTTGGTTATGTACATTCAATGCACAATACCTATTCTCAGGGTGATAGTGGGGGACCTCTGATGTGTCAGAGATGTTCGTCATGTTCTTGGTATTTGGCGGGTGTTACTTCCTTTGGACCAGAAGATTGCGGTCAAAACATTGCACCAGGAGTGTTCACAAATGTAGTCGAGTACGAAAACTGGATTGAAAGTCATATTAAAAGCGGAAATGACACGACGACGTTTGCCAAGTGCAAATTGTAGAGATTATTTTAATAAAATGGGAAAATAGATTTCAATGTTCTACATCAATCTTATTTTTTGCATTGTTGTGATCACATTTCCCAATGATATGAACGTTCTTGCATTAAAAGGAATGAATAATCTTTGACGCCGCCTTTCACGAACCACATTGGCATCTGCGGGATATACTTTGTCAAGATACCACACGCTGTCGAAGTCATTCAAGGCATATAAGCGCGCATTTTCGTCTGTCTGTCTCGTTTGGTTCATTTGGTGAAAGGCTTATTGATAACAAGCCAGGAAACATCTGTTTTTCAGTAAATGGTTCAAGAATAGAGCAAAATGGTGTTCGAAAAGGCGTATGAATTTATGTCTTTCTCCCTCAGGTTCCCCCTGGCTACGCCATTATCAACTGAAACTGCTCCCTTTCCGTTTTTATGCTGGACATCCTCAGATTAGCGATTTACTTGCAACAACCTTATGAGCCCTCAATTATACCAGTCAAGGTCTCCGCCAGACATTGGTTGATAAACTCAATCAGTCTGTAGAAATTCTATACAGTAGCCTATATCCAGGCTTGTCCATGGGAAAAGTCCAATGGGATGATATGGGATGGGACAGCACACATAGATATTTCCCTTGAAACACGTGGGACACGAAAATCGTATGATTTTCGGGGAAATGCTGGTAAAACATTTCGTTATGGATTCCGTGTCCATATATTTGAACCTAGCTCTCTTGTTAGTTATGAAGAGCAAAATATATTTAGCATTAAAAATATACTTCGTGAAGGGGCTGATGGACACATATATAATAGTTATGAATATAAAGTTAACAAAGTCCGTAATTTTGTTTTTTTGCATGTCTATTTATACATGTAGTCCTATTTAGTAGACGCTGAGGCTAATTTTAACAACTTTTATTGAATTTTTTACCAATGGGAATACCATGGTATGGGATGGGACAGGCGTAATTGCTATGCTAAACGTTTTCCTAAGAATAAACTTCCCCAGTTGGTTTTCGAAACAAAGGCTGCCGAACAGCAAAAAGTTAACGGAAACGTAACAATTGAAATTTAATCACCCATTCAAAGGCCATTTTCAAGCATGGTGAACATTGATTCGTTTTAGTAAGGTCAGTCGTCATTGGTCAAATTCTACTCTGTTTTTGGAATTTAGGCTTGAATCAAGCGGCCATTTCGTCTTATCATATAGATATATATATTCTACGGAGCAAGCAAAGCTTAGTAGATATATATAATAATGAAATATGGCGCGAAAATCTTCTCGCTATATGGTTGATAACAACCTGCGACATGCTCAACGCGCTCTTGATCTGGGGTCTCCAACACGCTGCAAAACAATTCTTTAAGGCCCGCGTCATGGTTAAGATTTTTCCACAAAAAACTAAAATAGTAAAATGTCAACTATGAGTAAGTTTTAACGTGTTATTTAACATCAAGAGTCTGACCCGACAAACTGTGAAAAGGAAAACAAAAATTTCCCTCTGTTATTCCACTTTACCATGTTCATATTTTGGCGCTCCGAGAGTGTGTTTACCAATATTGAGGTAACTAATTTTGTTTGCTTATTTTACATCAAGTTGTGTAAAGGGACTGAAGACCATTCACTTGTCTGACACAGACAGTTTCCTAACTTGTAATAGATCTAAAATAAGGAAAATCGGAATAAAATTATAGCCTAACTCTGGCCTGGTACACACACTACGGGAGTACCAATATTTTACTCTATTTTAAGAATTAAATTGTAAATTTAATAATTTAATTTCGAATTTTTTAGTTGATCGTTGTGTCCGAAGACAGGTTTGCAAGTTAATTGCACACTCACGCTGCATACTTGCGATGTTTGGCAGTATATACTTATATTTTCGAGCAGTTTTTTTAACAATGAAAGTTACCACCAAATCAGTTCTCCGCACACGACAAACGGACGAACATTTGCATGCTGTCTCAAGACTAGCAAAATAAGTTTATCACAAAACGCAAAATAAGATTATCACTGCTACAAAACAGTGCCAAATACCCAGCACAAGTAAATGAATAGGATTCATGTCTCGTACGGTGATGTGAGATTCAAGTGCAATTTTAACAAATACATCCAGATTTCTTTTGTTATTTTTGTGTATCAATTTTGTACCTAATTTGTTGATTTGGGGCCCGCGTCGTTAAGAGAGTTCAAAAAGTAGCCCATGACATATATATTAGTTGGAGACCCCTGCTCTTGATAGTATTGATTGGTTGCTGTTATGAAAAAGTACTACGCTATCCAACCTCCGACTCAAGCACGTCTGAAAAGCCAGTGGAGAGTAAAATCCCATTCAAACAGAGTGTTGTAATTGTGCTACCTGATTTACACTTCACTGGTTATGTTGAAATACCAACAGTTTCCCATAATAATAGCTCTATACTAGGGATATATCTTTGACCAGAATTGAGTTTACACTAATTATTAGATTCGTGGACTATGAGTATTTGACCGTTTCGGTTGAAATTATATAATTTCCAACTTAGGCGTCCAATCATCCCTATCCACTGTCCGATAAAACACGTATACATAGACGATCGCCTGAATCTTTTGGTTTGCTCAGAATAGATATAATTTAACACTGAAATATGACCATTCTAATGAGAACTATTAATACTTATACACCAGAATTACCAACATTTTCCACATGCTGCTAAGTGAAACACTCATTGGTCGGAGCATTTGAGTCGGCCAGTTTCTTTCTCATAATTATCAGTAACTTGTAAACTGTTACGTAGAAATAAGGTTTGTCAAGCATGTGCCCTGGCATATCGTCCTTTGCGCACGCCCATTTTTTGCTTCCCTGGAACACAAAATAAGCGCGGTTTGGATATATATTATGTCTAAAATAAATTTTAGTTATTTTGTCAGGCTTACTCTACAGCAGGCGAGATTGACGTGTTGGCTACACTTGTTCTATACGATTAGAATATTTTCATAGCAACAGTCTATCATCTGCACTGAGTGCAATATTCTAAAATAGTAGATAAAATGCAGTTTTAATTTAGCGATTGATATGTTAATTTGGAAGATGCTCAGGTATACTGAATTACGCTGCTTTGAAAAATATATTCAGTCAGTTTATTTAGTTTGTAAATTTTTTAACTTGAAGTGTTTCAACTCTATTCATTTCTGTTAAAAAATTATTTGACCTTTTCATACTTACAGAGAAATTTGAAAGCCAACATTAGAAAGAATTTAATAAATATGTAACATCATCATACATGATTTAAACCCCTCATGTGACTGAAATGCCTTTGTGCGATCATCTCGCCTCAACCATGCACGCTTATTAGAAACAGAGTATCTTCAAGAAATAGATGATCGGCTCCTAAAAAACATAAATATAATCCGGGACCGATCAAAAACTACAAAAATCCTTTTAAACTAACATACTTACTGTTCATTTATCTTCTTCATATTTGTACACGCCCCTTGAATTATAGCTTTTCTTGAGACATTATCCGTGATCCGTCTGGGAGTTGAATTCAACTTATTCCATCTCATCCGGCATTTATAAAATCTCGAATTTAAAGAACTTACTTTTATGTTTGTGACTGTGGAAAATAATTTAAAAAAAAATTGCATTATAATTCTGACATTATATGCTGTACATTAAATATTCCTAATATTGCTGGAATTGTTGACGGTGGTTGCAAACGGACACAATATTACTTTTGTACACCGCCTTACAGTTTACCCATGAGATTTTCACTAAAGACAAGGCTAAACGAAAACACCATTGCTGTTAAGAGACAATGTAAACAAAGTGAGGTACTAATTGAAATAATTATTTGTTAAATTAGTAATCGAGAACAGTCTTATCGTGGCCGAGATTGGGAGATAAGACACGCACAACACTTGTATCTGTTGATATCTCTGCTGAAGGAATAAATTCATATATAGATCTTAGAGTGTCATCTTTTGGATTTAGTTCTACATTTAACACTGTATCCGCTTTTAATTAAATACTTGCGACCTTAAAAGGAGTCAACTTGTATAAAAGTAGGTAAGTCGAATGTATCATTTTATTTGTATTAAGTACATGATTGGAAAGTGCCATGGGTAGTGACTTCATAACGTGTCACGTAGACAGTGTTTGGATTGGCTGTTTTCAAGTTTCCCGTTTGTGTGTATTATCGGAAGTTCATGGGAACGATGTTCTAGGGTCAGTGGCTTCAGTATATGCTGTGATTAAGATTAAGACCAGTGACTAGTTTTACTATTATAAATCGCAATTCAGCAAACTACATCCGGAAATGTTTATGCTGAATGGCAAACAACGAAAACCCTCACACAATAGCCCACTCTCTTCATTTCGCATCTCCTTTAAAAATCGTGTACCAACAAACATTGAACATTGACAATATTATCTACGAGTAGGGGAGCTTTTCAAGTGGTACGCGAGCTGATTCGAATTATTACAACAATTAATCTTTCAGTTGGTTAAAATATGCCGGCAACACTTTATCTTTCTTACTGTACGTATTCGCTGAGCGTTTATGGATGTTTTCCCAAGCTTCAGTTTCCTTGTTTATTTCCGTAACTATAACCAATCAGCAATAAGTCAATAATGACGCAACAGGTAACAATTGCAATTTCTGCAACCAGTCGCTCAGACAATTCTGTCGCCCAAACAGATATTCAAGCATGGTTGCAAACATTGCCTCGTTTTTGTAGTTTTTTAGTGATATTTGTCAGTTTTCAGTTGTGTTCAAAGAAAATAATTGTGAATTAATTAACTTAATTGTCATTATGTCTTCCGCGGAGCTTTAGTTTAGTTGCAGTAATTGAAATGAATCTCGCAAATGCTGCGATGGACAAGGCTAAACTTAGCTATATATATATCAGTACCTGCAAACGGCACTTGGTTGAATAATTTCAATACAAATGATGGTTTCAAACACGTAAACCAGTTTATATGCGCCAACACATCAAAACACTCAGAATAAGTATAAAGTTTGCTATAGTAAAGTATAGGGATAACTTATTCCGGGATCAATGTTCGGGGAAACGTCCATAGCGCTGACACGCTACCAGTCCTTTCTTTAGAGATCGCTCTCGCCCGCTATTGCCCACCCCAATTGAAGCAATATGGGCATGTTTTTGTCCGTTTTGCGTGTTAAGCCACGAGGGATGTAGTGCCACATTATAAAATACTCCCATAGCATGTTTCTTGTGTCTTTTTCCTCACGCCAAAAAAGTGGCTTTGTCGGTGGTACGCGGTCATAGTAAAAAAACGTAAAGGGGTACGCGGTCAGTGAAAGGTTGAGAACCACTGGGTAGCAGAATACCAGTTAACATGAGTTAGTACTGTCCATAGGCATTTCAGAAACATTAGCAGAACATTGCAGAATGTTACACCCTGAAAAGGGGCAAGATGCCGTTAGGCGCAGGTAATGACTTTCTAGCCATAAGATGCTTCATATGTTTATATTTGAAACTGCTATGGGACGAGTCTGCGATGTCATCGACAATATTCATATTTTCGAGCCAGCGATTCTTATGGAGCTAGCAGCTAAATTGGTACTTGCCATATTGGGAAAACAAGCTACACTATACCAGCTTGTCGAGTGTTGTGTTCATGGACTAAGCAACAATTTGCGAAGTAGCTGTCAAGAACTTCAACCAACACACCAAATTTGAACTGCAAAATGGTATAACTTCCAGACGTGAGCCGCTCAGCAACCTCAATCTTTAGCTTTGGACCATGCTTGTGGTGTGATATTCTAACTTAATCCTGAAAAAATAGGAAAGTAATAATATCAATGATAGAGCAGGACTACTGGTATATTTGGTAGGATGTGTCAGCAATGATTTCGCAGAAAGACCAGAGTATTTACTTACTTGTGAACACTTGACTATGGGAACTTTGTTGCACTGAATAATACTAATTTCTCGCATGTATTCAAGTATAAGACGCATTCGTGGGCTCCATTACCTTTTGATTGAAAATTGGTATAACTTTTTTTTTCGTGTTTTCTCAGCTTAGACCGATGATGGAAAGAAATCCGAGAAATAAAAATTGCGCAATTGTGTCTATTGGACAACAGCGCGCTATGCGGTTTATCCACGTCTCACGCGTACCCTTACTTTTTGATTGCAAATCAGTACAGAATTTTGTGCATTATATATACTCGAATAAATACGGTAATTAAATAGTAAGATGTAAGTATAATAGTAGCCGTCCTGAAGGAAATTTTAACCAAGATCTCTTCAAATCCAACAACATTAACATACATTCAGTGATATAAAGTTTGGAGAAAAATATATCTCAAAATATTGCCCGTGCAAAGACGAAGACAGATTAATAAAATTTAGCTTGCTTCATGACCAGATAACTCTTCCAACTTCAACTAGTAATAAAATACATTTATTGGCATTCGTAACCATCAAGAAAAGTTTGGTTATCTAATGAGAACATGCGTCTATTACCAACAACTTCTAATAATAATTGCTCTTTACGATTATAATATTTTTATAGCAACAGTCTGACATTGAGCTCGATACTTTGAAATAGCAGATAAACAAATGCAGGTTCAATTTAGCGATAAATATGTTCGTTTGAATGATGCTTTTTTACGTAATTCGACATTCTAATTACAGCATAATTCTAACCCTCAGACTGCGCCAGGTTAGAAGACATAGGGCGGTTCTTTTTTTACCTTTCCAACTTTGTGCCCAATTTCTACAATTTAACCCAAATCTCATTGATACTATAAACTACATAAAGAAAGGTACATACCCTTGTATTTAATTTACATTTTTTGGTTTGTATAAGCGATTTCCAACTCCTATAGCGCATGCAATACTATGTGTAGAACCCTCAGGGTCCGCTAAAAAGCAGCTGTCCTTTGGTTTTTGAACGTAAAGTGTATCGTTTTGCTAAGTAGTTACTGTTGCTTTTGTGCACAAAGTGGACCCAAGCATCGTTATGTTAAATGTTTTTATTGTAATTTTTTGTCGCTTTTATCGATTTCAAACTTTTAGCTCTCAAAGACGGTTAAAGACACTATCACTTTCATTGAATACGAATTCTCCATTTGCATCGTTTTGTTGAATCGTTAGTGATTTTAATCTTGTTGTTGGAACGATTTTTTGTTAGTAAAAATCGCGTGTTTCGAATATTTTACTCTGGAATCGAATTTCGAATCAGATTGTTCCGATTCTATCAAATCTAATTATATTTTGTATATATATATAACATCATATTATCGTTAGGTTTCTTCAAATTTGGAATAACCACAGAATAAATTGTGATTAAACAATATCAATGAGCTAAGGCAGAGTTTCCCAAACTGAGGTCCGCGGACTCCTGGGGGTCCGTGACGACTACACAAGGGGTATGCAGCGAAATCAAGAGTCTAAAATATATAAATTTAACGTATATCCACTGTTACATATAGTCATTCATAAACGAGATTAAGTTGTAAGTTTACGCAATCGCAAATGGTAATTGTTACGAGACCTTAACAATGGGAGTGAAAAAGCTGTAGAGAATGTACACGATCGTTGCTTTTAGCGACTGTGAGGTAGAGATCTCTGTCACAGGGTGACAGCACATTTGAACCCACGTACATTTGAACCCATACTTTTGCACCCGTATATCCACGGGTTCAATCTATATGCTGGTGCTAAAATCCATGTGTTGGGGTTAGTATGGGTTCAAATTAGGTGCAAATTTCCATAGGTGCAATAGGTTCCATTACATTTGAACCCACGTACATTTGAACCCATGACAATTGCACCTGTATGCTATTGCACCCACGGATTTTGTTTTGTTTCACGGATAGTTAAACCCATACTAACCCTAACCCATGGGTTTTAGCACCCGCATATAGATTGAACCCGTAGATATACGCATGGGTTCAAATGTACATGGGTTCAAATGTACGGTCACCGTGCAATAGTATGCAGGTGCAATTGTCGTGGGTTCAAATGTACGTGGGTTCAAATGTAATGGAACCCTGTCACAGAGCTACATTGCCGATAATAGTAGGCTGTATGCGTTATTGAGTTATCACCAATCGAGAACTTGTGCGACTTTGTCAAGGTCATTTGAGCCCCGTTGCTCCAGAAAGAGGCGTGAAGTTCATTGTGAGAGACTATCCGAGTATACACAATTAAATTAGTTCGTTGTCGTAGAGTTAGGCCTACGAGTTTGCTTGTCACAAATTGATCCGTCACATAAATGTCGTTTGTGGTGTTATGTTCTAAATCCAAATTATCCTTCCTCCTTGGTTACGCACATAAATTGGTATAGGATGGGGGTCCAACGTCAAATATTTCATACAGGGTCTAAGGTTGTCGGCATCCGTGAGCACAAAATTATTTTTGCATTGTTCGCGGGTTTAGAATAAATAAATATAATAGCCTTTTGGCAATAACAACATTCTTTAGTCACTGAAAATTTCAAATCAACTGGTCAGTTAGTTCCTCATTTAGCTTTCTTTCATGCCTATTAGAATAATGTTAACGGATTTTCCTCCGCCGATGAGATGGAAAGCTATTTAACAATTTAGGATAACCATATTCACCTTCGCTGGTTGTCTCAGCTAGCCATAAATATAGTCAATTCAATATATTGGTGATGTGCCAATATGTCGTAATTGGTTACTAGTTATTTTTATGTCAAAACAACATCAAATGCGAATTTTTGACTAACCATGCAACTAATGTGACGCGGGCCACTGATAAGAATGCTTCTGGCCACATGTAGCCCGCGAGCCTTGGTTTCGACCACTCTGATCTAATATATCAGAACCGGGAAATTGTTGTTAATACAGAGCTACACTCAGTTACATGTTTGTTTTCGAAACTTAAATTTTCGTCTGCGAATAATAATGAACGTTTAGTAATTGTTTTCTTCCAAAATTTCAAAATTGACCTTCAAATTTATCCGAATGATGAACAGTAGTTAAATCTGTTTCAGTTCCGTTTGCGCCATAATTTTAAAGGAAGAAATGATTACAAGCGGAAACATCGCATACCTGAGGTATTGAAAATAAATAAACAATTGTGTTATTATTATCACAATGCTATTAAATAGGTACTCCTAAGAAGTGTTTATATAACGATATATTTATGAAAACTACCAAACATTTCAAGTTGTCGAACAAAATTAAGCGAAACCATTGGTGCCTCTAAAACTGTGACCCACATGAAATACCTCAACCCTAGATGTGTAGCGACTTCAGAAAAGCTGTAAGCGGAAGGCAAATAAACCGATAGACGCTTTTGATCAATTCTGACACAACTCCGCTGCGTCGTGCAATCGCCTCGAGTTATCTGGAATATTTTTTTAATAGGGTCAATCTATGTAATGGTGTCCACATATTAGCCAGGACTACTTTCTTCAGATGTGTCAGCTCTATTGTGACTGCAACTTCGCACGTCGTATTGGTGGATATAGCGAAATTTACTAAAATGAATATATGGTAATAATAATAATAACTAAATAATAACTAAAATGAAAAAAAAAACAGGAAAGGAGAAATTTTATGATGACACAACAATAGGATCTATTCTTGCCGCATGAACATTTCGACGGTATCCTGACGTTTAGCTCATAATGTGATGAACAAAGGATCGCGGTAAAATATGAGCATTTTATTTCCTCTATAGATATTCACGCTGCATAATATTTTGATAAAATCTATTATATCACTAAATGTAAATATAACCAATACCAGAAAATGATACTTGCGTTTGGTATAAATGCAATTCGATGCTTAAGACTGGGCGAAGATATCGGAAATGTGCAAGCGATAAGTATGGAACTGGAGGTTCATTTTCACCCAAAAAGTTATGCAGATGATGCCATTCACAGCCTCAGAATGATTAAATTGAGATTTGCATTTCTGACTATTTGCTGCACTTGAATTTTTCAGCGGGTTCTGCCAGCGGCACAAAGCTACGAATCCACTTTTCATACTGCAACACATCAGTATACACTCCCGGTTTGTTTGGAGATCCACAGTGCCTGGCGCCAAATGACGTAATTCCTGATAAATACCACGAACACCCACCGCATCTCTGACACATAAGTGGACCGCCACTGTCGCCCTGAAAAAAAACATGAAACAATTATAATAGTACATCGTTGCGTGACCAGCGTTAATCCTATAGCATTTAATGTTATTCCAATGCCCGCAAATAGCTATAAATTTCCTATAAAGTGGTTACCAAGATTGTATGATTCATCCTGATTTGGACAAAACCTAGATTCAAAAATGCGATATGCATGCATGAGTGAATTCCTAATGATAATTTTGAAAAATATGTAGAGTCAGACTATTGAAAACTTTATGAAATATTAAACTTATTTTGGGGTCAAAATCATCTTAAATTCTATTTTATCTAGTCTGCTGTAGATGAGGTTCATAATACGTAACGAACTCACCATGCAGGTATCAACCATACCGGTGATGCTTCCAGCACACAGCATTTTGGAATTAATATATTGACCAGTCGTTGACCCAGCATATCCAGACATACAAACTTTCAAATTCAACTTTTTCAAACCAACTTCCATTAAATCGTCAGAGGGTATTCCTGAGATAATATCTTGCACTCGCGCTGCAAGACAAAAGAGCTAGAAAAAAAATGTACTACAGGTAGGCAATTAGGAGTATTCGTTTCACATTTTAACAAATTTCCAACCATTTTCAACATATTTATGAAGACTCTGCACTCCGCAATAAGTGTGACAACAATCAAACTTCGCGACGGCCTTCAAATTTATCAAATCATATATCCACCGTAAAATGGGTACACGTCATCATAAATATGTGGCCTGAACAAATTCCATCTTTAAAAATGACTTAGATAAAGAAGTTATATCTCACCAACGCCCCAGCCGGCTGCTCGACATAGCTTGTCGTCATCCGTAACTTCGCCATTTGGCAGGCAAATAGGATTGATGAATTCTCCTATTGGAACTGGTGAATCAAACTAAGAAAGAGGTAAAAGGTGATACCATCGAAATGGTCGGTTTTGAAACAGGAAAGACCTGATACTTGGCCAAATTGCCAAATATAATTTTACTCACACCAATCACAAATTGATATTACATATCGGTTAATTATTAATCGCTTGTGTTATTTATCAGTACAACAATAAAATGACTGAAGAGAAAAAACACTCCCAAATGATATTTCAAATTGTAATTTGGTTTTGCTGTTTTCGCTGAAACTGTCAAAAATTTCATTAATAATATCCAGTAGGCCTAATATATGTTACATTAGTAGCAGCAGTTTTCAAATGATTTTGTACAGCTATTCAGAAAGCATAATATTATCTCATGTTGTTAGTTGTTACTGCGCAAATATAGGAGAATATGGGCAGTAGTGGGATTCAGTCGGTTCGCACCGGTTCTATAGAACCGTCTCACGGAATTCTATGAGATCAGCGAACCGGTTAGCATTACTGAAAAAACATGACTTTTTGTGACAGAACCGGCTGAAAAATATGAAATTTATAGGATGGAACCGGCTGACAAAAAATTTGAATCCCACCACTGGATATGGGTCCTTATTATCTGCGTGTCCTTTCCCCAGTACTATTGAAAACAGTTAGGTTTGTAAACCCAAACTGACTCCTTCAGAGGTCAAATAAACACACAGTGGATTGCAATACCAAGTGTTCGTTTAATATTAAGTTTCGTGATCTAATTGGAATGTTCCAAATACAGATATGTTGAAAGATGCACATAAACCCTAATAAAAGTTATGCAGTTGAAATCCAAATCAGCAATGCAACAAAGAAAAACATCAAAAACACTATTTTTCCAACTCTCATTAGGGGCCGGAAATACGTCATAAATCTGCTTTGCACATAGAGGCACTCAATAAAAAGGCTTGTCGCAATAGTTCACCATCGAGAAAATGGGCCAGAATAACCTAGTTTCATAGAATTCAACATGCTGATAACACAAAGGGTTTAAATGAAATTAAAATCCATATTCAACAGTCCACATTTGCTACACAAATATACCTGAATGAGGGCGATGTCTGCAGTTGGAAATGAATAGTCTTTGTGAACGATGATTCTTTTAATTTTTCTTGCTTGCATGCTCAAATGATGCTTAGACGGATTTGTTGTCCCCATAATGGCTGTAATTGCGCTAGCGGCAATTTCTCTTAAATTTTGAACAGAAAAATATTTTTGGACAACAATTTTGAATCTCAAACAACCTCGTACTAGTTTCAGCAAAATTAGTTCGCATTATCTAGCTTTGGAGAGGTTTGTGTTGCACTCTGCCGTTGATATATTCGAGCGGTATTTGTTAGGACTATTTTCATATGATTATTACCTTTTGATTTCTTGTTTCATAAGCACACAAGAAATCGGAAACAAGAGTTGAAAAGAAGAAAATTATAAAGTTTTGTAATGGACTTGGTTTATAATTTTTTGAGTTAAATAAAACTAAAATAATCACTGGGTATACAGTATACCTCGATATTCTAAACAAAAAAATGTATTTTACCGGCTGATTTCAGCACCATTTAACCTATATTGAAAAATTCCACAAGGACTAAATTTTAGTTAGATTCTTGAGAGCGCGAGCTGATTATGTGCAAACAATTCAAAGCTTCGTCGACTTACTCCATACAGTGCGCTGCAGTGACTGCCCATTGTTCATGAATTAAAGTAGCTCCGCAGGTAGAATTCGAATATCGCGAAGAAGCAATATGTAGCAGTACCTGTTTGAACACACATACTTTGTTAATACATATTCTGATTTCTGTAAACTAATTTAAATTCCAAAATCAAAGAATGATACCGCCCACGGCCATTGTCCATGATCCGCCAAGATTCCGCCTATGATACGTCGAGTAATTTCAGCAGATCCTGTTTGACCACAAACTCTTTTTCCGGAAGGCACAGAACAACATTCCGTGGTACTTTTATATCTGTACGCCATGCCGGGTATGAATGCACAAGGTACTGTAAGACAGAATTAGTCATTAATTTTGAAATCATTTACGAATTCATGGCTTAAAATACCAATAAAAAAACTCAGTGTCATGAAATAAATTGTCATAATTTGTGTATATATATATGGATAAAACAATAATTTTATTATTATCTCGATCCAACAAAAAGTGGTGCAATACATTATTTTCCAACCTTCATCGCAAGAATGCTGATTGCAAGGTTCGTAAATACGGGGACATATTTTTATGTCATCTGCTTCACATTTCGCCACCTTATATCTGCTTCCACCACCGCAGGTTTTCGTACATTCGCTGTAAACATTCCAATCTAAAATTAAAAAAAAAAAAATTTAAAACTTTCTTGTCAACAAATATTACAGTGATAACTATTCTTTTAGAATGTACTGCAGTTGATACATCGGACACTCGAACTAGACTATTGTATTATACTGGAATAAAAGATTTTGTCCCACCGAGAACAGCCATCTTGACACTTTAACCCCGTTGAAATTTCGTTGATGAAATTGCTATGTAAAAGGTTTACTCCAATAACTACCTAATGTTGGATGAATCTTTTAGCATCTACTTCCCCTAAATTTCAGCTTTTTTTTACTTGAACATAATACAAATCAAATGTGAATATTGAGGGTAAAATGGATAGAGAGCTTAAGCAAACACAGTCTGTTCGAATATTTATAAAACAGGGTAAGTGAAGCCACATTTATTTTTGAAATGTTATGAGTACACGTGGCCAAATAAAAATGTCTGTAACTGAGTAGGACTTCTTCACGATTTCTGGCTGGTTTCTGTTGATGTAAAACAGTCCTTTCCTTGAATTGCTCAGTTAAAAATTAGTGGCAGTTTGTATGCCAACGATTTGACATCGTTCAACTACGGTCATCAATAGAAAGTGTGTTATTATTGTGTTTGACGAACTTGTTAGTATAAAAAGTGGGAAGGAACTCCATATTTTCTACTTTTCAGAGTCAAAAAATATTGATTTTGAAATTGATAAAAAAAATGAATGATAGCTATTTATGATTATTTGACGAAGTAATATGATCGGAGTTTAGATAAAATTTTCGCAGGCCATTTTGCTTCGCCACAGTACGCTATATTCCTTTCGTTTTTACGGTTATAGAATCGGCGGTCAATCAATTCCGAAAATAACGGTTACCGACTCGAAAAATTCTGCGCTCCAGAAGTGTGTGTACCAAAATGGGGGTAACTAATTTTCTTTCCCCACTTTACATCAAGTTGTGTAAAAGGACTGAAACCGATGGACAGGGAGTATATTCACTTGGCTAATACAGACAGTCCCCAAACTCGTAATAGGACTAAAATAAGGAAAATCGGAATAAAATTATGATCTAACCTAACCTGTTACACACTACGGGAGTACCAAAAATTCCACGTGATCTGTTATAATTGAGATCAGTAGAAATCGAGGTAATAGATTAATAAGGAATGGCGAAAGGCAGATATAACAATGATAAAAACATTCACCACAACTTCCGGAAACTAGAACAATTGTGGTGTATTACCGACATTCGGGGAGAGGATCAGGTTATTTTTGGTTACAAGTTCGTACAAACGAGGAAAAAGATTTGAAGAAACTATTTTGTTAAATCAGAATAAATATCAAATTATTCTTTTGCATCTCAATGTCATCAAATCGGAAAATCACATTAAAAACAAAAAGAATTGTTCAAATCGAATTGTTATCTAACAAGACACGAAAGAAATGAAACACTTGAAATTGATCATAAACTAGAGCTGCTTGCAGCTTTAACAGGCTTCCCGCGTAATGCAGCCATGTAATAGAATGAGTCGCAGCTAGATAAACACTGAAGTAAAGTGTTAACTTTTTCTCTGTAACTCTTCTATAACGTGAAATATGAAAAAATCACTCATACATGACTTAGTCACGTGACCGGGAGTGCTACCCCAAAAGGCTAACATAAGTTGTGGTGGATCAACCGACCTCAAATACCAAGTTTGAGTTCTTAATATTAAATATTAATAAATAACGTGAAATATGAAAAAATCACTCATGCATGACTTAGTCACGTGACCGGGAGTGCTACCCCAAAAGGCTAACATAAGTTGTGGTGGATCAACCGACCTCAAATACCAAGTTTGAGTTCTTAATATTCAATAGTAATTGAGAAATGCGAAAAAAAACTGGAAATTATGCTATGTGCACTGGAGCGTGAAGCCGTGATCAGTCATGCATTAAGTCAGCAATTTATGATGAGGGACTTAATATCTGCATGTGATGTAAATTTCAAGTCTCTAAGTAGTGTCGTTCTCGAGAAGAAGATGAATATGTAAAATCCTATATTGCTCACTGGAGCGTATCGCCGAGGTCACTCATGCGTATCCTTGACATATCGTATCCGGAACATGTCCATTAATCATTGTTATGAATTTCAACCCAATAGCATGTATCAATTTTGAGAAATCGCAAAAAAACTGAAGACGCGTTTTGCTCACTCACTGGAGCGCATGCATAAAATTTGCATTTTATTGCTAGCTGAGAACTTCTGCACATTTGAGGTGAATATCAAGTTTGTAGGACCAATTTGAAAAAAAAATAATAAAAATAAATAATAATAAATAAATAATAATAATAACTAGAGCTACGTGCAGCTTTAACAGGCTTCCCGCGTAAAAAAAACTGAAAACGCGTGTTGCTCACTGGAGCGTGAAAGTGTGGTCAGTCATGCATAAAATTTGCATTTTATTGGTAGCTGAGAACTTCTGCACATTTGAGGTGAATTTCAAGTTTGTAGGACCAATTTGAAAAAAAAATAATAAAAATAAATAAATAAATAATAATAAATAAATAATAATAATAAAACACAGGATACAATAGGTTCCCTGCTGACAAGCAGCGGGAAGCCTAATAAATAATAATAATAATAATAAAACACCGGAATACAATAGGTTCCCTGCTGACAAGCAGCGGAAGCCTAATAAATAAATAAATAAATAATAATAATAATAATAAATAAGTAATAATAATAATAAAACGTAGGAATACAATAGGTTCCATGCTGACAAGCAGCGGGAAGCCTAATTATTGATAATGCATATATATATCGAAGAAACAATATTTAAAAATGACATAGTTTCAATGTTTTTACAGTACAATTTGTAAAACCTGGTACATAATTCAGAATAAGTGAATATCCACATACTATACGACAAGGTGTTCCAAACCTAGGCCCGCGGTCACATGTGTACCGCAGCATCATTATCTGTGGCCCGCGTCACATTTGTTGGTAGATGAGTCAAAAATTGCGTTGTTTCGTCATAAAAATAACCAATAAACTCTTTTGACATATTGTTACATCACTAATGTCATTGAATTGGTTAGTTTTATGGCTAGCTGAGACAACCAGCAAAGTTGAATAGTGTGCTTGGCAGGCCTAAATTGTTAACTAGCTTTCAATCTTTTCGGTCGGGATTAACGTTTTATTTTGTGCGATGATGTTTTAAAAATATAAAAATTGCGCACCTCGTGACGGTTCCACGCTCGCGAATGTTGCTATTTTGTGGTTAGGTGAAGTCGTACAGACTGCGATAATGGTAGTCTACTGTAAAATATTAGATACCCGAACTACTTCGTTGTGGCGTTCGCGTCCGTATATTTGAGCATGGTTCTATTGTTTTATAAACATGGTTTGAAAAGAAAGTTGACCAATTCAAACAGATTTTTAACTGGGTATGAGAGGGGAAATGCCACAATGCCTAATATGTCTGCAATTGGTGTCGGCGCGAAAATAATATAATCTGGAACGGCATTTTGGAATGTTTTGAGCAACGATTATTTTCCAAAGTTTTTCCAAGGAATTTTCCTCGAATATAATCTTAGCGCTGTTCGAGAGCACTTACATTCGAGAAATCATCCTCTCATTTATGAATAGACTGAAATCTAATACTAAATGTTGATATAGAAATATTGATAAATGATAAATAATGATCCAATGTGTTTGCACAGATGTTTGTTTTATATTGGGCCGTCTACATATTTTTGTCACTAATGTGACCCGCAAACAATGCAAAAAAAAGTTTCGTGGCTCAATATCCGACAACTTTGGACCAATCTGATATAGGAGTTCGACACCTCTAGTATTCTGTTCTTAGCAAATATGAATGGATCTAACCGCTGAAAGAATAAAAATGACCAAGAGCATGAAAAAGCAAAAACTTGTCAGAAGGACTATACATAGTCACGACTCATTGTTATAACCAATTAGTCCTCTTGGACCTCTAACAAGTCGTACTTTAATTGATAGAGATACATAATCCGCTTCTACTGATAGTTTCGAAAAAATGTTCGGAAAGGTATTAGTTCGAAGCTTCGTAGCGCAATTTCAGTAATGTAAATTTCTTTCGCTTCGGAAAAAAATTACGTACACATAAATAAACTTTAAAAAAAAAGAAAATTCATGGCCGTTCCGATATTGTCGTTATTTGAAACATTCAAATCTCCAAATAACATTGAATAGATTTCGAAGTATTAGGTGCATCAAAGGGTAATGGAAAATTCTGCTTTGTCTATTGTATTACTAAAAACTTGCTTTGTTGGAACTAATACCAAGATATGAATCTTAGATTTAAGAGTATTTCTACTTGTCATAACTTTTGCTAGTACGTGTTTTTAACATGACCAATAATAGTCACATTTTATTTTGTACGTAGCTAAAAATAATTCGAAACTTACCAAACAACTTTTATAAAATATATATATAGCAATTTGACAATAAACCACCTAACGCGAGTTTAAGTATATGTCTATAAAAGTTATTACCATTTCGAAAAAGCGTATTCGTATTTTTTACAAACTTTTTATTTTCATTGAAGTTTTATTCATCTCAGTTTTAAACACTACCACCTTTATTTTATAAAATTAATTTAGCATCATATCAATTACTAATCATCGTTACCTTCTGTTGATTCACAGTTGGTACCGCGATACCCGATTTTGCACACACACCAGTATTTTGAGTATACTGACACACAGGTACCTCCGTTCTGACATGGAGAAGGCGTCACATGGATCAACTTCAATTTCTGAATGTGAAAAATCCAGTTAAGCCAATATATCATGCAGTTCAAAATTCTCATGAAGAAGAATTGAATGCAATATAAACGGAGGGTAAAATTATGGAAAACATTCATTTTACCATAAAACTACCTAACTTCTGAAAATAGCTTACTTGTATCACAGTCTTTCCCCGAATATCCTTCTCACAAACACATTGATATCCCACTCCAGTTTGCTTTTTTTGGCATTCGCCATTTAGGCAAGGGTTCGGTTGCAAAAGTCCACTGAAAAAATAAAATTTCAGATGAATTTTTCTCATTGGTTTAAACATTTAACCGATTTACCTTGGTACTACTTGCTTTTGGTTTGTTTACGTATATGGTTCACTCACATCGCGATTATTGATTGATTACTTGATTGCTTCTTGTTATGGCTAACTGTCTAGTACTCTAGCTAGCATGTGTTTAGATCTGTTTCCTTAAGCCTGTCAATGGTGCTATAGTCCATCCGGTTTTAATTATCTATTTCATTGTATTGGGATTGCATCTGTTTCTAACATTGGGATTATCTGTTCTGACAAAGCCTCATTTGAATGTGAGTGAACTGGTATATTCGTGCTTTGTAATTGTGCTTGCTTGTATATATTTTGATTGTTATCTTTTATTGTTTGTAAGGTCACTGTGTCTGACTGAGATCTGAATTAAATTAATTTCAGAGAAATCTATTCGCTTCATTTCGGGATATTAGTTAAAGAGACGTAGTAGGCAAGGATGTTTTGTCAATGGCAGAAATCCAATTTTATTTTGTTAAGATATTTAGTATTTTAATCAGAATGTATAATCAATCATACAATACAAAACAATTATAACTTTTTTGTCATCATCGAAACATATCACATGCCACTAAAAAAATCCGAATCCGAATATTTCTCTCACCTTCTTCGCAAAAATGTTCCCGTTAATCCAAGCTTTCCACAATCACATTTAAATCCACCCAATTCTTGTATACAATCACCGTTCTTACATGGATTCGGATCACAGTAGTTAATCACTAAAATAAATGTTTTAAACAACATTTTAGGTAAGACTTTTTCGAAATTAATTAAGAAGGAATTAACTAAAACTGCCAAGTAAGTGTTACGAATCTATATTCAGATATCATTTTCTTTACTTTTGACCAGGGCTGTTAGGAAACGCGAATACATAGTCACAGATTAATTTTTCTGATACATAATGTGATATATTTGTAAAATCACACAGACATCATTCGGGAGATCAGAGATTTCCTAAAACAGTACATGGCCAAAACAATAGCTACTGCATCTATTTATACTTAATGTATTAATGCGTAGTTGTGGCCCAGTTGTGCATCATCCTACTCAAACGAGACGAAATATTAATCAATAATATTCAGTATTCTTACTTTCATCACAATTGTCGCCACTGTAACGCAACATTGGCAAGTTGCATTTATATCCAGTGAGTAAATTTGTACAACTCCCATGAACACACGGATTCGGGACACAGAAGTCAATTTCTAAATATAGGGAATAATGAAGTACATAATGTATCACATACATTTTCAAATTGTGGAAAAGCGTTGAAAAAACGTGATACATATGAAATAAAATAGCAGTATTGAATGAATACTAAAAAGCAGTCACCGTCTTCACATGTATTCCCCCTTGTATCCAGCGTAGATGCACATCTGAAACTTGCTCCTTCCAACAGACATTCACCATTTCCACATGGACTATCAGCACAATAATCGATTGCTGAACAACCAATCAAGGAATTCAGTTTCAACAGTGAAAGATATTCGTACATAAATGATTATACTTTGTCATTACGATAAGTTCCAAGTCATTTTTTATGGGTTATTCAGCATATATCAGAGTGAGTGAGGTCGAAATAAATCAAAATATTGGTAAACGCACGGAAGTAGTTAGTTATTTTTATTCAAACGCTCCAGATTAACAATAGAAAATGTAAATTGCAAATTTCGCTTCAGTAACAGACTACGGGCCATGACAAAGGTAAAGATGAAAGAATTGTGACGTAAATTACGATTATTAATACAAGAGCTAACCTCGTTATTTCATTTTTAAAATCGTTACTGATACACATATATGCTATTATTTGCGCACCTCACAATTGGGAGCATGTTTTCCTTCGTATCACTTTTGCAAACACAGGCAAAACCAGCCGGACTATTTCTGCATCTGACGCTGTTCACGCAGGGATATGGAATACAGTGGTGCAACAACTAAATTATAAAAAAAAATTCAATGTAGGTATTTATGGACTTAATCAAATATAAATATTACAATAATCTCAAGACTTCAAACAGCATACTACTGTGTTTCCCTGAAAAAGAAACTACCCTGAAAATAAGATCTAGCCTGAATTTTAAAATGATTTTAATATGAGCCCTCACTCCTAAAATAAGACTTAGTTAGTAACGTGTATTTTTATAGACCTATAGTCGATACCAAAAATCTCTCCTACACGTTTTAAATGATTGATATCTAGGTTTTGCAGATATTTTGAATAAAAACGTGTTATTTATAAAGTAAATGCAAACCGGTTTTCATATTTTGTATATTGTAAATCTCGTGATTCTCTACTTTGTAATTTTGTTTTTAATAAATGAAAATATGAGACATCTCCCGAAAATAATCCCTAGTTAATTTTTCGGGAGAGAACTGAAATAAGACCCAGTCTCATTTTCGGGGAAACACGGTACTAACTCACCATCTCACAAGTCTCCCTTCGTATCCACGATTACATGTGGCACGAAAAGCCACCTGGACCAGTTTCTACAACTTCCTTCATCTTAAGCAGGGATTTGGATCGCAATAATTAACAGCTATAAATAAACCATATATGTAACTGAGGAATCAATTTAAGAGAAATTCGTTGCATATGTAAACACGAGGTGTAGTTGGATGCGTTAGGTCATGGATAACAAATCAAGCGCAAGCAAATAAATCTTAAAGCCCAGTGTATAACAATTATGAAAGTAATGTTTTAACGCTCACCATCTCCACAAATCTTTCCTTCATAACCAGGTGTGCACATGCAGAAGAAATCATCCTGCCACATTGCTACAAGCTCCTCCATTCAGCATGGATTAGGATTGCAGCGATCAACAGCTGCAAAATATCAGTTAAGATGATGTGGTAAGTGATATGAATGATATATGTTGAAATAATGTGTGATTTTGAACAACAATAGATATAAAACACGATACAGATTATAATATGAGATAGTTTTGAGTAACGCGTAATTAACAAATGGCCTTTTCTCCGGGCAGAGATTACAAAATCGATTTTATGGAATCGACTAAAATCGATTTCCATACCTTCGGCTAAGAATATGTATAACCGGAATGTGGAATTGCTACGACGTCGCAAACTTCGCTCCATTTCTACACTCTGCTGTGACTCGCTCGTCACAATTTGTATCATTTTGTCTTACTCATGCGCTATAACTGATTGGCAGGCCAGGTTCTATTGTTAAACAACAGTCAACTCCGTCTTAGTAGGTACCCAGCCAAAAAAATGGATCGAGGTGGCGCTAAGTCAGCTCTGCGGTTCGTCCACTGCTCACACATGGCCAACGCTTGAAAATAGTAGAGTGTTTTGACTGAAATAAAAGTCACAAAACGTCTCTCTTAATAAGGCATGACTAAGTATGAATACTGATCAAGTATTCGATTCTTATCCGATTCCTAAATTTTCGATTCCGATTCTGCAATTCCGAATATCGATTCCGCGATATATTACCGGAAAAACATACCCACCTAAGCAGTACCATAGGAAATCGAACAAGAAAGCGATGTTCAATATTGGAAGGCCAAAACTAAGGTAGTATGTGTATCCAAATCTGTCACAAGGGACAAAAACGCACAAAAAACGAATCCCTCAGAACCCCAGAGATTTTTGAAATTAAATAAACGTAAAAGCCTTCTAGCGAAAAATATATAAACAGTATATATATAGTAAAATTTTGGGGCGTCGTGCAACTCAACATAGCAGTAAAGCAGTTTATACATATATGTGAAGGAATTGCCCACAAAACTTTACACATTGTTTGCAATCCAAGTTTGAACCTCGAGAATCGATTCAATGCATCGGAATCGATTCCAGTCGATTTCTCGAAGAATCGATTCTGTAATCGAATCCGGACTCGATTCCGCCATCCCACACTCTTAATGCGAAGCTACTTGACGAGAGAAGTACGAAGTTTGGATAAAATACCCCGACTTCATCTGATCGGTTGGTCATGTCTGCAAAAGACAATTCATTCTCCCTGTTACCGAATCACAGACGTCATTTCCATACTGGCACCGTCTCGATTTTATAGATACAATATTGAAATTCGTGATTTTACCAAACAGTTCAGCCGACATTTGGATTAGAAAAAGGCTATTTCCAGTTGTAATAGTTCAAAAATAACTTAAAAATGTTCTGCCAATAAATACAAATATCTGCCAATGATGTTAGCGCACGCTAAAATTGTTCTGCGGGGCCACACGGAATGTGTACGCGGTTTAGACCACCCTGCGTTAGGTTATACCGTTATGAACAGAAAAACAAGCACAAGCAAATCAGATCCAAGCCAATGAATACCAATTATGAATAATGTTCCAACGCTCACCATCTCCACAAAATCTTTCCTTTATAACCGGGTCTGCACATGCAGAAGAAATCATCTGCACAATTGCTACAAGCTCTCATTTAGGCATGGTTAGGATTGCAGCGATCAACAGCTGCAAATATCAGTTAAGATGATGTGTGTAAGTGATATGAATGTTATGTTGATATATACGTGAGATTTTTGAACAACAATAGATATAACACAAATACAGATATAATCATGGGATAGTTTTGAGTAACGCTTAATTACAATGGCATTTACTCCGGGGCTCCATATATTACAGAATCGATTCTTCTGGAATCGCTAAGAATCGATTTCCATACCTTAGAATATGTATAAACCGGGAATGTGGAGTTGCTACGACGTCGCAAACTTCGCTAATATTTCTACACTCTAACTGTCGCTCGCTCGTCTGCGTGGGTCAAGGCACGTACCACATTCTGTATCATTTTCTTCTTACTTATTGCGCCATAACTTCTATTTACTTTGCGGGACAATTAGAGTTATCGGTTAACTTTTTATCTCTGCACGTTATAGGTTGCTGCATTACAGCGCAAATGCATTAAAGTCTCTTTCACTTCAAAGATCGGTGTAAATGTTCACGTGTACAAAAATCCTTGGTGCAAATATCCGTTTGTTGCAAATGTGTATTGGTGCAAATATCCGCGGGTGCAACTTCCTATCGGGTACAAATGTACGCGGATAAAAATGTACGTGGTGCAAATGTACGCGGGTGAAAATGTACGTGGGTACAAATGTCCGTGGGTGCAGATGTCCATGGTTGCAAATATTCACAGGTTGCAATCTGTACGTGGATGCTGAAATATGTGGTTGCAAATGTATGAGTGCAACTGTCCATGGTGCAAAAAGTATACAGGTGCAAATGTCCTTGGTTTTAAATCACAAGGGCAATTTACGGGTGCAAATGTACGTGCGTGCAAAGATAATGAAATCGAGGATCGGAATCGAAAATTTGGAAAAGGAATTGAATATTCATAAGTTAGTCGTACTTTGCATCCTTAGCCGCTTCGGCTGTTTGTAATGTATCGAGAATTCAAAAATAGGGCGAAAGAGTGACACAAATCATATATTTTTTCATTAAAAGTCTATCCGAAACTCATTTTTTTCAAACTGGAAAATAAAATAAAGCGAAGACACTTGCGAATTATTTTTTTTTATATCAAATTAATTTGACTCGGACGTTGTTGTAACAGATTGTGTTGATGAAATATAAGATTGACTTACTTTTATCACAAATCTTCCCTTCATATCCACTTTTACACAGTGCACCAAAAATCATCTGGACCGTTTCTACAGCTCTTCGTTTAAGCAAGGACTGGGGGTCGCAGTGATCCACCGATACTAAATAAAACGGTGAATCTATATTTTTTGTTGCAATCCTTTCACCAATATATATATTAAAATGCCACCATAACCATACATGTTACATTTGCAAGTTATCTCTACATGTGATGCGCATGTAACGTCTAATAAACTCTTGATCTCATATAATAAACATATTCTTCAACATGACAGATGCAGTATTGAATCAATAAAGTACATCCTTGGAATACCCCTTGCGAAGTTTATTTTGAAGCCGATGAAACTGATACTGCGGTAACTGTAAAGAATGAGCCAAACTGTGTTGCAGAACTGAGCAGCATACCAAAGAAAAAGAGCTTTAAGCAATGATTAATATGTAGTTCAAGTTTTCACTGGTTCAGAGATTGTCAACATAGAGAAAATTCTATTTATAATATGAGTACAACTTGTATAGCAAAATATATCGACTTTGATGTCTTTGTAGCCAATAATGGCATATACAACCATAGATACTACGTGTAGCAGATTGGTAGTCGCACTCCACACAAGAATTCAGATATTTGAACATTGATGCATCATCCGTATTTGATGATGGGGAAAATGTCAAAGAGTCGTACAGAGTGATATTAACAGCTGAGATAACTGATATTACTTGTATCATTGTGAGTATGAACGTGCCAAACGTTTTTGTTGCCCACGGAAATTTCTGATAACTAACTTCAAAAATAATTAGAGGGGTAAACAAATGTAGATGTTTTTATACGGGAGAACTGTAATAAATGAAAGGCAAGGTAAGAGTGAAAATAGGGAACCTAACTCATATCTATATATTAACCACCCATCAAACTTAGGAATAAACTCACACGAATAAGATCAAACTCACTCAATGACAGATTAGCACATTGGCCAGGAAAGGCCGTCAGCCATTGCTAACTCACCATCACCACAATGAGTCACACAATACTATACACGCAATGCCAGCTACTTAAATAAAAACACATCGAGCAAAATATTAATTTGTTTATAAGCCGAACTCTTACGCCATTGGATATGCTGCCCGGACGGCTGCCACGTCCATGATGTGAATGAAATTATATTTAAAAATCTATTCCTCCTTTATGGTAAACCATCCTATGCTACCACTGATTTAAAAAAGTTCATTATCAAAGCACATGTTAGCGATATCAATATGAACAGACCGTGCTTTTACAGCTGATTGGTCAGTATTTATACATACTAGTGACCAGCGCAACATAAATGAAATTATCGTATGAAAACGATTAAACTATCAGAAAACAGGCCATGCCTGAAATCTCTTATCCACGAAAATCATTTCATAAGAATGTAGCGATATTGCATGGAGGTTGTAGAAGAAGACTTTCGGCAACTTCCGGCTTTCTCATTTTCTTTTCGCAATTTTATACTCTTTTCAGGAATGATTTTACAATATTTATGCCATCCAATCCATTTATTTCCTATGGCCAATCTATGACAAGTTTGTTGTCATACATCAGCTCAAGAACACGACTCGTTTAGTTTCCTGTAGAATAGGACTGTCCCCAGTAATCCCAAATCAAAATTTAGTTTTATGAATAAACAATAACTTCGGCATCGTGTTTACGGGACATCTGATAGAATATATTGTAAAGGCCGCAACAGACCACAATGACCTTGAGGTTGTCTGAAATTATTATTTAAATGATTTGCCCTCAATAAACACAAGGTTAGCTTTACATCATGGGGTAAATTAATTAAAACATGAACATTAGTTTATATTTATTCGATGAGTTTAATATTTAGTGGATCACGGAGGTCCATGATAACCCATCAGTGGTATATATATATATGTATTGGGATGCCGCAATGTTGCGAAAGAACGGACGGGTGTGTTGATTGTGTGTTTCTCGCGCCACTATACTGTATTTGATAGAATAGTATACGCTTTTTCTGTAATTTGAGGAATTTTGATATTTATTTAAATGGTCAAATTGTTTGCAAAATATAGAGGAATAATTGTAGTAAAATATTATTCATTCATAATTCATTATGCATCTTGCGTTTTACCAAATGAATTACCGTAGCGCTCACATTACTATCCTGCCACTGAAGAAAGTTTAGTCAGTCGCTTCAGGTACTCTGGTATTATTTTGCTATTTAGCTGGCTTTCTGATAATATTTTTTACTGCTCTACATTGGTTGATTGGTTTTCACATGCATATGCAGCCTTCTACTGTGTCAGTGCAAATTCCTTCATTTTTGCACTGATTGGGATTGCAATTACCAATATTCGAAAACAAGCAATCGGATTGATCCTTATTTAGAGCTCCACTTATTTATAAAATAAAAATTGTACAATTTATAGTACACTAAACTAACAAAAACGAAATATGAAAGTAAAATATAATCATATAATTAGAGAAGGTTATTTTCAATCAAACAAAAAATAATCAGTCACCATGCCAAAATATCTCGACTCTTGAGCCTGAATCGTGCGAGCAGATTATAGAGAATAACCGGAGGTAATATCGATAAATCGTTTTTTATACGTTTGAATCTATTCAGCCACTGTATTAATTTAGTCACAGGCATGTGAGTTAGAATATAAAAAAAATTGCATGATTCTTTGAATTCACCGTTCAATATGGACTATCACAGGGGTGGACAAGGTTTTTGGACAAGGGGCCAAAATTTTGCCCCCGTTCATTGGCGGGCCATGCAAGTGTGGCGTAAAAAGTTACATTTTATGAACAATATTTACAGTGTTTTAAAAGCAACAGTGGATAACAATAGGCCTCGTGCCAAAACTAAATTTAACCACAATCAACAAATGCCTTGAGCTATTTTTAGCTGAAATATCCAAATTTGGTTTCCGTTTGGTTGTGGCAGCATCAGCCGCATCTGGCCCGCGGACCGTACTTTGCCCATGCCTGGACTATCAGCACAGTAATCAATTGCTGAACAACCAATTAAACCACCACTCAGATTGTGTTAATGAATATAAGACTGACTTACTTTTATTATCACAAATCTTCCCTTCATATCCACTTTTACACATGCACAAGAAATCATCTGGACCGTTTCTACAATATCCTTCGTTCAAGCAGGGATTCGAGTCGCAGTGATCGACCGATACTAAAATAAAAAAGGTGAATTGATATTTTTACTGAAATCTCCTGTGATTGAAATACTACCCTGACCATACAAGTTATATCCACAAAGTATTCAAATTATATTGCGGAGTTCGAACATTTACATAATGGGGCGAAGGAACATGACATGCAGTTAGCAGATTCTATTCGAGCTTGCAATATTTGAAGCCTTTGCTCTTTCTCTATAAGAACTGTAATATAATATTGACGGCATTTATTAAACTTGAATATAACATGATTAAAGCTTCCTCGAAGCATTTTGGATAAGCACTCGAATTCATTCTTACTTATCTTTCTGTATAAACACAAATCAATTAATTCAGGTTCTCCACTTATTCATAAAATATTATACAATTTATATTTTATAGTACACTAAACGGACAAAAACGAAATATCAAAGTGGAATGGAATCATGTAATTGAAGTAATTTATTTTCCATCAAACGAAAAAATTATTCTTCACCACAACAAAAATATCTCAACTCTTGAGCCCGAAGCGTGCGAGCAGACTAGAGAACGACCAAGTTAATATCAATAAATCGTTTTTCATATATTTTAACCAATTTAGCAATACTATGTGCTCAAAAAATGAAAATAAAATTGTGTGATCCTTTGACTTAGAATTCACCATTTCACGTAGATTATCAGCGCAGTAATCGATTGCTGAACAAGCAATCCAAAGACGGTCGGTCGACTGACTTACATTTATTGTCACAAATATTCCCTTCATATCCACTTTTACACATGCACAAGAAATCATCTGGACCGTTTCTACAAACTCCATCGTTCAAGCAGGGATTGGGGTCGCAATGATCCACCGATACTGAAATAAAAAAATATATATATATATATTTTACTGACGTTTTCAAATATATATATTGGTTGAAATGCTACCATATTCTTGCAGTTATACCCACGAGTCTTTGATCTCGTATGGCAATGGTTCTTAACCTATGCGAATCCTTACGTTATTATGCAAGCTTCAGTCGATCCGAAAGCTGAAAACGATGCATCGAAAGCGGTAATGGCTCAGGTTATTTATCTCATCGAACCTCTGGAACATCTCCACCGAAACCAGGGGCTCGCTACAACCAGGTTAAAAAACCCTGTCTTCCAATAAACACTCAAACTCAAACATGAACGGTATTAGAATCAAGTCTGGGGTCTGAACGATGCGATATATCTATAAATCTGCTAAGAGTTTCAACTCTTAGCAGACTTCAACTCTTTTAAATGAAAAACAAAAGTTTGGTTCACGATCTGTGCTTTTCGGACACAGACTTTCTTTTATTCGAAATTCCCACCATTAAACCTTGTGTTTCTGTATACAGTAATCCATGCTGCCATGTTATTTTTCAATTTATGCTCCACTGGGCACTAGTTTAGTCGCAGTCTGTTAATGAGGATATCTTGGGTATGTTCTCTGTCTGTTTGTGTTAACTACCGGTACTTTGACATTAATTTTGTTAACTGCTATTTGGGTATCAGAATATTCCTGAGTTTTCAGAAGACGTTAATTAGGAGCGGTGGAGTAATGAGATAACGATATGGGAGCTTGAGCCACTTTTAGAAAAACACAAACAAGTACTTGCAGTGACATTTTTTTCTAAATGGGAAAGCGAGCAGCGTTGCACTCGACATGAGTGCTTCAGACAATAATAAAGAAATTGTACAAACATCGTTGAAGCTTCGTACGAAGGATATTTAGAAGCGATCTAAGCCAAATTATTTTGCAGAATTAAGTATTACATCAAATAAAATGAACCAGAGAAATGGGTACAAATCCTAGACAGAGAGGTACCACAATTACAGGATTTATTATCTGCGGCACAAGTTTTCATTGGTAGAGAGATTGTCCACACAATAAAATGCCAAAGTGTCTGTGAGATAAAGATGATGTGACTGCAACTTTTAAAGCCAAATATGTCAATTTTAAGATCTTGTAGCCAATAATGTGAGATGTGCAATCCTTGATACTGCATGTAGCAGAACAGTATGTCTCACTAAATACTTATCTAATTATAATCAATAGGATCACCCCACACCAGGGGGGACAACTATTTATTTTAACATTGATTGCATCATTCATATTTGGTGATGAGAAAATGTCAAAGTATTGTACAGATGAATATTATCAGCCTAGATACCTGATATTTCTTGTGCCATTATGAGTGAATTTTTAATATCAATTATAATATTTTCCGGTCTAGTGGGTAAATTATGGAAAAAGCGGACTTTTAATTTTATTCTACGATTTTTGAAAAACGCAGGCCCTGGCGGCCTACGAATATTAAATATTAGGATACTGCCTAGAGTCCTAGATAAAAGCGTATACCTAACTCAGCCTAGTCCTAGACTAGCCAGTAGTGAGAAACGAGAGGAAGTGCTCTTTGGACCTCGTGTGTTTATACCGGTATATTTGAGATAACAGCTTCAGCCTTTTCAGTAATTTGGTGATTTTTTAAGAATTTTGACATTTATCGAAGACCAAGCTAGGGAAAGTTGTAGTATCCAAACAAAGTTTACTAAAAAATATCGAATTAGAATCTGGTACACATACTATGTCCAGGTTGTGCGTCATCCTGGTACAAATACTACAGGATCACCAAAAATTGTATGATTTTTGGACTTGCAGTGTGCAATAAACTAAGAGGTTAGTAAATTGTTTTACTTGTCTTTATTTCACATTGCTTTCCGGTGTACCCTTTTGGGCAGGTGCACCTATATCCACCAAATATGTTCTCACAAAATCCCCCGTGTTTGCACGTTCTCCTTTTACAAAAATTTTTCACTGAAATATTGAAATGCAAAAATTGTTAAACACAGATATAGATTTAACTTTTGAAGTTTGACTCAAAGCGTCGTAAAAGTGCATTAAAAATCTTTTTATGACCATTTATTTTTTACTTTCACTCATTCTGAATTGGAATTTCATCAAAAGGGTAAATATGCAACTGACACCCGCGTTTAAAAGAAATCAGGTAACAGAGAAAGTTGTAAATTCAGGTGAGCAACTATACATTCACAAGAAAACTGAAATTCAGCGTTCAATATATGAAGCAGCAGTTAGTTACTCTACGAAAACCAACATTTTCGAATAAATTCACTTGAAAGGTCGAAAATTTTAATATGTATTTATTTAAATAAAAATAGAAGAGCGAAAGTTCATTGATTGCCAAACTTTCATGATATGTGGCACTTTTCAAAGACTCGTAACAGTTGTGGCAACCTGCTATTCTATAGAAATAGCTATTTTACCGCATTTAGCATAAGAATGCATGCATTGCAGCCAAATAATTGGAGTGTTGTGTATATATATATACCTATGGTTGTTCTTTATCATACTGATTACACATTCGTGATTGTGGCGTGGTTCCTATTGTCTTATGCTTCTGCAATAATAAACTTATATTTCTATCTAATGAAATTGGCAAAACACGAGATTTCAATTATTTCTTTCTTTAAAATCGATATTGATAAATCAACTGTCTTGATTCTGGCATCAAGAGATGAATTTAACAACAGTCTGAGCAACTCAACATTATGTCAGCAGTATATCATGACATTGGTGGGATGAATAAGGTTTAAATTTTCATACTTAAAGCAAATGGTAAAGTGAAGAAATGATCATAAAAATAAAATATATTTATCTAAAATAAAAGTAGAACAGTTCAAGATTTTGAACAGATTTTATTCTAATTCAAACGGTCCACCATAAACGAGGATCAGCGAAAACCCGCAGCCCTGCACAAATTTTACAATTATCTAACTTAAAATTGATGTACATTGAGCGCAGCGATCGTGTATGGTACAAGTATGAATACGAAGAAAGTAGAGTTGAAACCCCATATACTCTATCAACAGCATCTTACGAATATATAGGACTATTCAGTCCTGCAGTTCTTCATCGAGAAATTATACTTTTTTATATTTTATCTTAAAGTAGACTGAAACACTGAAAAAAAAAGTTTTTTTAATTAACACCAGCAGGCAATCGAAGTGCAGTTGAGACGTTTATAAGAAACTCGGTTTGATGGAACATTCTCAACATTTCATGAATTTTCATGAAATTTGTTAGAAATTTTAGAATATCAAAAAATGAATAAATTTTGAATACATCATTGACTAACCGCATAAAACAACCTTGCATATATTTTGATTTCTTTGAAATCTCCTATCAATCCGTATCTCATAGACACAAAAATTAACTTGTGCTCTGCTATTTTAGAACAATTACTTGTCCTGGCGTTTACAGAAGGATATATTTATTAACTATTTTGAATAATCATCTTTTTGTTATACTTTTTCTATTGCATAAACATTTTTTCAAACTGTTATTTACCTGTTATTCAAACTGTCCTAAAAGCATGTGATTTATTTAAATCAAGATTATTCTGTGTAAGTTATTGGCTTGCTGTCATGGGTTCGGCTAAACAAATTTCATGACATTACGTTTGGAAGATGAACGGAAGAACAAATCACCTATTGAAAATATGAAATGTAAGAAGCATATGCTCAAAGCAAAAAGAGAGCAAAGCAAGCCGACTAGCGCGTGCCTGTAATGAAATGGTATTTTTCATTTATGGCAAAGCGTTACCTTTTTGACAACGCACTCCTGTATATCCTTCATCGCATTCACATGTGTAGTCACCATCAGTATTATCAATACATGTTCCATGGATACATTTAGTGCAGTCAAATGATTTTACTGAGTGGTTAAAACAAAACTGAGTTGTCTCATTGAAACTCTTGTTAAAAATATTATTCTCAACTCGAACCATGGTTTATGAAGCCAAGACAATCGGCGACCGTAAACGATATTGATTTCCAGTTGAAAAAATGAGTTTAAAATAAAATTACCGTAAAATACATGCAAAAAATTTATCGGTAACAACTGATCCTGTTTTTTTATAAATTTTTCGCGATCTAGCATTCAGGGTGGGCTGGTGATTTTTTCAGTTGTTTAGGAATGTGAACAAAAAAGTTTTGTGATTATTAGGTTGAATGACTTATTTTAATCAGTTTTGTTTCACATTGCTTCCCAGTGTATGCTCCAAGACAAATAAATGCACGTCAATCCGGCGAATTTATTCTTACAAAATTCCCCATTTTTGCACGTTTGCTTCTTGCAAAATTTTACGGAAAAAGAGAATATAAGAAGAAATCTTATCCATTTTACTGATGTTTGAAACGCAGTAGTTCAATGATCAGTTGTAAATTTATATTTCCTGCTATATATTCGCAGGCATTGATTCTTGAGCATAGTCCAATCACAAAGCTAGGCTTAAACTCCCTCCCTCATATGGGAATATAAAGAACAATTGAGAAAATTGACGCTCTAGACGAGTGCGTGAATACAGAAAATTTATAATTGAATATAGTATTACATATCGCTAGAATCATATTATCTCGTCTACATAATATCTATACTAGCCGAAAGGCAAAAAACAAGGCGACAGCATTATTTACGATACTATATTTTGTCAGGTTTTCCGTTAATTTTGTTCAGTAGCAAAAGCAAAGTTTACAGGTCCACTTCGATTCTTTGCAAATCCAGGACTCATTCTTTCAATGACACTGCTTGTCGTCAAAACGCAATTCTGCTGATAGATTTATAATTTTTCTAATCAAAATTGCTCGTGATGGCTTTAATTGCAAAGATTTTATGCAGAACGAAAATCAATTTTAAAACATTTGAAACTATAACCTATGCTTTGGGAAATGTGTAATTTCGTATCGAATTTTGATGTGAAATACTGCTGAGAATGCTTTTCATCATAAACTTTAACATCGGCTTGGTTACTAACGTTATATAAATTTATTTACTTTGCTGAAATATTGAAAATATTTATATATGCAACAATTAAATATATATATATATATATTGAAAATATGTCTTTACTAATATCATTAAACGAAAATTTTTAACGCGATCCAATTGTGAGCTGAATTCAATTTACAAATGCGCGGGTATTTTGAAAAATTGATAGATGACAAGTTTTTCCGATTCCTAATAATTATTCTTTCAGACTAAACGCAGTTTTTCTATAAGAACATTCGTACCCTTACTAAATGTTTAACAAACAACTCGTAATAGAGTGAAGCGAAGGAGGTAAGCAAATGCAATAAATTTGGGGATTTTCATTTCCTAATAAGCACATATGCATGAAATGGTATTTTAGCAAAGCGATACCTTTTTGACAAAGTCGTCCTGCATATCCTTCATCGCATTTACATTTGTATCCACCGTTTCTTTTCCCAATACATGTCCCATGAATACATTGTGGGCAGTCAATAGATTTTACTGAGTAGATGAAACAATTAAAAGCCATGCATATAACATTCAACCGTACTCAACTCAATCCGTCAGTTAAAACGATATTCATTGCAACATTTTCGGAAATAAAGATTAAATGTGGAGAATGTGTAGAGCTTACTCATAACTAAAACCATATACAAACGTATATCAGATGAAACAGTATTCCCGTATGCAATCACCTGACAAACTATAAACAACTGCCTCAATACTGTTTTATAGGTGACTAGATAGATCGCGCAGAGTAAGGTTCATCAACAGAAATGTGACAGGTTCGAATATTTAAATTTTGATTGAGACTTGAGAGCCCGCTATAATAATGAATATAATACCGATAACATATTAAATGAAGTTACTTAAATACACAAACGTTTTCGTTATCAGTGCACAATCATGCGCCTGGCAGAGGGTGTCGGACCGAATATCATAACCTTCAATGACGACTGTTTCCCACTCGCAGATTTGAAATTTGCGCTATGCACGAAGTGGCGAAATAATATCAGTTCAACCATGGTGTTATGTTGTTAAACTTCGGCCATAGATAAATTTAATTAAAGCGCAATAAATTAGAGAAAATTTCAAAAAACGTGTTGTGATTATTAATTTAAATAACCTACAATGAATCACCTCAATACTTCAACAAATTGTTATAGCTGTCTATTTGACACATCAACAGAAAAATATTTGAACGATCTTTAAGTGAAACACCGTAATACAGTGTTATTTTCTAGTTTTCTATCGATATGAAATTCAATATTTCACCACATCCTGCTATTATGCTTTAGACTTGCCGATCGCGCCAACATAGCGTAGCGATATATAATAATTGGTCTATTGTTGTGTATAAACTTGAAGTTTGATATCATCACTCATTTGATATACACACGCATAGTTTGAAAAATTAGTGAGATATTTAATATTGCATTGAATCTGAGAATAATATAACTAAATGAATAGGTATTTTCTTGGCAATTAAAACAACATTACGTATGAGTAAGTGTCTATTATATATACCCTCAATATCTCAATTTAATAATATCATACCATTATCACAATTCGTTCCTGAATACCCGCGCTCACAGTTGCATTTATATCCATCTTCTTCTTGCATACAAACGCCATTTTTGCATGGGTTGGGATTGCACGGATTTTGTGTTTCAGGGGATTCTATCGAAATAAATAAGAGGTTATTAACACACAAACAACATAAAGAATACATTGCAATTATCCTTTAATTATAGCAAAACATAGTTTTTTACAATTGTATTGTTAATATTACATACGTGAACTATTGCTTCAACTTACTGTCGCAAAAATCACCAGAGTAAGGAGAATCACAATAGCAGAAAAATCCTCCCCGTACTTCCGTACAGCGTCCATGGACACATGGATGATCTGTACATTGACTGATTGGCCCTGAAAACAAATAGGGGAATAGAAGTAATACACAGTGGAATTTTTGCTTTCTATCCATCCAGATTTTGCCACCCATCCCATAAAAATATCAATGAAGGTAAAAATCTTTGATTCGGTAAAACAACAATTAGTACAAGTAGCCTGAGAAAACAATCATTGGTATTCTTTTTTACTTGAGTTGTATATAACGATCGAGTAGCCTAATTGATGTTGGAATAATCGGAAAATACTAGAAAATCGCATTGCGTCAGACATGCTTCAAAGTAGATAACACGGATGTTACTCGTAGCATTCCCAGCTTGTTTTCAAAAAGTTTGGTTTGTCCTCAGAGAAATAATGCAAAGTTTCAATTGATTTTTATCATGGGAACTATAGACTATGTGATAAAGTTGTAAAACTCATGAAATATTGCGAAATCTGGCATAGGTAACAGTGGAAAATCAATAAATTCATATTAACTTACTTGTATTGGGACATCTGTGTGTGTTGCACGGCATTCTCAATTTTTTCGGACAACGGCCACGGCATTTAAATTTAGAAAATCCCCCTCCACACGTCTTAGAACATTTTGACCATCCTCGTCCGACTATATGAACAAAAGCAAGAAATAAGTTTTAAAATGCTTGTTGTCGCTAAGATTCGAAGAGGAAAACATGAAACCGTGACACAGATAACAAACACTATTTTCGAGTAAGATTCGATCCCGGTTTGTCAAGTTAATCATGACGTTGTTATTTTTCTAAAAACTTGCCGTTGTTATGACATTGCTCAAACGTCATGACATTTATTTTGTATAGTCTGAATGTCAACGAAATCTACAGAGCATATCAATCAGTACTGTACTATAATATTTAGTATTAGAAACAATTTATTTAAGATATTAGATATATATTCAAATTACATCAGATATGCTACGTGTAACCGAATGTTCCTGAAAATTGGAGTTATTCAAAATTTTGCCCATTTTTATTGTTACCAAATATAAAAGTGGTAGTGTGGCGTAAAAATACAGAACTATCCTCGCCTATAAGAGTATAAAAACAACGCAAACAGAAACAACAACATAATAACAAAACAATTCATATGTACACTTCGATTCCAATAACAACATAACTAACCTTGTGGACATCTTCGGAGGTTGCACTTTCGGAGTATCGGATCACAACCAGTCACTTCTCTACATAGTTGTACCTTCATCTGTAAACCATCTCCACAACTTCTAGAACATGTTGTCCACATTTCTAAATATAGGTCATATGGGTCGCTTATTTTCATTATTGGACAAAAACCATTCAACATAGAAGCTACACCACATACTTCACTTCATGTTTTAATAAACGAGACCTGATCCTCCATAATCCTACCGCTTACCACATAGGAATGTAATTAATATAGTGATTTCGAATGTAGACATATGTGTAGTAATATATGTGTAAAAAAATTAATCTTTAATATGTGAATATCTTACCTTGACAAATTATAACGTTTGCACAACATCCCAACACAACAAGAAACAAAACTAACTCAGGGGTATTCATTCTCCACTTGTGATAACAAACCTTTTTTGAGGGCTTCAAAATAAAAATAGGATTATGACTTCAAAATTTATCTGATCTTAGTAATGCAAGAAACAAAAAAACATACAAATTCGATGGTGCAATATCGTGTATACTTTGTTCTATTCATCATTTTATCGAATTACTGTTTTACTCGGATTACTATGGCTACAGGTTATTTAGCCTTCTACTCAATTAGCCTTTTGATTTTCTAATCCATATATAATTTCGAGGATATATATAAGCTATATATATATTTTATTCAAATTTCACTTGTATCACTTGTCACTTGTACAGCATTTTTGAATGATTTTCTATGTTATTTATTTATGGTAAGATATCTACTTGCGAATGCAGATCTCTGATTATTTTAGAAAACTGATGTTATTACAGCGTAAAGGCTGCCCATCGTCAACTTAGCATTGTAGCCTACATGACTCAGCAGTTCGTCTGCATACGTATAAATGTTTTAATACGATTTATATTTTTTTCTGCAACATGGAATAACTTTTTAGTCGAAAACCCGAATCTTTCGCAGACTACATTCAATGTCAATTATTTTATTATGTACGATAGATAAAAGGAGCATTATTAGTCGAAATGAATCTGCGGACTACATTTGGCTCATACTGATTCTTTTGGTGAACAGTATACATTATTTAATGATCATATTGGGAGTGAAACATAAACATTATATTGACGTTTTAAATAAGTCAAATTTACAAAAACCTAAATATTTTTTATTTGCACCTTGAATATATATCTAATGTCATACAAAACTATTTGCGTATATAGTAATAATTCGTGGATTACAACTATACTACATTTTGTATAAAAATTCTGCGGCAACTGTTCCTGCTTAAACTTCACTTGTTTGCCTGCCCTGGAGCTTCTGTCTGCTAAAACTTGTTTGTTTAAATATCATCTCACAATAATACATTTTAGTCCGAGTCACAATCAGTCGACGTCATAAAGTGCCGCAGGAAAGGATTTTCTTAACCTATTTGATGATATAATCTTTGTGCCTTAAATAAAGTTTCGTCAACACTTACAGTTTCGACTAACATTAAACCAAGCTGAGAAAATATCTTTTTTTTCTTCTCGTGTATCCTCCGATCTATTCCAGAGGGTGTGAAATACTGGATAGGACATGCTTCTTACTTCAGAGCGTGTGACGCATTACATGAACAACTTAAATTTCACTATGTATCCATAAATATTTAGAACTATTTCACTTCCAGTCATCCAGCTATAATCATTACAATTATATTTTTAAATACACAAAATAAGTCTACATCAACTTACAGAAAGATTTGATACAGGGGAAATGTATATATAGGCCTTTATTTATCATTTGTTGAGTTCATCAGATGCGGCTTCTAATATGCTGAGTCGCAGTTGTAGTGCTGAAACATATTCTATGACAGTTGAGAAATAATTTTCATGGTTTTAGAGCTATTGCGATAGCTGTATAGACAAAACGTTGGATTTCAGAGCAGATACGCGGGACAGATATTGAATCAATAGCAAAAATATGCTTTTACAGATATGAACTTGTTCTGATTAGTCCATAACTCAAATCTTTGTTTCGAGCTCAAATAAAAACTGTGAAAGTATGTCAAAGCTAGTATAAAATCAAAATAAAACAAAACATAGACATTCAACCCACATTAATCGACAAAATATAAGAACAAACAAACTGAACCAAAGAATAATAAGCAAATCAACCGAATAAAAGAGTCTTAATAAGACGTAAAATGCGTACAAAGTAATTGTAACAAATTCGATGTCACGCGTTTACTGCGTGAAAATATTCCAGTTTATATGACATCCAGGGATGGAAATATTTGTGGGCCAGATGGATGGGCGATGAGAGGTAAGAGAAATAAATGGGCTACTAATGTATATATATATATATTGAAACGGACACGAGTCCATACAAATGCGCATAACAAACATGACTTCGCGTGGACTTTTCATTTGTATTTACAACGTACTTTTATTAGTTAGTAATGGTTCCCTGAAACACCCACTTTCCGTGGCAAAGAAAAAATGTAGGTTCACTACCTTTTTCGTCCGCTGCGGCTCGAAGACGTCGTTTTTTTGTGTCTGTTACCTTTGCCATTTTCAAGTGCCAATCTGCTGTTTTTATAAACAACTAATCTAGGATCTTCTGTTCTAACAGCCACGGTATAACCACCAAAGGTTGCACAATGAGTTTGGTGAAAAGATTGCCGATAAGCAATACTCTCGCAGGCGGTTACGTAATACGGAAAAAATTGATCCATGCTCCATAAAGTGCGATGAAAAGCTATTTTTAACCAACAACAAAACGAGAATATCGGTCGGAGACCGAAGACTTATCGATCTTAGATCGGTAATTAGTTAATAACTCGCTAATTATACGACATAATTAACCCAAAATCGATAGGCGTCTGGTCCGAGGTAAGGTGCATGCACATGCAAAATTTGGAGCAGATTCAACCACGCGTTCGTGAGATATCGCGTTCATCTAACAGACACACACACACACACACACACACACACAGACATACAAATACCTATCAATATACTTACCGATCTTAAGATCGATAAGTAATAAACCACACCAACTACTGTGGAGTGGGAGTTTGGCATGTTTTCACTGGAGTCGACGCCGAACATTGAAGCGGAAAATTTCAATGGCGCCGAATCGTATGTCCAAACTCCCAGGAGTCGGAATAAAGATTTTTGAATTTGTCGTAGCCAAAATTTCATTTTTTTAATAGTGATTTATAATAAAATTGCATATTAATGGTATTGTTGAATCTGTGACAAATCGCCCTGTTGTTTTTTTTATGTATTTGAACCCTGTACTTGTCAAATGAATATTTATTTAATTATATACAGAAACAAAAGTATCGACTCCGGAAGCGATTGTCAGATTCTCTGGACTGGCCAGACTCAAGACTTCACATGGCTTATCAAAATCTCAATTTGCAATATTTAACTTTTAAATGGTAAATTGCTAACCAACACATATTTCCTTTATTTGTTTTTCACCACTGATGCAATATCTGGATGATAACTTATACACACCATAAACACATGGGTCTAGGTCTAGGCCATAGGTTCTCAAAGTGCTCCGTGCGTAGCCCCAGGGCTCCGTGAGAGAAACCCAGGGGCTTCGCGAGCTATTCAATTACTTTTCAAAATACCGAATTGGCTAATTTTTTCTATTAGGATTACTAAAATGAAAGAATACTCTTCTGAAATAACATAAAATACGCGATAAACTGCCAACTATACATAAATTGCAGTCGTATTTTGCAATCTTAGGATTTGTCAAACTTGATTTTGTTCTTTCTCACTCACGAGCAAGATATCGCCGTTTAAAAAATCAAGAGGTCGGGGCCAAATACGAAGATTGAAATTTATTTTATTGCATGCGGCTCTGTCGGTAGTTTCAGAATAGAAAAATAGGTACATCGCGCGCACAATTGACCGTATTCCGGTTTTGCAGTTACTACGACGAATAACCAAAGAAAACCCAACATAACATCAAATTTTGTGATTTACAATGTCTATGGAATCGTTTTTAATCTGACGTGAGTCTGCTGAAACAAAACTAACTCTTCCATTTTAAGTTTTAGTTTTAATATTTTAGAATGCCGCTTTTCAATCAAGAAATTTGAGTTGCGGATTTACATCTTCATTATTTATTATTTTCAGCATTTAGTCTCCGATGACTATAAAATGGTAACATGTTTTTCACATTGAACTCATAATTCCCCACGAGAACAAAAAAGCAATACTCATCGTCATTGTGGAACTATACATGTATATGTCGAGGGAAATTTTTGATTTAGGGAGAATAAACACCGCCATGCTGACGAAAACAATCGGCGATCGTAACAAAATGCAATTGAGTACAGTATTAGCGGCTATTTAAGTCTTTCAAAAATGTCTAAGGGGAAAAGATCCGACCCCTAATTTATTAACATGTTTGTCAAGTGTCAAATTCACAGCTTTAGTATATATAATTTATCTTTGACATTTAGATTTATTTAGGACTTGTATCAACCCGATTAAAAGAGGTTTAGCATTTAAAATAAGTACAGTACTTTTTAACTCACTCAGGAATATTATTCGGAAATTAACAATTTTAACATTTATTTCGGGGCTCCGTGAATAATAATCAATTTTTTCAAGGGCTCCGCAACACAAAAAGTTTTGAGAACCCCTGGTCCAGGGCGACCGAACCGGTCTTACATACGGACGAATAAGGAACAACCAATTATTATTATTGAAATATTTTGTCCCGAATCTGATGTATCATGTTACAAACTGTTAATGAAGAAAAAATCTCTTCATCTCCTCAATAGCCCAAGTTTCTCAATCGCCCCACTGCGGTTAGATCTGAACTTTATCTTGGCCAGTATTTCGCGTCAACTTTGTTTCCATGAATTGCATATAGAGCTCCCCCACGCCCACAATGTAAATGTGATGATTTCCTTTCTCCACGCAGTGAGTATGTAGACCCATACCAATATTCAATATCAGACAAACTACCGACAAACTCATAGGTCAGAAATATTTTTATCAGGGTGAAAGCCACTCTAGTCAGAGCAAGCTAAAACATAGGTTTGCATCACATGATCTCGGTGAACCTCAACGTGAAATAGCATTGAACACAAGAGTTGAAATGATTATTTTGAAAATATAATTGGTTGGACACAAATGAGCAGGTCTTGCGACAATATATGCAATACCTCCATGAATATAAATTCTTAAACGCATATGGGGATATAACAAATTAATAAGGTATATCACGGATTTGAAAATAATGAATGGAACCAAAAATATGGCTCGGGCAGTAAACCCGGATATTTTCACTGTGGCAAATACTTTTAATTATGGTAGTGAATCACTATCACTTAGTCGGGCCACAAGCACACTGAACTCAAAATAGATACAGCTGAACTAAATGTCGAACAAGTTGAAACGAGCACCAATATTGAAGCAGAGAAAAACGTTCAAATACCGGTACTTCAGGATGTTTCACAGAATAAGGATAGGCTACTTAAACTTTCAACAACAACAAAAATAATAACAATCACATCATAATTTAAAATTTATAATATAAATAAAATATTCTTGTCAGATCATTCAGGCATGCTGTGTATCGCCTAAAAAGCAATAGCATTCTTCTAAGAGGAGTTTGAACCCAACAATATGATGAATTGGATATGCAATCGTGGAATTAAGAAAAAAAGATTAATTAATGAGAATCCACTTCCAAGCTAAAAAAAACATCTGTTGAAAATTGTATTGTATAAATGGTTTTCACCAACGTTGGGGAGTTTCCATTTTGATGCATATGTTATTTCTGCAGAATTTATCATAGTCATATACACTGAAAGAAAACAAAGACTTTTGGATCAGAGCCTGGAGGCTGAAGTGATGCCAAAAAGCAATGAATCAAATTATGTGAAGCATCCAACAATTTGGCAATATATTTCGCCATGAATTTTATCCCAAAGTAACAAAATGAACAAAAGTGTGATCAAGGTGAAAAAGTCAAAACTCGCGTAGTATGTGTACCAAGTTAGAGGTAGGCCATAATTTTATTCCTATTTTCCGTATTTTAGTTCTATTACGAGTTTGGGGACTGTCTGTGTTAGCCAAGTGAATATAACCCCTGCCCATAGGTTTCAGTCCCTTTACACAACTTGATGTAAAAGTAAGCAAACAAAATTAGTTACCGATCCCTCCATATTGGTACACATACTGCTGGAGCCGCCAAAAAGTCAATAAATAGCACACATAAAAAGGCAATCCCCGAAGATTATTACTCCGTAAGAATAAATTCAAGTTAATATAGCGACAATATAGAAATCCAATTCAATGTGACAGACATAAGAGAATCTCACATATTATTTTTATATGTTTTTTTTTTGATAAATACCCCCCATTCAAGTGCCATTACACAAATTGTTGATGAATTTCCATCAATTGGAAAGATAATATAACATTATCGCAAATATTCATAAAAGTGAACTGAACTAGGAAAACTATTGGACAGCTCATTAGGCGTTATTTTAAATCAAAACCGCTCACTAAGTAGAGGTAAATCACCAACTGCATCTTAACTAACAATCTTGATATTGAGTTGTTGTGAATGGATGAAATGAACTAATCGGTAAGATAATTTGCATGCTTTATTGTGAAAATATATTTTGCTGTGGCATTAATATTTTATTAAGCAAATTTATCAATCATATTAACCAAAAATACAGACAGACCATACATTAGCACCATTGCATCACTCACGTATATAAGATATAAATAATATCTTGCACTCTCATAATCACACACATAAATGAATATGAAACGAACAACTGTAAAACTCATAAAAGAGGAACAAATAGAAGTAAATTATGCGTTATGTATAACCATCACCTAACCAAAGCACACCCTTCACTTTAACCAGTATAAAAAATGAAAGCAGCATCATGATTAAACATGAAAAATAATCCCTTTGAATTTATGTTGTCTCAGACAAGATAGATATTCATTAATATAGAAATTCCATACGGCGATGGCAGATAACAAAATTATCAACGAGTGTAAACAACAATAAATTCAAACAGCTCGAAAGTTAAACATAGAAATTTGCACTATTGGCACAAGAAACACTATCAAAAACAATCGTTAAGGAGATTCAATAAGATAAATATGTTGCTTACCAATTCTAATTGAAAGTATCAACCAGGTGAGATCAACCTCACAAAGCTAAAAATGCCACATATGATTGACCAATATCATATCAGGGAGGGCAATCAAACATAGAATACAACACGTTCTATATTTCAAACTGTGTTATAAAAATACATAATTTTGTCCAAAAATCATGAAATATTGGTATGCAGCGTATAGATTGGTACAAAAGAGATGCATTAGATCAGGGGTGTGCAACCTTTATTACAGGTGGGCCAGATAAAAGTAACTGGATGAAGCGCAGACCGCAAGCAACTTCATTTAAGATAGCATTCCTAGTATTTTGCAGACACAAAAATATATTTCTTTTTGTTATTGATATTACAGCATCGTTAGGGGTCCTTGCAGAAATGATGAGTTAAAAGGCTTATATTTCTAAAAAACTGCTATTCAAATTTATTGTCACACCGACTTTAAACGAATTCAGTGAGAAATAGGTTTTTATAACATTGTGTATTTTGCTAGCTAGTTTTGCTATTATGACAGTGGTACTCAGGTACTGGTATAGGCTTTGCGACGCAAAGGGATTAGAATGGCTCGCACGTACCAGATTAACCAAACTAAAAACTTGTTTCATGAGCACATTATTCAAAATTAGCACTTCTTCGCGGGCCGCACAATTTTCCTTGCGGGCCGCAGTTTGCACACCCCTGCATTAGATCATATATCATTAGATCACCTGGGTCAAACAAGCATCCAAGAATATTATCAATAGTTTAATGAGAATCTAAAAAGCCTTAACAGAAAAGGGCAAAATCCAGTGTTCCAAATATGGAACTATAAGACAAAGGAAGTCCAAACCTTTCTGCCAGTCGCAAGTACTAGCAATTTCTTTACCGAACCCGATAAAACATGCTTCAGAATTTGAAAGTCAGTAGATCTGTTGTCAATAATCGATTGCATTTGCCAGCTGGTTTTGGGCATAATCAGAGACATCATAGAAATTATTATTTATTACATATCACCCATAGGCCAGTCGCTTACTTAAATGCTGTATTCATTAAAACAACAATGTTATGTAAATTAGGATTAAACAATTTGAAATAAGTAAATAAGAATCCCAATTATTCGAATAATTCCATGACATTGACTCGGGAGTATGTTCTACATCTGATTGATCTTTGAAATAGACAAGACTGTTTTTCATTTCTTTGCCTTGTCTGAAACCCTGTTCCATTCTGAAAAAAATGTACTTTAATAATGATCTATAATTAAATTTATTGAATATGTGAACATTTATTCAAATCACTTGGCAATCGGGTCACAAACTTTAGAATTGACACCATTGGAATGTCGAAAGATTCTATCAAAGAGAATCAAGATTGGTATAGCTCGACCTATATATCGGCCCGATATTGCGTGTTTGCCGATATGTCGATATGTCATATCGGCATTAAACCGCCGATATATATTGGCATTAGCCGGGCTGCGTGCTTGAATGACTCTCGCCCTACATAACTGGTTTGCTTTCATTTTGCGTTAAAAAGGTGCGTCTCCTAATTCCCGGTGGCATATGATTAGCCATTTCATGCATTGTCATAACTGAAACTACAGACTCGCTTGGTGTATCATAAAAGCCCATTTTATAACAATATGTTTTATATTAATATCGATTATCGGTCACTATATCGATATCGGTGCCAAAAAGTGAT